CAAAATTTCTTACAGTTTCAGGCTTAAGAATGTTGCCTTTTAAATATAAGGTGGTGCAGGTTTTTTTGAAAGCTCTTAAATTTAGTCTAAATTTGGGATCCCGCTTTCCATAGATTTTAAAAAGAACTGGCCTTCAAATTAAACACTTTCCCAAAAATTCAGCACGGACTTAAATGTCAAAATGATGGTCTCGAGACGAAGACCATGATAAATTGTAGGGTCTCTCATTTCTCCAGAATTGCCACATGCCTACAGGGGATCAGCACCTTGAGACAGGCTCCCACCATGAAAGGTGCTGGCTGGTGACTAGTGCTCTGACAAAGTGCTCTGAGACGCCGTCCGGCGTGGAGGGCGCTATATAAATCCAAGTTGTTGTTGTTGTTGTAATGGCGGGGGGGGGGGGGGTGCAGGGGTGCACGGGAGGTGGGGTTGGAGTGTGGAGTGTGGGTCAGTAGGAGTCTACATATACGTGATCCCACTGAAATTTTCAGTCCAGAATTTTTTTACATTTTTTAGGATGAGGATCCGGTCCAACTAGGTCCGAATTCCGGATACCTGGAGTCCGATGAGACGGGTTTACCGTAAATGCAGTGTGTTCTTGCTGTAGAGCTGTCTTTTACAAACATTACACAAGATTCTCTGGCCCCTTTGAGTCACTGAGCCAAACCCACAGCTGCCAGAACTTGCCTTCGCTAGACTTGCTGCATAAGCCTTAGACACGTTGATTTGTCTCACAGTCACACACAGGTAGGCTAGCAACGAACACACTGTGCGGTACTGAGACCCCAGTGTTACAGTGAGACCCAGCAAACGTCTTGATGTGCTTGCGGTCACAGAGAGTTCTCACAGAGAGCGCAGAGGAAACATACGCTGTCGACACAGATGAGCTTTTTTTATATTTTCATGTTAGTCAGGGGACACGCCTTTTCCTCAGATTAAGAAAAGGAAAGCGGGCAAGGCCTTAAATCCCGGAATGCACAGCTTGTGAAGAAAACCAAAATGTAAACGGACAATCTGAATCTTCAAAGTCTCACGTCCATCCTGGCCTCAGTGTGTTTTGGGGGACTTTTGCGTCATGTCATTGTGTCTAAAAATAACAGAGGAACATAAGACATATTGAAGGAAAGGGTGACCTCAGTACATTAGGTTGATTGACTGTGAAATTATCCCTGTAAAATGCTAGTGACATGGATGTGGAGTCCCGTAGTATCGTGGTGAGTGCCCTCGCCTCGCAAGCGAGTGGACCCGGGTTTGATTCCCGGGTGGGATGAAACTTTAGGCAAGCCACCAATCTTCTAACTCGGAGATGAGAGTGACACCAACTGAGCCAAGCTGAGACATGACTTTATCAAGTTGCTCAATCTTTCAGATTCCAATCAAAATATAGCATTTGGATCTGTATTGGATCAAACACAGCCAGCAACACTCCTCCTGGCCCGAGCCACACACAGGAATTCAACCTCTTGGCCCAGATCCATCAGCCAGAATCAGAGGCTGTGATGGAGGACACATCAAGGGACGCAATACAGAAAAAATGTATACACAGATTGTAGCGCTCTCGCCTCTTGAGCAAGCCAAGCCTCACATCAGGACTTGAGCTCATCGTTTTAGTTGTCATACAGTCTCAGCACAGTACTGGAGAATGATGCACTGTCAGTTAAGAAGTTAAACCAAAGTATTTCAGAATTACCTTGGTTTAATTTTCGTGTGTTCAGGTGGACCCTAAAGATAATCCTAATAATAATCTTTGCATTTCATATAGTGCTTTATCATGTAATTGAGACGTCGCAAAGGATTTTATTGTGAAGTGCAGCTACTCTGTACATTGTAGGCAAACTCAAAAGCCAATTTGCGCTCAGCGTTGCACACAAACAACCAGGAAATGAATGATCAATATTATTTGGGGGATTGTTGGCCAGCACACCCTTTTTCGAATTGTGCCATGGGGCTTGAAGAGGCAGACAGGACCTTGGTTTAACATGTCATCTGAAGGACAACACCTCAGATAAAATTCCCCCACCACTGCATTGCAGTGCCAGCCTTGACTGTGACCTCAAAGACCCGATATGGGGTTGAATCCACAACCATCTGACTGAAAGGCAAGACTGCTACCAACTGAGCCAGGCTAGCACTTAAAGATCCCATTACACTGTTCAAAAATAGAAGGGAGTTTCTCCGGATATCCTGGCCAACAATCCCCAAAGGTAATTCGGCATCCACTGTTCATCAGACTTACTTGTGTTCAAAATGTTTGCCACATTCACCTAGAAAAACGGTCACTACACTTGTCAAACCTAACACTGAGCCAAAAATTGCAAAGGGCTTTGCACAGCTTTGCACAGCTATTAGGCATGAAATGTTTTGAGTTGTTTTGATGTGATAAGGCACCGTAAAAAAACTCTAGGCTTCTCCTGACCTGTTCTTTACTTCTATAATTTATTCTTTCACAAGGCATTAACTGGATCATATATAATGGAGATAAGGAATAGGATCAAATGTGTCCCAAGTTGCAATGTGATAGCTCTGGCAAAAGTACTGACGGCAGCACTGGCAGGACTGACAGCAGCCGTTTTAAATTGTAAACGGTGACTTTGAAGTTCTGCGTGAAGACTCCCCCATTCGCTACCCACATGTTATCATGTGCTGTTTCCATGCCTCTTATCTTAATGTCAGATCAGAATGAAGACCAAAGCATTATTACGCCTTTATAAGAATGAGCATTGTAAGGAGCTGCTCTTTTACATTGCCCGGTGCTGGAACAGTATGTCCATAGTTTTATAATAAACAGTAACACTGGTTATTGTGCCATGTGTACTTAGAACATTTCTCATTTGCCTCTTCTTATTCTATCAATTTACTATTTGTCACAGTTGTGAACGTGTGATTAATTCACTCGAAAGACACTTTTCTTGCGATTTATTCGGTGCACAATAAACAGAGATATTTTTGGACGTAGTAATACACAGATTGTTTCCCATAATGAGTCTGTATTCTTTCATTGGCTTTGCTGGCCAGGACACTGGGAGAGAAACTAGCTTCCCTTCTGAAATAACGCCACGCAATCTTTAACATCCACCTGAACAGGCCTCGGTTTAACATCTCATTCGAAGGACGGCATCTCCAACAATGCAGCACACACAGTATTGGAGGGTCAGCTTAGACTATGGATGTTCCAAGTCCCAATGTGAGACTTGAATCTTCTGACTTGGAGGTGAGAGTGCTTCCAGCTGCTTTGACTGGGGCAATTGTAATCCTTTTCATGGGTTGTTCATTTCAGAATCAATGGCATCAATAATTGTTTCCATACAGTTTACACCAGGTTTATGCTAGTCCCACGATACAACAGTTAGCATTGATGTGGTACCTTTCGTATAGACGAACGTCTCACAAAGCATTTAATAGGAACGATATGGAACCCACTGATAATCTTGGGCTAGGGTTCAAGTTTAGGTTCTGATTGGAGCTGTGGCTACGGTCAAAGTTTAAGTTTTTGTTTGAGTTGTGGCTAAGATTAGGATTAGGGTTTAGGGTTTTGTATTCAGTATGTGGCTAGGTCAAAGTCACAGACATTCACGTTGTCTGCAACCAGTGTTCTAGTGGTTACGCTGTTTATCTCGTTGGTTATTAGAACAGTATCCTATTTATTCTCTCATAGTGATTACTGAACAGATCATATCTTTCAGCATCTGCTCTCTCCCCCCCCCATCACTCCTCCCCCAAACAAACTCACTCACAAACCATGCTCATAGATGCATTCTTTAATATACACCATGTTCATAAAGTCCTGTTAACACCTAGCCCCTCCTCCTTCCCACCCTGTTTTTTTCTTTACAATTTTTATTTTCTGTTGCAGGTGAGTTGAGTGTAACAATGTCTGATCCCAGTAACTCCCTCCTCACTCCATCATGGAACATGGTGACGGATCATTATCTGCCATGAAGATGATGGAGCTCACTCACACAGAAACATAGAAACAGGAATAGGCCATTCAGCCCCTCAAGCCTGTTCGATTACAGAAACTCCCTCCTCATCAGCCTTCCCAACTCTTCCCTTCACAAGCTGCAGATCATCCAAAACTCTGCAGCTCGTGTACTCTCGCGCACCAGGCTCCGTGACCCCATCACTCCCACTCTCACCCGACTCCACTGGCTCCCCATCCCGCAGAGGATTGAGTTCAAGATCTTTGTCCTCACCTTTAAGGCCATCCATAGCCTCGCCCCCTCCTACCTCTCTGACCCGCTGACTACCTACCAACCTGCCCGCTCTCTTTGTTCATCAGGCTACGGCCTGCTCCATGTCTCCCACCCGACCTACTATCGGTGACCGGCTTTCAGCCTCTCTGCCCCCGCACTCTGGAACTCCATCCCACGGTCCCTTCACCTCACTTCCTCCCTTGCCTCCTTCAAGGCCGGTCTCAAGACCCTTCTCTTCGACCGGGCCTTTGGTCTCCCTCCCACCTCTCTGCCTTCCCTCACCCCTACACCATCCCTCCCCCATGCTCGGGCCCCAACACCTGACTGTTCAGCCCTCCCGACATGAATGGCGCTCTATAAATGTAATTTTGTTGTTGTTGTTCCACCATTCTATAAGATAATGGCCGATCTGTACCTCAACTCCAATTACCCGCACTTGCCCCGTATCCCTTGATACCCTGACCTAACAAATATACCGATCCTCTGGACTTCTAAAAACTTTAAACAGTTGTACTGAATAGAATGAAGTACTTCTAAATACAATTATCATTCATTCTTCCACATGTTTCACTTGTTGGTCAGTGCAGTGAAAGAAATTGAAAGAAAAAAAAAAACATGAGGGGTGCAGCAGGACTTTGTGAACACCCTGCCGTTTGCTGCGTACGTGCTTTTCAAAACATACTGAGTGCTGAAGAATCGTTTGATTGAAATGTAGGTTGTTCTTTGTAGCTAAGCGATGGAAGGCTGTCTTGAGTGCATTGGCTGGAGGTGTCTGGGCTGAAGCCATCTGCTGTGTAGAGCCGCCCTCTTTGAGACACGCTCTCAGTATTGTGTAGCTATTGGTGCCAGTGCTTTCAGCTCTCAAACACAGAGGGACTGAAGTCTATAAAACATCCTCTGCCTCTCACTGTCCCATCTTAGACACAGCCAAGGGTCAGAGAGAAAAGACGGAAAGGGGAAGGCACTGGGTTCACCCCCTAACCACTATTCCCAGCTTGGTGAGAATTTGGAGCTTAAATCAGAACTTCTGCTGCAACTGTTATGGTGCAAAGTGAAGCTGCTGGAATCTGTGACATAGCAGCAAGTCTTTCCTACTGTGGACTTTCTCGTCTTAAACAGGAATAAAAAGGTAAAGAACTGTTTGTTAACTTATATCTTGAAAAGGAAGGAAGGAAAAAAGGAAAGAGACAGAGACAGAAAGATAAAAAGAAAGACAGATAGAGAAATAATAATGATGATGAGGATATCATAAATCAATTTTTAGTAATACAATAATATTTCTGTCAGGACTTAAAGCAAAAAGTTCAAGGGAACACTAGTTATTTTATCTGATATTGCGAACGTTAGCCAAATACGAGCTGTCAAAGAGAAATATTGAAACCAGCATTAAAAACTTGTGCTGAGGATTAGAATAAAGAGTTGTGTTTGTCAGTCACGCTCATCTGAATTTGTATACTTGGGACATGTGACTTGGAATCTCAGCAAACTTTTCAATCAATCCGATTAGTTGTTTTGTTTGTTATGAAATTCATCTCATGATTGGGTCACGAGTCCAACAAACCATCAAAAATAAATCTGGCAGAATATGGGTCTTAAACTGTTATACTCAATGCATGATTGTCTATGGGACCCTGTTGTGCGCAATTGGCTGCAGCATTTCGCCCACAAAATAACAGTCACTCCTCTTTACAATATATTCTGTGAGGCGCTTTGAGATGACTCAACGATGTGATAAAGCACTATATCAAATGCAAGGATTAATATTATTATTATATATATGTTATTGCAAAGTCCAAGACAGATTGCAGAAGCTGTCATTTCAAACAGTCAGAGATTGTGTCAAATGAGAGGATTGTAATGAAGAGATGACAGAAACCTCATGAAAGGGCATAACTAACCTCTACCACTTAGAAACATGTATAAACCATCAGGAGAGGACAATACATTCAAAGATCTGCCGTTTTGTGCCTCTCAAACTTTTGCTACAGGCAACAATATTTAATAATATAATATGATATAATTCAATATTAATATTTCAATCCTTCGCTCTGTTGTTATGCTAGATACCCTGTAGCACAATCCTGATAACCCTTTTTTAAATAATGACTGATTCTTTCCTTGCCGAGAGCATGACCATTACTTTACATTCTAAACTCTTTATTAAAACGTTATTTAAAAAAGATGAAAGCCCTATCTATACAGTACAGTCAGGGCCAATTTAAGATGGTTTGCATATCAAATTGTGTCTGAAACTACAGGAATGCAGGTCCTCAGGGGCTATGGATATTCATCCTGTATTTGATACAGTGCCTTTCATATTGGGTGAGTGTCCGAAAACGCTTCATAGAATTTACAGCAAAGTGTAGTGACGGTTTATTTTATAGGCAATCAATTGCGACAGCCAATTTGTGTACTGCAAATTGTCCAGCAAACAGCCCTGAAATGAATGGACAACTTTATCGGGGGGATTGTTGGCAGGACAGCGGGAGAGAGAAACTCTTAGTAACGCTGTCCCAAGTTCCCCACCTCAGGATGTGGTTTCAGAAGTTGGATTGCTGCATTCCGTGCTGCACGGTTTTGTACTGATTTTGTACTGCAGCTAATTGTAAACATAAAAAATAATTTGTTAATTCATTGTGGAGTGCTTAGGCTTTTACTGTTATGCACAGCTGGTTGCTTGAACCTCGCTTTAATAACAGTAACAAATAAACGAAACAAATAAGCAAATCATGGTATATCCTTACACAATATTTACATTCGGATTTTGAGGTGACATCTGATTTTGTTTGTGCTTTTGTTCATCTAGTTATTTGCTGGAGAGCATACTTGATCGTTGCCAATTTTTAAGAGAACCGGACGCTGTTGAGATTTTGACCTGTTATCGTTGCCAAATGGCTGGCATGAACACTGTCGTGTTCGTTGCTGTTCTTCTGAGTTATCACGTTCACACAACTCACGAACAAAATGCATCCTCCAAAGATACTTCCACTGGAGACTTTATGACACCGAATCTAAAATCAAACAGAATCCCAACTCCAAATCCAACGAAATCCAAAGTCATGGTGCCTTATGTCGTTGCGTATCAGAATACTGTCATCCCCCCACCTCAACCCCTTGGGCCAGTAGCACCCCCTCCTCCTATGTGTGTCAAGCAGACAGAAATTCGTCATGCCTTCAAATATGTCAACACTGTGGTCTCCTGCATGATCTTTGTGGTGGGAATCATTGGGAACTCTACACTGCTCCGAATAATCTACAAGAACAAATGTATGAGGAATGGACCCAATGTCCTGATTGCCAGCCTTGCCCTGGGAGACCTGCTCTACATCCTCATTGACATCCCAATTAACGTCTATAAGGTATGGCAGATATGGGGCGGTGGGGAAAACAAGCTTTATGGGATGAATGAAAATAGTTGATTGGGGACCTGGTTCAGACTTCATGGAGGAGCGGTGATCAGCTTCTTTGCAGAAAAAGAGGGTTGGGTGAAGCAATATTGAGCAAGGTCCGTTGGGAATAGGGAACCAGACTCTATTGTAGGGTGGGAACAGGTTCTACAGGGGACACAAGAGATGGAGATGGAAAGCCAGGAAGTACAGGGAAACTGAAATCTATTAACGAGTAAAATGAGGTTATAATGGGAAAGCTACAAGCAGCAGATTAATGTTTTTTGTTCTGCTGGGGAACGACACATGCTGAAACCCATCATCATGCTTCAGGGTATCCATACCAAACCGAGAGTTCCATATGTGTACGCCACTGACACATGGAACTGTCCCTGTGTCTGGAATGGAATGCACACTCTCTCCTTGGAGGGAAGCACTCCACTTTCCTAATTCAGGAGGGTATTAGTCACAGATGGGCAAGATCAGGTTTGGGGCAAACCAGACTGTGGATAGATCAATAACAGGCAAATTGTATTCGGAAAGAACTAAGGTCTATGGGATAATGAATTTGGCTCTATAGAAGCAGCAACAATACAAAACAAAATTACATTTGTGGAGCCCCTTTTACGTCGGGATGACATCCCAACAAGGTATAACTAAAGGGATGTTTAAAAAAAGAATTGGACGAGAACATGCAAAGGAAGGGCATTAGAGGATGTTGGGAAAGAAAAGGGAATTTGGATTAGGATGGGTGAGTTCTTGTAGGAGCAGAGAGTCGTGATAAAATGTCCGAATGGCTTCCTACTGTACAGGACATGTCTATGGTTCTAATTGTACATTGAGTAAAAAGCACTAAACTCTACTGCAGGAAGAGCAAGCATCAAGCATTATTGGGAAGGTGAAAGAACACAACAACAATTTGCTTTTATATAACGGCTTTCACATCAGGAGGACATCCCAAGGTGCTGGACAGTGAGGGATTTCCACTGAGCGGCACGTTGGGATCAGAGAGGAAGGGTGGAGAGCAAAGTGGGGGTGGAGGAGGGAAGATGACTGAAGGCACTGCCGAAAAGGAAGGTCTTGAGATGGGCCTTGAAGGATGCAAGGGAGGGGGACAAATGGAGAAAGGGACAAATGGAGAAAGGTATTAGGGGTCTGGGGTGAAGTGTTATTTTTGTGGCTTGGCATAAACAAGAACAGAGATTAGCAACAAAAATGTACGAGATGGGAATGGAAAGAGAACATGCCACAGAGAAACTCAAGCCACAATACCACCAATACAGTATTGGGAAATGCAAACGGATTAGCCCATATGAATTACCAATTGGCCTCAAAACATTATTTATGTGTGCCTGAAATATGTAGAAAAATCCCATCAGTCAAAATACAATGGAACTGAGAGTGTAAACAGCTGAAACAGGTGGTAGAGACATTGGTGAATAAAAGGCATTTATGAATAATAGAAGGACATCACACATGTCACGTAGACTTGTGGGAACTTTGCTCAGAAAGTAGACTGCGTCAGAGGGAATTCCCACAAGGCAAAGTGACGTACTTCTAGATTACTCAAATAAAGAGTCTCGATTCAACTGTCTGGGTTTCAGACTCCAGTATGATGTGAATTTTCACCACATTAGAACATTAGAAGGATTGCACACAAGCAGAACGTGTATGATTAGGGTCTTGCCTTGGGCCAATCCACTGAACCTACTCCTTGAACAAATTATATACTGTCAAGTTATCCTTAACAGACAGACAAATAGTGGACTAAATAGCAAGCAGGGCACTTTGTTATCCTCAAGAGAATAAATGGCTAAGGAATTTGAACTTTGAGACTTCCAACAACAACAACTTACATTTATATAATGTGCCTCAAGTAGGGTAGCATCACGGAGTGCTTCACAGAGTCTGACAATGAGCCAGGGGGAGAGGGAGGTGACCGTAAGCGTGATCAAAAAGGTGGGATTTGAAGGTGGGGATAGAGGGAGCAAGGAGGAGGGATTGAGGGAGAGTTCCAGAGTTTCGGGGTGTAGTGGCTGAAGGCACGGCCACCGATGGTGGAATGGAGGGCAGGAGGGACAAACAGGAGGCTGGAGCAGGCCAAACTGGAGGCAGTGGGTGGTGGTGGGGGGGGGGGGGGGTAAGCAAGTCGGATAGGTAGGAAGGTGCCAGGGAATGAAGTGATTTGAAAACGAGTGAGAGGATTTTGAAGTCGATCCGTTCAGTGATTGGGAGTGAGTGGAGCCTTCCAGTCGAGTGTCTACCTCCACCCACCTCCCCTGACTATAAACCATATAGAAACATTGAAATTTTCCACACAGAAGGGGGTCCTTTGGCTTATCGTGTCTGTGACACTCTTTCCCATTTTCCCAAATTCGATATTTTGTTATTAACATCTTTTTTCAGCTCTCTTCCCCGCATCCTTTGTTGTTTTTGCTGCTCAAATGGTTATCCAATTCCTGTTACATCAACAACAACAACAAAATTACATTTATAGAGCGCCTTTCACATCGGGAAGACATCCCAAAGCGCTGAGAATACTCCTACATATTCCTTTGTCATTTATAAATCATTTGATACTAATTTTCTGCATCTGACATAGGGCCTATAATGCCTCGAAAATATACTCACAACTTGTACACATAATGTAGTGGATTCATAGGTGAATGAGGCTGCCAACTTGCACACGCCAATATCCTACAAACGGCCATGAAATGAATGATCAATTTTACCCGGAGGATTGTTTCACTAGGACCTCAGGAGAAACTCCCTTCTCTTTTCAAACAATGCCACGGGATCTTTTAAGTTTCACCTGAACAGGCAGACGGGAACTTGGTTTGGCATCTAATCTGAAGGATGGCACCTCTGACAATGCAGAAGCGTTGCATTGGAATGCCATCCTGGCGTGTGAGTGCAAAGCCCCGACATAGGGGTGACTTATTGAGGAACGATTATTTATGACAATGGATCACTGTTAAGTATGGGTTGTTATAGCACTTGTATCTCAGCTCAAACACCGGTTCGGGCTACATCTGAATTTAAAGTGAACTTTATTAAACACAACTGGATCTCTCACCAGAAGCTGCTCCTGGGCATAAGATTAGCCATGTTCAGGGTTACGAACATAACAATTATATGTGTTAATGGGATATTGAATTCCGTATGAAGGACTTGGTTCACTGGATATCTGTGTAACAGGAGCACGTGGGAAACAAGCTGCTATTCCGTAAACTTGGAAAAACGAGAAGGGATTTGGTACATTGGAGATAAATGCTTCCATATGCATGCAGTTGGCTGTATTCACTATTCTCCCGTCCTGTTCAATACTGACATCAAACTTTATTGCTGAACATCAAAAGCAATGCTAACAATAAATCTGCATGACAGCGGCATACTGAGCTAATCTCCCATCTACTGTTAAACAGCCAAAGCTGCGCTGAGAGGCTGTTATCTGTTTCACCTGAACCCGGGAAGGACAGAGACACTAAACCAGCACAAAATATAGGCTAACAGTTGCCAAACAGAATAGGAACACACTATTGTTGCAGGAATTCAATAAATGCGTTCCTAAGAACAATTCCCTGCTTGAGTCAGTCAAGCTATTTGAGAAGAGACAAGGATTCTCATTGGAAATGCCAGCATTCTCTCCATCAAACTATACAATGCATTTTATCATTTGACCCCCCACAATGTTAATTATGACCAGCTAGTGACTATCTTCCTTGGGAGTGGAGTAAGCATGGTCTCCTCGGAACTCAGCTGGCTGTACCTGGAGGCTTAGTGACCCTTTGCGATGGTCTGTTCTTGAGCTACAGTACTCCAAATCACTGCTGATGGCAGACCAATTTGCTTGGCTCACCAACAAGACTTGGAGGGTAGATTGATCACTCGGGGCAGGAATTCAGGAATTGTTCCCATTCAACTCCTGTTAATTCTTCAAGTCAAAGTTGTCCATTTTGGACAAGCAGCAGAAAGCTTGCCAAGCAACACTCCCAATGGCAAGCAATGTGGCTTTAGCAGGTTAAGCACTAGTAGTAGCCTAACACACACTCTAGGGTCTCCAAGTCTTGGTTCTTGACAACTTGCACATAATCTCTTCAGAATTAGATAAACAGGGTGCATCCCTCCAGGGAGAGAGTGCACATTCCATTCCAGACACAGGGAATTTTCCATGTCTAGGTAGCAAACATATGTGAAACTCTAGTTTGGATAAGCTTAAGTATAGTGATCGGTTTCTGCATGTGTCAGACACCTGGCTGCTCACCCCCTACCCACCCCCCCAAAAAAAATGAATATCAGCATTTGTAATGTAAGTTTCAGTTAGATTCCTCCTTCTAAATGCAGCATAAACTAATTTGTTTTATCGTCCGCTGCGTATCTGACACATGTGGAAACCAATTGCTGTGCTTAACTCTCCATACCAAACTGAGAGTTCCACTTATGCATGAAAATTTCACTTTTGTCTGGAATTAAATGAACACTCTCTCTCTCTCTCACCAGAGGAATATACCGATTATCTTATCCCAGAGAATTTAGCTGCAGGATGCCAAGAGCCTTAACCATCTGAACACTGCAAAAACTGCCAAGCTTCCAGTTGCTTATCCAACTGGGGCCATCCTACCCGACAGGGCTTTGACTTGCAGGATTAACAGAAGCCAATGTCCATGAATCCAAGGTCCCAGTGACTGGGCTGTTGCTCCAACTTGTGCTCATGTTCCAGGCTGGCTTGTCCATCATCAGCAGTGTCCTGGAGGACCACAGACCTCAATAACTATCACACGCAACACACTGTCAAATGTTGCAAACTTTACTCCATATTCTCATCTGTTATTAGCGTGGGGTTTCTAATATTTTAATGAATTCAACTTTCTTTTTCTGTTTCCTTTAAACAGTTACTGGCTGAAGACTGGCCTTTCGGGGTTGAAGTGTGTAAGATTGTGCCATTCATCCAGAAGGCATCTGTTGGTATCACTGTCCTCAGTCTGTGTGCTCTGAGCATTGACAGGTACCTTTAATTCTATCTGTAATGGATTCAGAAGTTCAAAGGTCTTTTATCCTAATTGTGCTACCAATTCAGCAATGTATTACTGAAATAAATAGCAATCCTGGTGTTGCCATCTTGAGAACGTCATAAGGCGCTATATCAAATGTAAGGTATACTATTATTATTCAATAGCCTCCTACATTCAATGAAGGCCATTGATAATAATAATCCTTGCATTTGATACAGCACCTTATCATTTTGTTGCGAGACATCTCAAAGATCTTCACAGAGTACACTGTGATAATAATAATAATTACATTTGATATAGCGAGTCTCACATCTTCTAGACGTTTCAAAGCTCTTCACAGAATTTACTGTAAAGTGAATTGACTGTATATTTTGTGGGCGAAACAGCAGACAATTGCGCACAGCAGTGTCCCACAAGTGATAATCCTTATATTTGATACAGGCCTAATGTCTCAAAGTATTTCACAGATATTTACTGTCAAGGGTAGTGAGTTGAGCATGTGCACATCACCAAATAAAATGCATTGACATGATGACCTTGTTGCCTTCTCTTGGTTTGCAGATACCGAGCAGTGGCCTCATGGAGCAGAATCCAGGGGATTGGGATTCCTTTGAGGAAAGCAGTAGAGGTGACAGCCATTTGGCTAATCTCAATTGTTTTAGCTGTTCCAGAAGCTGTAGCGTTCAATATGCTCTCAGTGAAATATCGGGGTGAAGAACTGAGAGTGTGTCTGCTTCATCCATCCCAGACATCAGTATTCATGGAAGTAAGTTTCTTAATAATAATAATAGTAATAATTGTTGCATTTGGTACAACATCCTATCACATCGGAAGGACGTCTCAAAGCACTTCACAAAATTTACTGTGAAAAGGAGTGACTGCGTATTTGTAGGTAAATGCAGCAGTACATTTGCTCACAGTCATGTTCCACAAACAGCAATGGAGTGAGTGATCAATTTTATTTGGGAGATTGTTGGCCAGGAAACTTCCTTCTCTTTTCGAATCGCGGCATGGGATCATTAACGGACACTTGAACAGGCAGACGGGAATTCGGTTTAACGTCTCATCTGAAGGACCGACTGTGTCACATTGAATGATACACATTTAAACCTTACAAGCGATCAGGTTTTTAAAATGACTGGGACAAAATGATATTTTCATGAAGTTTGGAAATCACAAACCAATGTTTATTTGATGCAAACATGATCTATTTAATATTTATAAAGGATCCTTGTCCAGTGCTGTGTTAAAGCTTTGTTCTTGTGAGAACAAATTAGGAAATAATATCTTTCCTACAAAATACATAGTTTGGGACATGACATGTACAAGCGACTGCCAGGATGGTGTAAGGTGAACTGGAATGGACCTTGGTCTTCTTTTGTCTAGCAATTCTTTTGTTCTTAAAGCTCGCACTCATGGTTTCAAATCTTTTCTCTTGCAGCACTACAAGAATGTGAAAGATTGGTGGTTGCTTGGGTTTTACTTCTGTCTGCCTCTGGCCTGCACAGCTGTTTTCTACACCCTCATGACGTGTGAGATGCTGAGCAGGAGGAACGGGATGCAGATCGCTCTCAACGATCACATAAAGCAGGTGAGGGGTGAGGAGATCTGCAGTGGTTAGCGCACTCGCCTCGCAAGCGAGAGGACTCAGGCTTGATTCCTGGGCATGGCAAATCCTTAGTCAAGTTTCCTTATTTCACACCTCTGTTCACCTAGCAGTAAGTAGTAACCCGGTTGTTTGTCGATTGATGGATCACTTTCTGGGGGTAACAATCCCCCAAAAATTGGCTACTCAATTGATGACTGATTTGGGACCCTGCTGTGGGCAATTGGCTGCCGCTTTTTGCCCACAACATACAGTAGTTTGAGACGTCTCAGCAACACGATAAGGTGCTAAATCAGGAGAGGCTAGAGAAGCTAGGATTATTCTCCTTAGAGCAGAGAAGGTTGAGAGGATATTTGATAGAAGTTTTCAAAATTATGAGGGGATTTGATAGGATGAACAAGGAGAAACTATTTCCACTGGCGGGTGGGTCGGTAATCCGAGGACACCAATTTAAAATAGCTGTTAAAAGAAACAGAGGGGAGGTGAGGAGAAATTTTTTCACACAACGAGTTGTTTGGATTTGGAATGCATTGCCTAAAAGGCTGGTGGAGGCCGATTCAATAACAACTTTTAAGAGAGAAGTAGGTGAATATTTGGGGAGGACAAGTTTGCAGGGCTATGGGGAGAGATCGGGGGAGTGGGATTGATTTGGATAGCTCTTTTCAAAGAGCCGGCACAGACATGATAGGCCGAATGGCCTCCTTCTGTGCTGTAAAAGTCTATGATTCTATGATATGAAATGCAAAGATTATTATAATTCTTTGCATTTCCTGTGGTACCTTTTACCCACTAATGAACAGCTATGGAGAAATACTTATGTGCATCTTTTCTTTCCCTCAGCGACGTGAGGTGGCAAAAACAGTTTTCTGCCTGGTGGTTATCTTTGCCCTGTGCTGGCTCCCTTTGCATTTAAGTAGGATCTTGAAGAAAACCATTTACGATGAGAAAGATCCAAACAGATGCGAGCTGCTCAGGTGAAACTTGGCGCATTTATGTTAAGGCAACTTGACTCTACAGATGTGTTACCTAGTCATCACTTAATTTTATTTTTTNCCTGACAAAACTGGAAATATCTGGATCGTGAAACTGAAATGAAACATGTGGTGGAATATTACCTGTGAAAGTTATCACATCACGTAGCCCATTTTCCTGATTGCTTGGGTAATAGTTCAAGTTCGTTATCAAATAGTACTCCAGTAGTAACTTGCATTTCTACAGCACCTTTCATGTAAAACAATGTCGCAAAATACTTGGTGTACTCTAGAGCAAGGAAAATAAGCAATAAGAAATAAGAGATTTCTTGCTGATAGTGGGAAGACAGAGATTGATAGCAAGGTGAGGTGGCGCTGGAACTTCACCCATGAAATACAGTCAATCCACTTTACAGGATATCCTGTGAAATGCATTGAGACATCTCAACGACATGATAAGTCGCTATATCAAATGCAAGGATTATTATCATTATCCCTCTTATTCACTCTCTTATTAAGAGAGTTTCAGAGGACAGGGACATGTGGATGAAAACTCGGCCACCAATGGTGGAGTGCAAGGAGTGGCCTATCACAATAGTAATTTGTGTTTATTCTCAACCATTTCAAAGCGGGTAGAAACCAAATGGTAAAAACTCCCTTTACTGCTGCGCATATGCTGATGTTTAGATGTTATCTTAACTTGGCTACAATGGGTAATACTTATTGTGCAACCTAAATTAGTTCTTTTGTAAGCTTCGCAGTGAAATCCTGTGAAGCTTTTTGAAACGTCTCGATGGTGTTATTACTATTAACTCTGTGCTTCTGTCTTCTCTTAGTTTCCTTCTGGTTCTGGACTATATTGGGATTAACATGGCGTCTCTCAACTCGTGCATAAATCCGGTAGCGCTGTACTTTATCAGTCAGAAATTCAAGAACTGTTTCAAGGTAGGAGTTTAACACAGAACTTGGTTACTTTAGCTTTGGCTGCTCTACCTTCAAAAGCAAGTAAAGTCAGGGAAAAGCAAAAAAAGTGAGCTGCACCGTTTCTGATTGACAAAAGACAAGATAAAATGCATGGGGTGAAGTCAATGATTGGGTGAATTTTGCACAGCTCTGAAAGGATTAGGCTAAATGGCTCTGGAACTCCATCCCGGAGTCCCTCTGCCTCGCCCCCTCCCTCACCTCCTTCAAGGCCCGTCTCAAGACCTTCCTTTTCGACCGTGCCTTTGGTCATCTTTCCTCCTCAACCCCTGTGCACTCCATCCCTCTCTGATCCCAACCTGCAGCTCGAGTGCAAACCTCTCATTGTCCAGTGCCTTGGGACAACAACAACAACAAGAAGATTCCTTTTATAGACCGCCTTTCACGTCGGGAGGGCGTCCCAAGGTGCTGGACAGTTGGGTCAGGACCTGAGCAGGGGGGAAGTGGTCAGGGTGAGGGGAGGGAAGGGAGGGAGCGAGGAGGGGGTAGAGAGTCAAGAGGGGAGCTGAAGGCACGGTCAAAGAGAAAGGTCTTGAGACCGACCTTGAAGGAGGAAAGGGAGGAAGCGGCGAAGGCACCGGGGGATGGAGTTCCAGAGCCTCGGGGCTGAGAGGCTGAAGGCCCGGGCACCGATGGTAGGGCGGTTGGGGCGGGGGATGTGGAGCAGACCGGAGTCAGAGGAACGGAGGGTACGGGCAGGTAAGTAGGGGGATAGTAGGTCGGAGAGGTAGGAGGGAACAAGGCCGTGAATGGCCATGTAGGTGAGGATGAGGATCTTGAATTCGATCCTCTGGGGGATGGGGAGCCAGTGGAGGCGAGCGAGGGTGGGAGTGATGTGGTCGCGAAGCCTGGTGCGGGACAGTACACGAGCTGCAGAGTTCCGAATGACCTGCAGCTTGTGGAAGGAGGTGCCGGGAAGGCCGACGAGGAGAGAGTTCCCATAGTCCAGCCTTGAGGTGATAAAGGCATGGACCAGAGTTTCAGCAGCGTGAGGGGTGAGGTAGTGCCGTAGTCTGGCGATGTTCCGGAGGTGATGGAAGGCGGTGCCAGTTGTGGCGCGGATATGAGGAAGAAAGGACAGCTCAGGGTCGAACAGAACGCCGAGGTTCCTGACGGCTTTGAGAGGTGGAGAGTGCAGCCTTGGATGCTGACGCTGTCAGCGCCTGAGGTGCGGAGGCGCTGACGTGAGCCAATCAGGAGGGCCTCAGTTTTGCACACGTTGAGCTGAAGAAAGTTGTCTCTCGTCCAGGACTCGATGTTGGACAGACAGCTGTCAGGACATCGGTGGTCGTGGAGTTGAGGGTAGAGGAGGAAAGGTAGAGTTGGGTGTCATCCGCATACATGTGGAAGTTAACCCCATGTCTGCGGATGATGTCACCGAGGGGGAGCATATAGAAGGTGAAGAGGAGGGGACCGAGGAGAGAGCCCTGAGGGACACCACACGAGACAGTGCGGGGGCTGGAGGAAAAGCCGTTTGTGGAAACAAAATGAAAACGGTGGGAGAGGACGTACTCCTGACGTGAAAGGTGCTCTCTGTATACACGCAATCTTTTGTTGTTGTTGTAAAATGACCTTTTCTTGTGGTGTGCATCTTGCGCTATCTGTGCGTGGTGAGCTTACACAAGTTGTGCTTACGGTCACCTCCCCCCCACCCCCCACCACCCCCTTCTCCCCTTATCTCATTGTCAGACTCCCCCACTGCGAAGCCCTCTGGGACCCTACCCTGCGTGAAGGGCGCTATATAAACACAAGTTGTCGTTGTCGTCGCTTTCCTCTGACGCCCCTTTGTGTGCCCTCCTCAGTCCTGCTTATGCTGCTGGTGCCAGCAACCCGTCCTGGACTTGACACCGACAGACGAGAAAGCGTACGCTGTCAAGTGGAAAGCGAATGGCCACAAACACTGCCTGGATCGGAGCAGCTCACGTTTCAGCAATAAGTACAGCTCGTCCTGAACTACTGTTTTTCTTTTTTAATTTCTGACCCAAACCAAAGCAAGTTAAAACTATAGGAAAACACTCCCGTTGAGAAGTAGACATTCCCTACCTGAACTCACCTCTTTCCATCATATAGCGTGTAAAGTCTCTTACATCAGCTCATTGCAAGGCATGCAGAAGAAGCAACCATCTTCTCCTCTAAGGACCTTGCAGTCCAGTTCCTGACCCTCATCCTTTTGATTCTGGCTCGCTCCACCACTTATTGCCCTATTGAGAGAGAGAAACATCAAGCCAAACCATCAATTAAACAGTTGTTAGTACTTCCAGCCAGACTTGTCGCAATCTGCATTGGCCCAATGTCTGACAAGGAACTGTGAAGATCTCGCTGATTCCAGTGAATGTGTTGAACCATAAGACTATTAAAGCACTGCCAAATTGGCTAAGAACTATGAATAACTTCAGAGACCCTCTGACGCTTGTGCAGCTGTATTTTCTCTCTGTCTAATGTCTTGCTCCCTGACTTTTGCCTTACTTTTTGAACGAATTCCATTCTGAATCAATTTGGCTGCTGTAGGTGTAAAATTTGTAACTTTGTGTTGCATGCACTGACCATTTAACCACTGAGGCCCGCATAGTGTTTTCCGCTCCAAAGGATCTTATGTATTCAGTGAATCCTACATTAAATGCTGCCTGGTTCTTGCATTTTACTTACATTATGCCTTACAAGTCTCCCGGGCAACCCTTCACATTTCATAGCTGTCACTTGGTGACAGCTCTGTCCTTCAATGAGTTATCTCGCTTTCGCTCACTGGAAAATGAATCAAAACAAGCAAAAAAAGCGAACCGCGAAGCACGGAAATAATCAGCAAAGCCCCACAAGCTTGAGAGCGTGATCCTAAAGTGGAAAATAGCGATTTTCGATTCGCTGCCCAATGTGGGATTGTTGCTGGGAATTGGGCGAGGTATTCTGCCACATTCCCCGAGATACGTTAGGGGAAAAATTGTAAGACAAAGAATGTGTCTCACCCTTTGTCTGCTTATGAATGCTGGGAGAGCTCCAGTGCCATAGCATTCTCTTGGCAAAGAAACAAAGAAAATAGGACGTTGTAAAAATATGAGGTGCACAAAAAAAGTCCAGGTAACATCACTGACACTGCACCGAGAGAAGGATATTGTACGGAATTGCGACGGCTGGAAATCTGAAACAAAAAACACAATTGCAGTGAGAGGAGTATTCACACTAGAACGAGTGTTCAAGTGTGGGTAGTAATCAGAAAAGAATGTGCAATGGGTGTGTAAGAGGAGTACTCATGCTAAGGCAATTTTGCATTGCAAGGGATTTTCACGAGGCGGAGGGACTGCTGGATGGAGTTCCAGACGATGGGGGCAGAGTGGCAGAAGGCTCGCCCGCCAATGGTGGGATGGGCGAGGCGGGGGACGTGAAGCAGGCCGGAGCCCGCTGAGCGGAGGGAGCGGGCAGGATGGCTAGGGGGTTAGGAGGTGGCAAAGGTAGGGAGGAGCAAGACCATGAACGCAGTGTACCCGATAACAATTAGATGGACTGATACGTGCAAACTCCACCTAAGAGCAGTATCATTTTCCAAACAAATACCACAAAGGATTTTAGTTGCACTTAAGGTTCTTTTGTATATCAGAATTAAGCCTTACTTGAAACCTGTAAAGAAATGGTCCTGAGTAAAGGGCATTGAGAAATCGCTTGGGATGAACATGTTCAGATAGGTAACAGCTAACTTAAATGGCTGATGGGCTTCTCAACAAAGGAGAAGTGCGGAAAACAAGCTGAAGAACACACTGGGTTAATCACAGTAAAAGGGACACTAATCTCAATTAAATTCCATTCCACTCCATTAAGGTGAATGTATGAAACATTCACAGACTTGGCCAAATTATCCCATTGATTGGGCTCAAGGGGCCGCAGGGTCTGCACTTGAATAAAGCATGATTGAAAAATAAAAATATTCTCAAAACTTATAATAATATCAATAGAGAGGGTCATGGGGGGGGTGGGGGGGCTCACTTCATACCTTCTAATATTCACACTAAAACAAGCATGCAACATGAAGTGAGGGGGACGGGTGGAGAGAGAGAGAGAGAGAGAAGGCATACTCTTCACCACATTTTTTTGTGCTTCTTGGGAAGATACCCAGCTGTTTGTTAGCTTTACATCTGCTCCATTTACATCATCTGCTCCATTTCGCACCCTGGCTTTTGCTACTAGAACCATTAGTTGGCTAGTGAGCTAAAGTAATAACAATAATAATTCTTGCATTTGATATAGTGTCTTTCACGTCAGCAGGATGTTTCAAGGCACTTTACAGGATTTGCTGTAATGACCAATTTTATGTGGAGAATTGTTGGCCAGGACACTGGGAGAAACTCCCTTCTCCTTTCGAATAGTGCCACGAGATCTTTTAACGTCCACTTGAATAGGCAGACGGGACCTCGGTTTAACGTCTCATCCCAAGGACAGCACCTCTGACAATGCAGCCCTCCCGCAGGACTGCACTGGAGTGTCATCTTAGACTATGTCCCTATACACCCACATGGACAGGTTTTCTTATACCACATCCTGAGTAGCTGACAAACAACATTCCCCCCATACACAACACAGTTGTATAATCAGTTCCTGTACATAACTTGGTATTCAGTAACAAAAAACAGCAGCAAGTACTTTGTGTGACTGAGACACCCACGAGAATTATTCCAATTGTCAACTATCTCTTTAAAAATGTTTATTTTTTAAATCAAAATTATGTACAATATTGTTGTATTTTCAAAACTGGTATCAAAGTTGTTCCATTTCCTCTTGTGGTTCATAAGACTCTTTGTATTCGTTCACACTGGTCTGGAATGAGAAAATAACCCTTGTTATTGGGATGAAATTGAAATGCATTGTGCCCGGCTGATGGAACAGAGGAAGTAATCTTTTTCTATCAGGGAGAATAAGCACTCCCTATCCCTACAACAACAATTACTTGCATTTATATAGCGTCCTTCAAGCCAGACGGCATCTCGGATCACTTAACAGTGGCGTACTCTCATGCGTGACGAATGCTGCCATAGCTTTACATTGACTTTCAGCTCCAGATCAGCTGATGATCAGCCAATGGTTGTAAGCAACCATTCCTGACTGTCACTTCCCATCACCTCTCTGCCCTCATGGCCTGACACGGTTGCTCTTTGTGAGCAAGCGTTTACACCTCGCACAAGTGTCTTCACGCAAACTTGCTGAAAACGGAATCGAAGCACAACTTTTGCTGTGAAGCAAAAAAATGAGAAGGCGCGGTCTCAATTGCTTATTCTTGCCAGGTCTGGGCTCCCCCCGTTCGCTCCAACTGTCTTGTACGTTTGTATTAATTATATGCACTTTTTTTACAAATTGTTAATAAAAAAAACTATAATGTATACAATTCTGTCGCACGTGGAAGATCAAGAAGGATTAGTTAGTAAACAGCGGTGACTACGCTAAGAGCGGGTCAATTTTGAGCGCCTCAGCTTAGGTACTGCTCTTTGTACAGCATGAGGATTAGGCATTAAATGCATTGACCACCACTGCCATTCTGTACCAGCTCCAATTCCTTTCACTGAATTTTCAATGTAAATGAACAAAACAACATTTTTCTTCCAATTGGAAGCATTAAAATTTAAACCAAATCCATTTGTGGTCATTGTTTTTCATTTGTAATTTGTAGCAAATTGTGCCATGGTTGATTCCATCGGTACCGGCTCGGCTCAGCTCAGCTCCCCAATGTCTTGTCCAGTCGGTCGCTCTTCACGTAGGAGCCGAGACCAACGAGTGTTGGCAGGATATACGATGATTGGGGCTTCAAAGCCAAGATTCTGAGTGCACCTCAAATCCACACGTGCTCAATGTAAAGCTATAGCAGCATTTGTCACACATGAGAGTACACCACTGTTAAGTGATGGGGAAGAGAGGAAAGGTCATCGGGCAGGGACAAGAAACAGGAACCCTTGCTTGTTCCCTCCACACCCCCATCCCTTTAACACAAAGATGTGGAGGCCAATTTAGTGTCTCCTCCACTGCTCCAGGTGAACTCAGAACTGACCTTGGAACTTTCCTGCTTTGTGTACCTCAGCTCTGTACCACTCCATATTTAACCAGTGAGCCCATTGGAGGAAGTTCCATCTCCAAATCTTTGCTTAGATATCCACACAGCTAACCTAACATTAAGCAACTCATAACTATCATTCTCTCTGACTAGGATAGCTGTTCAGTATTCATCTGCAATGATTTTCATTCTGAGCTAGCGCAGAGAGAAGAGCGATTATATTTAGGAGGTCAGTTTGGGGTACGTCCCAAGGCGCTGGACATTTAAGAATTTGCACCCGAGCTGGGGGTTGGGATCAGGAGGAGTAGAAGGCAGGGAGGGTGGGGGTAGGAAGGTGACCGAATGCGGGGTCGAAGAGGACAGCCTTGTGAGGGGCCTTGAAGAAGGCAAGAAACTTTAGGATAGAATGCCAAAGGCTGACATGGAACAGGCGCAGAGATAGGGAGAAGCAGGGCCATGCGGGGGGTGGCTATGAAAGCGAGGATGAGGATTTTGAACTTTACCCTCTGGGAGATGGGGAGCCAGTGGAGCCAGGTGACGATGATAGATTCACGGAGCTTGGTGCAGTGGGAATACATTCTAAAATAAATTTTACATTAGGAGGCTGAAATGCCACGGCCCGTTGGTGACACCTGATATTGATAATCCTTGCATTTTTTTTATGATGTTATTATTAATCCTCAAAAGCCAAAAGTCCCAGCCTCACTGCTGCAGCCACAGATAAACAAAACGGAGACTTACCTCGAATGTAGTGAGCACGTGCTGACAGACTGTCATTAACTCACTGAGGCCCCTCCGGAAAGGCTCTAAAGCTGGAATCCCTGCTGTAAAGAAATTCGCAACACAAGAATCAGTAACCCTTTAGATTCCATAAAGCATTTAGAACCACATCTCAATCCATCCACCATTTCCTGCAAACTCCTACAAATATGGGTATATTCCAGGCCTTGCGGACTTACAACACAATACGCTTTTACATTTTATATAACGCCTTTCACGTATGGCGAACATCCCAGTAAACAGTAAACACTGTTGAAAAGGAAGGTCTTAATTGTGATCTGCAAGAGTGGAAGGAGGGGGCAATTCAGAGGGATTGTGGGAGAGAGGCAATAGCTTTGGGGTGTAGTGGCTGAAAGCGCGGTCACCGATAGTGGAGCAGAGGAATGAGGTACAAGCAGGAGACCAGAGCCAGACGAGCAGAGGCAGCAGGTAGTGGAGTGGGGAAAAAGCAGGTCAGAAAGGAACAGAGGTGCCAGGGCATGAAGGGATTTGTAGATGAGTGAGAGGATCTTGAAATCGATCTGCAAGATACAGAGCTTAGTATGGGTCAGAATATAAGTGGCGGATGTTGCAATACACACACATAAATTAGATTAATCACAATATGCACAATCAGGTTGATCCAGAGGACAGAGGGGTTCAAAACAAATCTTGCTGAGTACAGCGTAAATCAATAAACAAAGGCAAGGAGTTCATAGCAGAGCATATGCAGGTGACTAGTGAGAATCATTCACAAAAAGACGTGGTGCCAAGTCCCTGAACAGGAAGCTTGGTATCATGCCTCGGTCCAGGATGTTGAAATGCTTTTTGATAAATTCAGTTTAAAAATACAAATCGGAACATAGATTAAAATACATCTGTGTTCCATGTGTGTTGGTTTTTCAAAAAAATTTTTTAAAATTAACTTGACTTCTTTTAAATAGGAATTTTTTTTTACATTGAGACTTGTGTGGAGTCCGTCAGTGGTAGAAGGTTTGCGTTAAGGCTTGTGGAAGGAACATGCTTGATGGGCTGAATAACCTTTTTATTAAAAAAAATCCATGCGTTCGGATGTGTTTTATGTTCTCGAGATGCTTGTCAAGAAAGGCTTCAGGTTTTACCCATAATATATAATAATCCTTGCGTTTGATATAGCACCTTATCATGTCGTTGAGACGTCTCAAAGCACTTCGCAGAATATACCATAAAGTGGATCAACTGTGACACTAGCTACTGGGTCCGATAAAATAAAGGCCGAGTTTCTCTTCCTGACACAACAGGATCCATGAGTGGAGAGGGGAGAAAAATGGGGACGGGTACACTAGAAGGTAAGGCATTATAAGACTTTGAACTCATACAGTCTAGGTCGACAATGCAGTTCTAGGGGTGCACTGTGTTGTTGGTTGTACCATCCTTTGGATGAGACATTAAACCAAGGTCCGTCTGCCTGTTCAGGTGGATTTTAAAGATCGCCAAACTGAGATACGGCTCAATCATCAATACTCAGAATGCACTCACATCTGCTCCTCGCAAATGTCAAGGTCAAAAGGCTTTAGCATAAAGGTAACCAGGATCCAGAAGTAAACATGGAAACACATTCAGGATATCTTCTCATCTCTCTCCAGTGCAGGCAAGTCTGCCTTTGGGGGATTTGGCTCTTTATCTTGCGCTTGCCTTTCTTTAACATCAGCCATAATTTTGGCAGGATTGAACAGAGCTATATAAATGTAAAACTGATGTCTCTGTTTCATCCTCTGCAGTCTATATTTCTTGGTCTTACAGTGCGCCAAGACAACACCACCTTGCATTTATATAGTGGTCTTTACTCGGGCAGCGACCCGGAGTGCTTAACAGTGGAAGAGCTTGACTCTGAGCCGAGGAAAGTAGGTACGGTCGAAGAGGAAGGTCTTGAGGTGTGATGGGAAAACAGAGGAGGAGGCAAGGCAGAGAGACTGAGGAAGAGAGTTTCATAGTTTTGGTGGCTGAGTGGCTGAAAGCATGTTAAAAACCCAGCAAAAAAAANTACAGTGGAGCTCCACAGTTGGGGTGGGTGTGGGGAAAAGTTCATAAATTTCCAACTAGATTTATCACAGGGAGAAGTTGCTGGTCAGCAATTATGCATTACTCTGCATATGTGCAGATAGACACTAGCTTCAAAAGGCCAGCAGCTTAGCACTCATTAATAAATGGGTGAAGTGGCATTGCAGTCATCACTTAACAATACAACTTCTTGCTTTCATGTAGCTTTTTGGTAAGTAAATGTTGGAGCCCACACGCTGTGCTATTATGATTGCATTCTAACAGGGTTCGACTACATCACGATTTAGTGGAGACTCCAAATCCCACATTAAAAAAAAGAGAGGAACTGGCAATAAGAACCAAGCTTAAACATGCCACAATCATCTTCATTCATTTATATGTGCCTGATGCTGGTAATAATAATAATAATAATCCTTGCATTTGATATAGCGCTTTTCACGTCGGGAGGACGTCCCAAAGCGCTTCACAGAACACACTGTAAAGTGAATTGACTGTATATTTGTGGGCGAACGCGGCAGCCAATTGCGCACAGCAATGTCCCACAAACAGTCGTGGATTGAAAATGACCAATTTATTATTGTTTTTGGTTTTGGAGGGATTATTATTAGGCGTGTGGAGTAAGGAAACTTGCCCAAGGTTTCGCCCTGCCTGGAATTGAACTCAGGTCTCTCGCTTGCAAAGCGAGTGCTCAACCACTGAGCTACAGGACTCCAATGACATAATGGTAATGACATAAAAGTAATTGAATGAAGCTGCTGAATGAATCACAGAAATCTGAGCACAGAAGGTCATTCAACCCATTGTGCTTATATCACAGTAACAGTGCCTCCCCCACTGGAACTATCTTCTCTGAAACATTTAATAATAATCCTTGCACTTGATATGGCAATGGGAGGCACTCGCATTGTTTCGCCCACAGAACTCGCAGCCACTATACTTTACAGTATTTTCTGTGAAGCGCTCTGAGACATCTCAACGGCATGATAAGGCGCAATATCAAATGCAAGGATTATATTACTGTAAAGTGTAACAAATGTGTGTTTTCGAATACCCTGGCCAACAATCCGTCAAATTTAACTGGTTATATATCCTGTGAAGCGAAGTGCTGTGAAACACTGAGCGACGTGATAAGTTGCTATACCAAATGCAGGGATTAGTATTAATGTGCGTACTGATTTACAGCCAAATTTTGTCCAAAAGCACCAGGCTAAAACCATTTCTGTTGACTGTGTTCCAGCCTCTTGCGCACCTTGGTTTCATTTCAGTGCTCAGCTCTCCTCAAGTGCTGGAGAATCATAAAGCAGCGAGGAAACAATGAAAATCAAACACGGACGTTACCTTTTGTTTGAATTCGAAAGTTGATCTTGCTTTCTGAGGGATGAGTGATGCTGTAGCCACAGAACTCCACCTCAGGGCTGAGAAAAAGTTCATACAAAACCAAGGTTAAGCAAATGCACATCTTAAAAAGCTCTGCTTTCGAAAAGTAATCTCTTAGCGTTTATGTAATTTTTAAATCAAGCACCATTCTAACATGTGGAATTTCTCCAAGTTCTTAACAGTAAGAACACAGTGGAATCAGCTAATAGATACTTCTTATATGCCTGAGCCAAAGAGGTGAATCTTAGCATAGTCTCATTCTCACTCTGCAGCTTAGTGGTTAGAGCGGTTAAGCACTTGCCTCGCAAGCGAGAGGACCTGGGTTCAATTTCCGGGCAGAGCAAAACGTTGGGCAAGTTTCCTTACTCCACACACCTCTGTTTACCTAACAGTAAGTAGGAACCCGGTTGTTAGTCGATTGGCGGATCGCTTTTCCGGGGGTAATAAGCCCTTGAAAAAAAAATGTGGTCACTAAATCCACGACTATTTGTGGGACACTGCTGTACACAATTGCCTGCTGTGTATTGCCCACAAAATGTGCAGTCAATTCACTTTACAATATATTTTGTGATAAGGCGCTGTATCAAATGCAAGTTATTATTACATCAACTTTCACATCCAGACAAAGGCTAGTGAATGTGGGTTCCAGCTCAGTCGGGTTATGTAGCTGTGACAAGGTTATAGCTTTGATTCGGCAGGACCACAGTAGGTCCAAGCTATGGCTGAACAGAAAATTGGTTCTCTGCTTCTGTGGTGCACTCACATCCTGAGGCTAGTGCTGTTCAGTCACAAGCACAATCACACGAGTGGCACACAAACAAGTAGCATCAAAATTACTTACTGTATCTCCTTACTGTGAAAGAACTTAAGAGAACATGGAATGAGAGAGCGACCTTCAATCCTACAGACCATGCAAAAAAAACTTCCTCATTGTTTGACATCACCTCCACCCACTCTATCACCCAGGATCTTTACCCCAAGGTAACCAACCACAAACTACAATATTTCCCATTCCCCCATTTTGTAATCTGGCCTCTTTCTCTCGGTAATGAACATCTTCTACCCCTACTCCTCCCCCCCGCGCCCCCCGGCTCACCAGCATCCAAAACATATTGTGCCCCTCTGTACCCTTTAGAGAGTGCTGCTGCTTTTTCCTTCAAGGCCGGTCTCAAGACCCTTCTCTTCGACCGTGCCTTTGGTCTCCCTCCCATCTCTCTGCCTTCCCTCACCCCTACACCAGCCCTCCCCCATGCTTGAGCCCCGACACCTGACTGTTCAGCGCTTTGGGACATCCACCCGACGTGAAAGGCGCTCTATAAATGTCATGTTGTTGTTGCTGTTTGTCAGAGGTGCCATCCTCCAAATGAGACTTTAAACTGAGATCCTGTCTGCCTGTTCAGGTGGAAGTTAAAGATCCCATGGCCCTATTTGGAAAGAGAAGGGAGTTTCCCCCGATGTCCTGGCTAACAATTCCCCAAATAAAAATGGTCATTCACTTCATTGCTGTTTGTGGGACATTGCTGTGTGAAAATTGGCTGCTGCGTTCACCTCCGAAATACAAAGTCACTGCACTTTACATAAACTTTGTGAAGGAAGCACTTTGAGACATCTTGACAAAATGATAAGGTGTTACATCAAATGCAAGTATTATTATTATGTATTATTATTAATACATAGGAAACAATGTCACCAGCGATGCTTGCACATATGCAGTGTGAAATTTGAAAGTCAGACAATTCTGACATTCAGAATACAATTTTTTAAAAAAACACACGCGAAGAAAAGAAAGGGAATTCATTTTCCTTAATTTGGAGAAAACTGGAAAATCTGACGGACCATTTTTTTTCCTTAAAACCACAAACCTGTGTGTCTAGAAATACCCAATGGTTCCCAACCCTGCTCAACCAAGAAGCCTTTTGCACCCTTTAGAGAATAAACCACAATCTCCTCTCTCAATACAAACACAGAACCAGTTTTAATCCACACATGTGGCAGTTCTGTGCAGGGTTTTTTTCCTTTTGAAAGAAACAACAGTATTATTCTTTTCAGTTATTCTCTTGTGGGATTTACTGGAATACGGTTTGCTGTTCGGTGTAAGCTATCTAGCTAGTTTCCCAATTTGAAACAAAGTTTATTACTGGGAGGAGAAACACCTACTTCTTCATAACCATGTACCGCAGGGCGTTCCCAACAGTGTGGTCTTCTTCGTGCAATACAAACGTAATGCTGGAGTCATCAGAGCCATCTGCCTGGACCTGGGAGAGATGGAGACAAACGGCATGGTTCTTATAACAAACAGATCTGGACCAGAAGGCAAAATGCTGCAGATGCTGGAAATCTGAAATAAAAACAGAAGTGGCTGTGAACACTCAGCAGGTTAGACAGCATCTTTGGAGAGGAAAGTTAAGGTCATCGACCCAAAACTGTTGTTAAGAACTGTTAAGAAACTACTGTTAAGAACCAAAAATGCTACCTGACCTGCAAAGTGGTCCCAGATCAGGACTATAGTATAATGCAGATACCGCTAACAGCTATTAAACAGCATGTAGACCTCCCCCCTCCTATGCCTCTATGACTGTGAGACTAATCACAGATCTCTATCACATTCCTTCAGTGCTTCCAGAACACAGCACAGACCCTTACTTCACTCAGTCAACAACAATATAGCTGAGCTCAAACAGTCTATTAAAACAGATTATCACAAGACAGCACGTGGCATCTCCGTAACCCCCATCTTCAATGGTCTCAGTAATCCTCTCGGCACATGTGTATTGGCGAGATCTTGTGGTTACTGGAGCCAGCCTGATTCTCACAATCAACTGACTTGGCATGCGCCATTAGAACAAAGTATTTCATTAGAGCATACATTTGCAGCCTAATTCCAGTATCACGGGTTCCAAAGTGCTTGCCAGAAATCATCCACATAAAACAACTCGGATCACTTGTGATGAACAGAATGTTTTGATTCCCCCTCAGCACGGAGAGCTGCAGTACCACTAATCCCCTAGAGGCGGCCCTGCAGAGTAACACGGCTGTTTGCAGCTCAGCACCGCCACCCGCAGACTCTTGGGGAAAAGACACATCAAGAACAATTTGCGTGTGGACATCAGAGAGAGACACTGCAGAGCTCTGGATGGTCTGCAACTTGTGTTGGGTGGAGCTGGGGGTCCAGAGTAGGGCCATGACGAGGGTGAAGATAAGGGTCTCAGCTGCACGGTGGGTGGGGCGGAGGGGGGGGGCGAGATGAACAATGTTGCGGAGATGAGATGAATTAGCAATTCACCATCATGGTGCGTGGCTGGCCCTTTGATAATACAAGTAGCAGTCTGATTTGCTTACAGTATAGTCACTAGATTTGACAGCAATTACTTGAGAGACACAATGAAGTCACTAGACTTGACAGCAATTACTTGAGAGGACGCTTAAGAGACATTTCAACGTGATCAGTTCATTCATTCCCATTCATGATCCAAGACACTGCTAAATGGCTCAATCTAGTCCCATGTAACTACTCACACAAAGTTATTGACAACGTTGCAGTTACCAATATTGGCCAAAGGTGACCGACAAGTGTGAAAATATGCTATGGCCGTAATATCTAATATTATTATTAGATGCTGGTCGATCTGTGTTCACTCCAATGGCCATAGCATAACATAGAAATCCCATGCATCCCACCTACACATGGAAATTCCAGGGATATTTGTTGGAATGCGCATTCTCTCCCCGGAGGGATACATCCTGCTTACCTAATTCGAGAAAGCATTAGGTGCAGGTGGGCAAGAGCCGCGATTGGAGATCCCAGAATGTGCACCGGGGTAACTGCTGGAGTCTAACCAGCTAACACCGCATAGCTTGCCATCGAGAGCACCGTCCGGCAAGCTTTCCCGCTGTTTGTCCAGCTGGGACCATCCTACCCGTTAGGGCTTTGGCTTGCAGCGTGAACGGCAGGTGAGTCCCGGTCCCCAATGACTGGTCAAACCTTCCAAATCCTGCCAACGAGTCGATCGTCATCAGAACCGAAACACACACGCGCACAATTCCGTGCGGTCGGTGCCGTTGGCGTACGTGGAACTACCAGTCCGGTACGAATACTCATTTTGAGCGCGGTGACGGGGTTTCCGCCCGCGCCGGGCATCCTCGCCCGGACCGATCGAAAAGAAAATGAATGTGATTCGGTCTTTTTTGGGGGGGGGGGCAACCGCGCGTCTGAACCACGCGGAAAAAACCATCACCCAGTTTGAGAGCATCCAAACCAAGACGGGAAGGACCTCCACCCTTCCCAACCCACACATGGAAACCCCAGGGATAGATTGTTGGAATGCCCTCTCTCTCTCTCTCTCTCTCTGTCTGTCTCCCCTCCTCCCCCACCCCCCACACCAGGCGCAGACTGGCGAGAGCCAAGGCTTGGGGACCCCAGAGTGTGCGGTGGGGGGTAACTGCTGGAGTCTGACCAACTAACACTAAATAAATTAAGTGGGATGGAATTCCTGCCCCCAGGGAGAGCCCTGGGATCATCCCGGCCTCCTCTCCCCCCCTCCCCCACACAAGCCCAGAGCCAGCCTGCAAACCCCAGACACACACGTCCTGGTCTCTCTATCCACGCCGCGGCCACACGACTTTCCTCTTGCCGGCCCGCGCGGGAGCGCCGCCATTAGCCCTCACCATCTCCAGCGCAGGCCTGCTCTCGCCCTCCGCCGTTGCCATGCTCACGCCGCTCGCACCGGGGGGCGCCTCCAATATACGTCACTGTCACTGCCCGTCGCGTGGCGCGAGGGCTGCCGGGAGTTGTAGTCCTCCCCCTCCTCTCTCTCTCTCCAGCGCTCCTCGAATTTCTTCGGATCCCTTTCATCTCAAAGGAAGACAACGGTACCTCCCTCCCCCATTACCCTCCTCTACCCAACCCTCCTCTCTCCCCCTGATTCGGTGCTGGAGGAGTGCTCACAGGAGGGCGACCATGAGTGGCCAGAAATCCGTTTGTAGCCCAAAGTCCAACAAATACGAGCCCAAAAGTAGCCCAATACGGAGCGTCGATTTCCACCCTCGCCGGGTGAGTTAGCGGCGAGGCTAATTTAGCTCAGTGCTTTTGAAACTGTGTCAGAAGAAAAGGTCTTCAAAGGTTTCTTTTCTGGGGGGGGAAAAAGGGAAAAAAAAAGTTTTGCAAGTTTAAATTTTTTTTAAAAAAATTGAAATACCCGCCCAAAGCCGTTTATCCCCCCCCGCCCCGCGCAGCGGAGGAACAACCCGCCCGATTGGGCGTGAAACCCGCCCAACCTGGGAACGCTCACAGCGGCACCTGGCAGCGGCGCATGCGCAGTGAGCATGTCGTGTGCGCGCGGAAAGGGGGAGTGAGACGCCTGCGCAGTGAGCACGTGTGCGCGTGTGAGAGAGTGAGGCGCCTGCGCAGTGAGCGTGTTGTGGGTGTGTGCGGGTGGGGGGGGAAGAGAGTGAGGCGCGTGCGCAGTGAGTCACCAGCAGCTGACCGGACGTGTGTGTGTGTGTGTGTGGGGAGCGACAACAAGGCCTGAGAGAGGAGGCAGTCAGTGGGGATTGGGCTCAGCTGAGAGCGGCGGCGGCTGTGTATATACACACACACCGGGGGGGGGAGAGGCAGGAGAGCGGACCAGACACCGGCCATTCCTGCTCCCGCGGTGGTGGCGGCTCCAGGGTAAAAGCAGAGGCTCTGTCGGCGGCTCCATTCCTTCTCCGCCCGGTCCTGGGGCTGTTGACTTAAGGGGCTGTGTGTGTGTGTGTGTGGGGGGGAATGTAATGTCTCCATTTAACTCTTCCTCCCGTGTGTGAGGGAGTGGGGTGTGGGGGGGGATTCGGTGTTGAGTGTGTGGAGCCTTCTGAGAGGCTGTGTTAATGGGGCACAACCCCTGATCTGCCCAACAGATTACCCCCCAGATAACATTGGTCATTTGCTTCCTGGTTGTCTCTGGGACGTTGCTGTGGGCATTTTATAGTAATATAACAGGGCGCTGTGTTTTGCCCACCAATATACACGGCCAATCCACTTTATATAGTATATCCTGTTAGTGTGCTTTGAGATGCGGTTGTGATGTGATCGTAAGGTGCTATATTAAATGCAAAGATTATTATATAACAATCCTTGGGATTTGAATCTGCCTTTCGTGCCGCAGAGTGCTTTGCAGGATTGCTGCACGGTGCGGTGACAGTATTTTGCAGGTGAATTGTCAAATTGGCCGCTGTGTTTGCATGCAAATGCACAGTCACTGCACTTCACAGGAAGGATCCTGTAAAGTGCTTTGGGCATCCTCCTGATGTGAATGGGGTTATAATAATAATAATTCTTGCATTTGATATAGCGCTTTTCACGTTGGGAGGACGTCCCAAAGCGCTTCACAGAACACACTGTAAAGTGAATTGACTGTATATTTATGGGCGAACGCAGCAGCCAATTGCGCACAGCAATGTCCCACAAACAGTCGTAGATTGAAAATGACCAATTTATTATTGTTTTGGTTTGGAGGGATTATTATTAGGCTCTGTGTGGAGTAAGGAAACGTGCCCAAGGTTTCGCCCTCTGCCTGGAATTGAACTCAGGTCTCTCACTTGCAAAGCAAGTGCTCTAACTACTGAGCTACAGGACTCCACAGTGAGGGCATTTGAGCAAAATTATTCCCTCCAGATGTAAAAGGGCAGTTTTTGATCTCGCAGTAAAATTGCCAATAAATACATTTCCCAAGGTCTGAGCAAGTTTTTACAAAGTGATCACTTGTAGAATTTTTCATGGCAATTTGACTTCTGTGAGGTCTTTTAATAATAATAATCATTGTATTTGATGCAGTGACTTATCATGTTGCTGAGATGTCTCAATGTGTTTCACAGAATATATTGTAAAGTGAATTGACTGTATTTGTGGGTGAAATGTGGCAGCCAATCGCGCACAGCAGTGTCCCACAAACAATCGTGGATTGAGTGACCAATTTCTTATCAGGATTTAACTTTTTTTTGGGGGGGTGGGGGGGTATTTTAGGACAAATTTAAATTTCAGCTCTTCAATTACAAATGTGTAACTGACATTAACTGCAGTCTGCATTTTTTTTTACTGTGGTTTGACTTTGTCTCTTACGACATCTTTTAGAGCAGCCATGGCAATTTTGTTTGGGGTAGTCGCACGTGGCACCACTATCCTCGCAAAACATGCCTTTTGTGGAGGGAATTTCTTGGAAGTGACTGAACAGGTACTGGCAAAGATTCCATCAGAAAACAACAAACTGACCTATTCCCATGGAAAGTAAGTATGGTGAAGGTTTTGGCTTATGAAGCCTAATGGCGTGCATATGCTGGTTGATTTGGTGACAAGTTTGCTGAATTTGAATATATATGTGTGTAATTAATTCTTAATCTGTGCTTCTCTGAAATAATGCATTGTAGTGAATCCTCTTCCTGTCAGAGGGCCCATTATAGCCATATTGTAGCTTTTTAAAAATAAAATAGCAACGCTTAAAGCCGTTCTGTAACATTGATGACGAGAATGTGAAATCACTGGCAAACTGCAGGAATATGGACGTGAATCTGGAGAGATTGGAACCTGCTGGAGCTTGTTGCTGCTGTTTACAGTGTTATCTGAACTTTTCACAGTTGTAACCTTGTAACCCATGTGATGTGCTCTCACACAACTAAAGAATCTGGTGTTTGAGTTGTATTTCTTGCAACAAAAAATCTTTTGTGCTCAACAAAGTGAGGACTGTGTGTATTGGAAGTAGTACAATGTGGAAAGAATATAGCATATAAGCATATTTGTTTTTCTTCAGCAAACAAGACTTAATTCAATCTTAGAACATTCTCTGCTGCACCTGTGCCTTTTCTTACACTGACCATCATGTGGCAACTTGGAATGCTATTGCCAATTATTTGCCAATTTAGGGACTAGTTTTTCCCTGTGGACCAATGTCCATGGAATTGTTGATACCTCCCTAAACTGATTTTATGTTAGAATAGTACAGATTCCATCATTCTCGGCTGCAACCAGGCCTGAGAGATGATGAGAGGTTACTGTACAACTTTTTTAAAAGCGAAACAAAGGCTAGTGAACAATAAATAAATGAATTAATGGTGAATTTTCATTTATCTTATTGAAGATGAATGACACGATTGTTGGGTTTAAGTATGCTATAGATTAATAAATGTATAAAATACAGATTTCTCTTCTCCCCCACTTGGTGACTAAATTAGCAATCTGTCACACAGTACAACAAATTACATTTACACAGTGCCTTTCATGTGAGGAGGACATGGGGTGAGGGGACTGGAATAAAGATCCATGATGTGGGGCCAAAGAGGCTAAAGGCCTGCCTGCTGATGGTAGGGCAGACTGATGCTGTACACCAGAATATTGATAATGATGAAGCCCCCAAAAATGTAACTGTTGCCACTGCTGCATAACTAACCACTTTCTATTTCTCCACAGCTACTTATTTCATTATATTTGCCAGGATAGGATAATCTACCTGTGCATCACAGATGATGTAAGTCTGGAATCTTGGTTTAATATTGGGGTTTAGAAGCATATGCCTTGAGTTTGTGTGGAGTTTGTTGTTTCTAAGTAATTAGTCTTCCAAATGCAATTTTCAAAAGTGAGTTTGACATCTATTGTGGCATGCTGTAGGCATGTTTTTTTTAACTTGTTTGATTATCGATTTCAATTGCAAGATGCTTTGTCTGTGGAGAAACCTGGTCCATGTAGAATCATATTACAATACAGGAGGAGGCCACTTGGCCCATCCTGCCAGTGCCGGCTCTTTGGAAGAGCTATCCAATCAATCCCACTCAAGTACGAATCCAATTATCTTTTCAAACCTTTACGTAACTTATGTACAATACCTTTTTTGCTGGAAGAATGTCTTAAACGCCTTTTGCAAAGGCTGAGCTGGGAGGGAGTGTGGAGGGAAGTGGCCCCAATATACAATATCTAGGTCTTCAGATGGGATTTGGAAGGGGGTGAGATGGATTTTTCAGGAGAATTTCATCCGTTCCAATAATATTCTCTCCTTTAATGTTGTACAGGACTTCGAAAGGTCCAAGGCCTTCTGTTTTCTAAATGAAATCAAGAAAAGGTTTCAAACCACATATGGTTCAAGGGCTCAGACAGCACTGCCTTATGCAATGAACAGCGAATTCTCCAATGTGTTGTCTGCACAGATGGTGAGTACCTGGCAGTTTCAACTCGGAGATGTCCATAAACTGTTTTGTGTAGTAATTGTAGTAGATGCACTGCAAGCCTAGAATAGTCAATTACATTGCACATGTGGGGAGCAACACACAGTGATTCTAGACAGCTGCTTTGAGTTGGAGTGTGTAATATACATGTGTTGCTTAAACATTGGGTTCGATATGTCTGGTTTATAGCTGGTAATCTTGGTTGCTGATTCTGCACAAAATAACCCACTATTTACATTATTGATTCCCTTTAATATTTATTAAAAAAATTCCAATGAGAGTATATTTATTTTCATAACTGTTCTTAAACCTGGCATTGTTCTTCTCAATCGCTTCCATAGCCTCTGTCTTAGCTACAGTCGTTCAATGTGGGCTCGGTGAGCCTTTTTGGTGTTGTTAATCTTTCACTTGTAATTGAACAAACTAGTATTTGTTGTGAAATACCTTAGTTATGCTGTGTGCTGAGTAGACATGGTGCATGATTGGGTTGCTTATGGAACTAGTTTTTGTATTGAAATATTCTGTTAAAATGACATCAGCAGTTTCTGTAGACATTGTCACCAGTTTGCTTTCAGTTTCAGCAATGTGCATTGTCTTTGGAGAGCAATACCTTTCACAATGTTGCTGTCAATCTGCACTGAATACTCTAACCTGCATTAATATAAATGTTTACTTCTTCACCACATGAGCAAAGACATAGCCCAGGGGTAGCACAAATCCATACAATCTAGAAAATGTCAGATTTCTCAGTCTTTGCCAAGTTAGGTGTTTCAGCTGCTCCAGCACTTGGAACGTGACAATCTCTCTGCTCATGGAAAAAAATTCAGTCAGTGTTCCTCTCCTGACTTCTGTTCAGTGACCTCCATATGTGTATACATCAAGTGAGAATAGGGTAGGGCTCTGATGTCAAAATAATTTGCTGAAGCCCTTTCTGCAGCTTCAAGAGAAGTTGTATTGGACAGAGCTTATTTATGTAGGCATTGGCAATAATTGTTACCAGACTGTAGTTAATGTCAGCATCTTTATTGGTCTGCCCAAGTCAACTAGAGTGGGTCAGACAATCTGTTTTCTGCATGTAGAATATGGGCTACAACAAATAGGATTAAGACTGAAACTAGTACATTGAATCTATTGTGCTCTTCTATACTGAAGACAAAAACTGATGGACAAAGTGGGATTTGTGCTTGTGTACATGCCTTGCTTTGGTACAAAGTAATGAACTGTGTTTGTATCTCTGGGTTGGTCTTTGTGCCAAGCCATATAGTCTTTGGAGAAAGAATATCTTGTTCTCAAATGTTTAATGCTGTTATCTCTTATCAGTGATGACCAAACTGACTATCAGCCCTCTGGCTCATGGCTCTCATTGTGTAATCCATGTGGTGCATCTATATTTTCAAGCTGCCTTATAAGCAGTATTAATTTAATAAGGATAGCATAGAGGACATTTGGTTCAATCTGACAATTTGCATTTATGTAATGCTTTTAACAATATGAGATTAATTAGAAACGGTCAGTTTAAAAGTAGAAATGGAGACTTGGGGCCCAAATAATAATTGGCAACAAATGGTCTTTTAATCTAATGCATTGCATTAAATTCTATTTTCACATGGAATAATGTGAACTCATTACTAATGTACACCATTATCCTCAAAGCTAGTGGTTTAATGGTGTGGTATCTTTAAAAGACCACGTTGTCGGTGTTGTATTGAAGCCTGTGGATTTTAAATACATAAGCTAGGCTGACACTCCAATGCAGACCTGGGGTGTGCTGCATTGCAGGGAGGTGGTGACATTAGGATGGGATATTAAACTGAGATTCCTCTCTGCCTTTGCAGGTGGACACTAAATTTCCCATGGCACTAAAAAAGAGAAGGGATGTTTAACCCAGTTTTCTGGCCAACAATCCTGTAGCCCTTCAATTCATGGCTGTTTGTTGTGCATTGCTCTGCAAATGGGCCGTCACTTGCTCCTATAAATGGTCACTACACTTTTACTGGATATCCTGAGAAATGTTTTGATGTTGTTCTGAGTGAAAGATGCTATTATACAATGCAAGTATTATTAGCGTTAACTTTTAAATATTTTCTTTTCAGAGACATCTTTCAGAAAACAAGAGCACAGACCGTCTTACAGAGACACAGGTGCAAGTAGATGAGTTGAAAGGAATCATGGTTCGAAATATCGGTACGTACCAAAATGTGGAACTTTGTCTTTTGAAAAGGGAATAATGAAGGTTCTCTGCCACGGAGCACCATTTACTGTTGCCTCACACTGTTCCCTGGCCGAGTGGGTTTTAGTGCTCCATAGGCTACTGGTAGCTTGATTCCCCGAGGCTTGTGATTTATTACCTGATTCAGAACATACCCCGTTGCCAGATGAAATGATGCCAGCATGAAGCTGCACTCTGGGCTCATCGTGTCACATCTTTGAGCTACCAGTATTGTTTAAAAAAAAAAAATTGGGGTGGGCACTCCACTGGGCAGCCAGGTAAACCCATCACTGTGTCTAAGAGTGTCCAAACCAAACTGAGAATCCCATGCATCTCACCTACACATTGAAATCCCAGAGAAAGATTGTCAAAATGGATTGCACACACTCTCCCTGGAGGAACGCATCCTACTTACCTTATTCCTGTAAGTATTAGGTGTAGGTTGGCAACAGCCAAGGCTTGAGAACCCAGAGTGTGCGTCAGAGTACTGCTGGAGTCCAATAGGCTAGAACCGCATAGCTTACAGGCTGGCAGGCTTTCCTGCTGCTTGTCCCACTAGGACCACCCTCCTTGTTAAGGCTGTATTACTACATTCACGGTATCACACCTTACTATACAGATAATACTAATTGTTTAGCTGATCATGGATGAAATGAGCCATTCCTGATTATAATAACATAAGGATCTGTGCGACTCTGTAATTAAATACAAGATGTGTGAGCTTTATAAGTCCCCTCTTTCCTGCTGTTGTGGCACTTCAGTAGAATATTAAGTGAAGTCTGACTTTTATCTTTGACCTCTTGTGATGACTAGAGACCCATGGCTTCCAATAAAATGTTCAATTTAAAGAGCAGCTTAAGTTAGATGTGAAGACTTGTGGAACAAATGTTGTGGTTTTGTTTCTTTTCCAAGTTCACCAAATTTATATGCTTGTTTTTATACAGCAATCCTGTTTTGTCAGAATTGAAATGTATTAGCAATGTACTTCAGTCAGAAATAACCAAATTTAGTTTCCTGTGTTTGTTTTGTTTGGCTGCCTGTTTTCTTTATGGCTTGACTTGGTGCTTTTTTTTCCCCCATCTGCAGATTTGGTGGCTCAAAGAGGGGAAAAATTAGAGCTTCTAATCGACAAAACTGAGAATCTAGTAGATTCGGTGAGTTTCATATATTTTTATACGCTTCAAAATGTTACTAAAAACAAAACCATTAGTGCTAGTACTGGGGGGTGTGTGTGTTAAAGTGAGCACAAATCTGCTCACATTGTACTGTGCAATGGACCAGTGTGATCTTTTGCTCTCGGCTTGAAGAATGCAAGAGCAATGGTGGGGACTGGAGCTTTACTGCATTAATATTGGCACAGTGTAGATTACTTCAGTGGAGATGAGGAGAAGCATGCTGGATGAGTTTGAGCCTAGGTTTGATGTGCTCGTACAGAATTGCATCAAAATTGTCAGTGAGTGAGCCCGACAATGGTGGAACAGAGGACACGAGGGACATGCAGAAGGCTGGAGCCAGATGAGCGGAGGCAGCAGATCAGAGAGGTAGGGAGGTGCCAAGGCATGAAGGGATTTGAAAATGAGTAAGGATCTTGAAATCTATCTGTTTTGGTGATAGGGGGTCTATGGAGCCTGGCTAGAACTGGTCATGCTGTGAGCCCTGGAAATAAAGGCACTAGGTAGCCTTGTCTTTGATAGGTTTTGCAAGGTTCACTCTCTAGTCCAGCACAGGATGGAGTTTCAGAGATGAGACTTGCTGGAGAAAACCAAACTTCGAGACTGCTTTATCAATGGGGTGGAAGGTATGAGAATGCCATCTAAGATCAGAAAAGATGGCGGGGCTGAGATTAATCAAAAGGATCGCGTGGAGGCAATAAAGGTAGCTCTTGTTTGGATTTGTGAGATGAGGTAGCATTAGCATTTGAAAGCAGATTTCCGTTGAATTGTTATCTGGATAAGAGTTTGACTTCTTTTTCTTCCCCACCGCCCTTTGGTTTCTTCCTTAGTCGGTCTCATTTAAAACCACCAGCCGAAACCTGGCCAGAGCAATGTGTATGAAGAACCTCAAGCTGACTTTCATTATTGTCATTGTTGCCATTGTAAGTATACGCTTCTCCAACATGTATAATGTAGGTGTGACGTGTGACCTTGTGCTGTCTCGCAGTGGGCAGTGCCTCCCTCTATAAGAGCCAAGTCTTTCATTGGAAAGTGAAAAGACACAAGTGTCTGAGGACCTTGTAGTATGGAATAGAATTGCAACATCGTTGAATTTTTTTTTCTTTCTCCTCCCCCTCTTTCTCCCCCCCTCCCTCCCTCCCACTATGTTGCACAAAACGTTGTTACTTCCTTCTGTTTTTCAATGTTCTCTGTATTGCTGCCAGTGTTCAGTTACCATTTGGGTTCTTAATGAACACAGATGTGCGGGAGGGAGGGGAGAGAAACCAGATATTTTGGTGGAAGTAAATAAGGTAATTAATCTATTAGACTCTCCCTTCATATATAATTATCAAATGACACTCCCGCCTTGTAACAACTGCTTCGAAGCTCCTAATTAAAATCGTAACTTCTCCAAAAGTGCTGGGAGGGTAAGGTTTTTGGCTCAGTTATGAGTATTGAACTACAGTCACGAGTATTGAAGCTGATGTGAGTCATGCACATCCTCTGTCCAAACAGTGTGCAGGAGGTCGGTGTGGATAGACAGTAAGTGGTGTTTAGGGAGGCTTCCTCACACTAGCTGGGCCCTGAACCAAAGGCAATATCTCGGTAACTACTCATTTTCAACTCTACACAGACTAACATTTAAGGAACAATCTCAAATCTTAATTCATGATTGGATTTCTTATTGCATGCAATACATATTACCTAAAAACTCAGGTTAGCAGGATCAACCAAACCATCACTTACCCTACCTCCCTCCTTTTTGTGACCATTTCCAGCAGAGATCCTCTTCAGTGACTTTTCCGAGGGCTATCAAACTCCGTGATCCCATTTTCACCCGACTCCATTGGCTCCCTATCCTTCAGAGGATCCAGTTCAAAATCCTGGTCCTCACCTACACAGCCCTTGATGATCTCGCCTCACCCTATCTCTGTGACCTCCTAACTCCCGACCATGAATCTCATCTGTCCCTTTTACTGAATTGCTGTATTCTCTTGGAACCAAGAATATATTAAATACAAACCATTATTGTGTTTTAATGACTTCAAAGAATAACTAGTGAAAGGTAATTCCTCCTGACTCTTAAATTGACCAAGGGAGCATAAGATCAGGTCTGTTATTCGAAGAGTTGAGGGGAAAACTGGAAGCATTTTTTTCATTTAGAGGATTATTGAGAAGTGGAATCTTTGTCACAAGTAGCTATGATAACAATTTAAAAGGTAATTGGATAAGTGAAAACAGTATATCCTGTGAAGCGCTTTGAGATGTCTCAAAGATGTGATAAATAACTATATTAAATATTATTATTAGGAGTATTAAAAAAAAGCAACATAATGCTGGGAATTAGGATAAGAATGGAGAGCGACCAGGCAGGAGAATTCAATAAATCTCTGCTTCAGTGTTGCTCAATCATTGTTCTTTCAGATTGTCGTTTACATCATTGTATCAGCTGCATGCGGTGGACTGTCGTGGCCACATTGCGTCAACAAATGAGCAGAAATTGTGGTCCTGTTGGTTGGAAGAACAGACTGATTAAAACCTGAGTTTGACCACTGGCACAAAATGTTCACAGGAGACCCGTGTGTTAAATTTATTTTGTTTCTTCCGCCATAGGTTGAAAGGCTGTAGTTTTTTGCTTGCCTTATTTTTCACACCTTTTTATACTTATTAATTAAAGGAGTTATTGCATTACAACTGAAATAACAAATATTTTATTCTTAGGGCAGTATTCTGTGATCGTGGAATTCAAATTGTTCAAATAGCTTTTGAGTTTTAATTGATATAGTGCATTCTGAGCTATTTAATTCAAATCTGTTGAGCACTTTCTAAAATTGTATGCAGATTTTCCTGTGGCCAACTGTCCCTTGTGGTGACAACTGTGATTAAGACTGTGAAAGAAATCCTTACATTGAAGGCAGGCACCACATCTGGTTTGGACCCTTACCCCTCAAATAGAGTTGTCTTGTGAAGTCCTATTGGGAACAGTGTGATGTTCTTGATTGTCTAGGTGGAAATGGATATAACTGGTTCTGTTCCCGTGTGAACTGGCTAGAGATATCAGAACAGTCTTGTCTACCTCTGGATGACAAAGAAGGAAATGGGGGAGGGGAGGAAGGGACCTTAGTTGTGAAGTCCAAAATGAAGATTTGCTTTTCACGGCAACTTGGAATGCTAGCACAGTATTAAGCAAAAGTGACTTGGAAGGGATTTTAATTTGCCCAATTGAACAGCAATCATTACTAAATTAATGTAAAAAATGTAAATAATTTTCTTATTGCTAGTCATGTGGCCAGTATGTGTACAGTACATCTCAACAAACGGTTAAAGCAGGTGTGGTGCAAATATTAGTTATTGTGATTATAAATAATTGATAGTAATGCTGCTTTATGGACAACTGTTAATCTGTGCTTGCCTTTTTTTATAGTTCATATCTTGAGAATTTGTGCTGCTTTGAGCCCTTTGCAGACAATAAGAAGCATGAATGTAAATGTTTCGCTGACTTTTTTACAGAAATGGATTCTTCAATACTCGAGTGTCGCCTGTTTACCCCAGGGGCCTGACTAACTTGATGACTGTTCTTTCTTGGGAAGTGGGGTAAAGCTCCGTGAAAAATGATCTTATTGGTATCCAAACATGGAAACTTTCCGATATTGCAAAATGAATATGACTTGAGCTTATGCTTTCATTGAGTTCTCCCTATATTACAAGTGGTTCCTGGACAACAGTAGTAAATGATATGGCTTTTTCCCTTTGGATCACTGTCCAGAGTATTTATGAGGGATTACATGGCACAGTGAATAACTTTGTTCTTCACATGTGGGCTATGCATTCATATCTAGTCAACGGGTGAAATTGCAAAGACTCCCAGAGTTTGGCCTGTTTCAGTCCACTTCTTATTGATGTGTGGGAACTAGATATGTATTTCTACCCATCTTCAGGTCAATGTCCCAAAATTGATAACCCAATTCAACTAATCCATGTTGGGTGCAGGCATGTTAGCAGTTGTGCTGTGTGTATCAATGGTGGAATAAAGATGAGGGGTGCATGACCAAGTGGCAAATGACAACCAGTGATAGTGTAACAGGTTTTCTCAGTAAGAGCCAGTGTGTTTAAATGCCCCAACTTGGAGATTCAAGTTGATCACTGGGGTCACAAATGTGTCTTTTTCCCAGTGATGTGCATGTATTTTATGTCTGTCAATTCAAATCTATTAATGAGCACCTAACTTGATAATCTCTATCTGGACTGTTGCATTAGGTGTAGCTGCATGGTTGTGTTCTATATCCCACATCCTTGCCTTAACACTTGCTAATGTAAAACTTTGAGAAACGTGTGATCCCTAAAGCCTGGATTTAATGGAGTTCCTTTTTTTAAAAAATGTTTACATATTAAAAGCATCTCAAGCAATGTGTAACACAGAGCAACTAATTTTCATAACTGTAAATTGAGCAATTTTAGATTAATACACTAATCCTTAATGTAATTCTGATTATCTTGTGCTCTAACACTTGCACTCTGTGATATGCTCACCCTGCCCCCTCATTAAAGCACTTTCTGATATAATACTTCCATGTGAAATGCCCTCTGTAGATGCTGATTGTATCTGTCCCTAGAAAATGCCAATATATTGATTAGGATTGCCGTCCATAACCGTTTTAAATCTTTTAAAAATGGGAATGTAGTAAAATAAATCAATAGAATCTTACTCTTGTTAATGTGTCTTGTAATAAGTACATCAATTGTGGCTGCATATAAAGGGGTTTTTGCTCTTGTACTTTGCATTACATTGAATGGCAAAAATAAAACATTTAAACAATCTTGTTTTCTTAAATGTCAAACGTAAGACAAAATATTTCCAGTTAGTTTTGTAAGGGGTGAAGCTATTGTGAAATTGGTGAGACTTTGGTTGATCAGGTCCAAAACTAAAACAATTATTTGATGATAGATCTGATTTAGCTTGATACAAGTTTGGTTAGACATAGGTGGCCTGATCTGATGCCTGGAAGCTTCCTTTCAGATTTTTTTATGAATGGTGCAGTTTTTATTGGGGTTTTGTAACTATGTGGAAGATTCTTGGAATGTTAGTACTAGCCTCCAAATCCCTGACTATCCAGTGCCTTGGGAAGGTGCTATAGAAATGTAATTTGTTATTGCCCTCTAATGAATCCAGATTTTGTAGTTGGCATTGGTGATTTTAAAATAAGGCTGTTTTAACTGTGGAAGGGCAGGGGCAACAGTTCCCTCAGGTCTGTCTAATTGACAATTTTACTGACTGCTTATTTCTCAAGTGGTCAGTGGGTGTCATTTTCATGCCCAGAAAAAAGATAAGGAATCTCATATAGTGGTAGCAAGTGGCAAGATAACCTTACATGTGGTCAGTATGATGTGTATTGGAATGAATCTGCCACCTTGAATACATGCTGTTCCTTACCTTAAAACATGCAGGATCAAGCTTCTCATGGCTTGCAAAGTATGTCTTCACCATGATACTTCCAAGTATGATCCTTACTATGTCCTGCCTGCAGGTGTTGTAAACAGATGCTTGACTTCACCAAGTCCCACTTAGGCTGTAAATCCAAATTGAAGCTTTCATTTATATAGATACTGTTGCTTCTCTCTTGCAGAAACTTGAAACTAAATGTGTGTGAAGCAATAAGAATTACAAGCTTCAAATCTTGCATACTGCATCCATTGGTGCTTTAAGCCAAGGCTAACTGTGGAGAACATTTTAATTATGAAGTTCATTCATATCCCTTAACTTCAGCTGTTCCCAGACTTGAAGAATTGACCCAAAAGAACATTGCAAGTTTATTTTAAAAAAAGATTTAATTTAACTAAGAAATTCAAGTGGAATGCCATTTACAATCAACATTTACCCAATCAATGCCAGCACAGTGAAAAATAAAACCACATAAAAGGTTTCATGCTAGTGTACAAACTGGAAATTAAGCAGACTTTCAACGCTTCTATCTTATAAAGACTTTGTAATACTGTATACATTAAAAGTAAAGGTCCCTCAGTAATGTCCTTTAAGAACTAAAAATGTACAATGAAAGTCAGTTTGTGTAAATCAGCTGTTTGAGAACTAGAACAGTAAAATTCACATCACAGCACAGACCTGACTACTCACAAGTGAGGTGAGTTGCATAAGAAACTAACTCAATATTGGTGCCACACATTTATCTTGTACCCTTACTTTCATCGTGGCTTTTTATTTTTCCTAACTTGCAAAGGAAATGCAATATGACCAAGTCACACTATCTCCAAAACCTGACTAGGGAAAATAATATAAATGTGCCACAATGAAAGCAAGTCATTCTTTGCCTCTGGCAATAATCACAGGGTTTTCTAAAACTAATGCAGCATAAAAAAATTGCATTCCTCAGGAAAGTATCTAAAGTTTTTAGATGGCCTGAGCAGAGTGATTGGGTCTTCACCCACCTAACTCCAGCAAGGTGTCTAGCTGATCACCAAGTGCATTAGTCCCACAAGGGTGTAGTGCTTTTAGTGAGATTTCAATGATCCTAATCTTGTTCAGTGAGGGGGTTTGCCTGAGGTAACAAATGCAGGTCACTGGTAGTTCCATCCACCGGTAAATACAGACAAGCTCAGGTTAGTTATGCAAGGAGAAAGGGAATGAGATTTCAAAATAATCTCCACTTTGTCAAATACTGGGAAAAGTTTGAAACAGGCAGATTTGGCAGTGACTCAAGTGCAAACAGCTCTACTGGGGGTTTTCATATATAAATAGAGCAAACCAATCTAAGATTTGCCACATATCAAAACACTATTGTTGGTGGGTGCTAAGTGGTTAGATGATGGATCTTCATATTCTGTGACACATCAAGACTGACGAGTCTTGTTTCTTTCATTCCTTATTTTCAAAGCAATCCTTTCTTCAACTTTTTGGCATTGCAAGTACCATTATCAACAAATGTTTCATCAGCATTTTCCAATTCACCTTTGATCCAATATTAAGAGATGCACAAAAGCATAGTTATCAACTCCCCTTGGAGAAACCTCATGCCTAAAAGATAAGAAATACACTGAATAGAGAATGCACATCCTAATACTACATGTCTTGCTCCCAGCCTGCTGGAGAAGATTAAGCATAGAGGGAGCCCAGATGCCTATAAACAAGGCAGGTCTGGAAATCAGTGCTGTAATGCATTGTGTAAGAATACTGAGACATTTCTTCTCATAGATAGCTAGACTGTCCTGCAGAGATTACTACTCCAATCTAATTTCCCAGTCATGACAGAATCCAATTCAGGAAGGCAGTTTTATAAGATATTTAATTTTCTCTCATGTTGCCCATATAGCAAGGTCAATGACGTATTAACCAATTCACACACCACTAGTGCTCTAAACAGCAGGTGACAATGCAGAAGAATAGCTTCGGTGTCACTTCATTTCCCATCTTTTAACCATTAATGATCAATTGCAAATCTAAACCCAAATCCCACCCAGTAAATTTATGAACCTACACACAGCACGGCAGAGATCACACATCTTGCACTGCCAATTGCACAAGTACAAAGGAGGCAGCAAACCTCTAAACTAACTACACCCTAAGAAAATATTCTCAAGAATTTGTTGTACCAGATTTTCAAATTCCACACACGCATATATTCACATCTTGATACATTTGCAAAAGGGATGTTGGTCAACAGCTTGACTAAACAGTTTTCCCAACTGGTGCAATGCAGTTGACACCAAGTTAGAGGAACACAATGTCCTGTCGCAGCAAACACAGGGACATTTGTGTTTGTTGTTGATAAAAATCCTTTGACTGAGAGCTCCAGAGCAGAATTGAATAAAGGAATGTCCAGACACTTGGCAGCTACAGGCATCTCCAAGTAGATTTATGCCACTGACCTAAATCACTCTCCCCATTATCTCAGTTGTGTTTACATTAGGAAATTATAAGTTTCAAACTATAAAGCTTCAAGGCAAAATGTGACGACTTTTGCTGTTTCAAAACAATCTGGTTCCATAATTTTACCCTTTACCACCGGTTAAGGTCACTGTCAGTTTGGAAGGTTTCAGCTTTCAAAGCTTAAATATGTAAACTAGTCGATTTAACATATACCTATCATGGCAAACCCTGGCTCCATATAACTAGCCCAATGATTCAACACAAAACATGGGCCCAGGGACCAAAATCTTAGCACAGGTGACCACTAACATTTAAAGCCAGTCTTTACAAAATACTGTTCCATTGTCAGAGCTTGATTTTCTCCCTCTTCTTCCCCCCCACCCCACCCAATATACATTGATTTCAATTGGACCCAACACCCAGCCAGCTGGGCTTTCACTTCATTAGATGTCAGCAATTTGTGGATGCTCGAGCTTCACTCAGTAACAGCCTTCTTTCCACTTGTCTTCGGCCACACTGCCGTGCGTCTTTGGAGGCTGAAGAGATCTAATAACAGTGGAGTTTGGTTAATAGCAAATAGCAAGTACACAGAGTTAAATACATGTAAATAAATATATTACTAGTTTGCATGATACTACCTTGTCAAGAAAAGTCATTGGAATCAGTTTAGTTAGCTTCAAGGAAAAACATCGGGAATTGCACTCTTAGTCTAAGCCTGGCTCATCAGTGGGCGCAAGGATTATTCCCACTCAGCTCCTGTTAACCCTGCAAGCCAAAGCCCTAATGGGTAGGATGGTCCTAGCTGGACAAGCAGCAGGAAAGCTTGACAGACAGTGCTTTTAATGCCAATCCGTGCTAATTTAGCTGGTTAAATACCCCAACTCTGGGGTCCCAAAGCCTTGGCTCTCGCCAACCCTGCACCTAATACTTTTCAGAATTAGATAAGCAATGTGTCCCACCAGGGAGGTAATGCGCATTCCATTCTAATAACTATTGCTGTCATTTCCATGAAAGGTGGGGTCCAGACAACCCTGTTTTGTTTGGAGGATCACGATTGGTTTCCGCATGTATCACCCAGATGACCCCCAAATTTTTTTTGAATGTACTCTGACAGAAAAAAAGTAATTCTCTTGAATACCAAAACAGAAAGTGTTCAAAACCAAAGGAGATAATCTTGCTACATTTTCTTCCTCCTCAACTGAGGACCTGAGAAAAATCCCTTTCGACTTTGAAAATATTAATAGTTCCTCCAATGGAAGAGATGGAGAAGTCATGATGGGACAAGGTATTTTTTCTGTTCCCTTTAGGGCACTATGAAACAAAAATCAAGCAACTGTAGGTAGTGTAATGCCTCGGATAAATAGATGTACCATCATTTCAAAGAACACATTTTTGAATCTACAGTAAACCTCACACAAGTATATTAACAACAACAAATTACATTTGTAAAGCTCCGTTCACGTCAGGAGGACGTCCTAACAGTTGGGACCATACATTTAATATGACTTATGCAAAGTACGAGTTAAGTCAAACTTGAACCCTAACTCTTGAATGGGACTTGAGCAATGTATGACTTAAGCAATTATATCATCTACACAGATCAGACAGTGAGTTTTACTGGACACGGAAGTGATCCACATCAATGCCTCACCTTCGTACTGGCGGTACAAGCTTGCTCTTGGGCACCGAGGCAGAGCTGGTGCCTGAAACTCGTGACTTGGCAGGGGTGTTTCTGGCTCCAAACCCTGAGCTGGAGGATCTTACAGACGAGGCAATGGCAGAGTGTGATGCAGAGCTTGAAGACGAGGGGGACTGGATTCTACGAACAGCACTCACAGAACCAGGGTATCCTGCAGCTTTGACTGGATGCCTTGTCATTAAGGGAGAACTACTGTTACCAACAGCTTTGACGGGCTGTCTGGTGGAAAGAGGAGACTGGTTGCTACTTCCAGTGGAATACCTGAGCTTGCCAGTAGATGGTCCTGTAAAATAAATCAAAAGAGATTATTAATCATTACTGGGCCGTTAGTTTGCTCAGCATAAGTTTTCAATAAAATCATGTATTAATCATGGTAAAAATATCAATTCCTGGTTTAAAAAATGAATCATCGTAAGTCAGTTATTTTGCAATTGCTAAAACATTTTAGCTTTGCTATTTTAATACATTATGGACTCACAATATGACTGGAAAACAGATCGTAAAATGAGTAAGATTTCGGAGTCAGCGAAAATAGCTTATAGTTGCTGGTAATTAATCGCAGGAGATAAGCCACAATGCCTGTAAGTACGTGTAGCTTTCCACAGAAAATGTATACCCAAGTTCCACTCCACATAACAGAAGCAGCTGTCAGATTAGTGACTTTAGTATGAGGTAAATAGTTAATGTTACAGAATCACTTGCATTCCAATATAAAAGTTGCTTGACTGGTCCAGTCACTCACAGTGTAGGCTTTAGATTGCAGTTTCAGCATGTACCCGTTTAAAAGAATTCTTTAGAATTGCAGTGGAGCAAGATTTTTTTACCATAACCCCTAACATATCTTTGCTGGACTGGCTGCCGGATGTGAAACAAATGGAAGATCCTCTTTGAGTGGCTAAATTTACATTTTATTCTTCAACAATGAAAGGAGATGGTGAAGGTAATCATATGGACTATAACTGTGTTCTGGCAGGCTAACTGTGACAAAGTTAGTTTATCTTTGGGAATGGAACAACCAGTTGAGTTTTTTTTTCTAGGTCCTGAACTAGTTCTGGTGTAACACACCTGCTGGAGACTGCGGAAAACAGGAAAAACGACTGCTGGGCATTTGGAGATTAGATTCAAAGCTTCGGCTGTTCCTGCCTGAGTCAATGGAGCGAATCCCAGACTTGGCCAGATTGGGCATACTGCGGCGTATATCTTCTGTAACAGGAGATGAAATTAGATTGTTAGCCCATTCTGTGGGTTACAAAATAACTGGAGGGGTTGGGCAGGCAGGCAAGACCTCCTGCAATTATGTGAGAGCAGGCAGCATCCATTCATAGGAGTAAGGATCTTGCTTGAAACAGACAACTGTGCAGCTCAACTGTGCCCAACATGTCTGACAACAGAAAGTAACAGCAAAATGAGGAAATAGTTTGAAAATTAATAAAGACCAGATAAGGCAAAAAATGTGCAGGAAAGCCAATATATCCAAACCAATAGTTTCCTCAAATGGATCATTGGGAAAAATATTTTCATTGTGAATTTGCTTATTGTTAGGAGAGAGAATGAGCTGCTGTTTGCAACTGAGGTAAAACATCCATTGGAATAAGGTTTGCTTCACGATTAAACCACTTCAGCATTCCCGCAATTTGTGTCCCTCAAAAGGGATACTGCCCATCTTGCAGTATCCAACTGCAGTGGTAAGCCCTGACAATGGATGCAGTTCTTTCAACAAAAAGAATATGCATTGATACAAGCACTCCACGCGCAGGATAGCATCTGAGCACTGCACAATGGCAGAGACCATAGACATGGTCGAAGATGTAAGACTCCAGCAGTTTTAAGTGGCTGATGTGGTGATGCCACCAAGCTTCATAGTTGGCTTTAGGAGCGTGGATGGCTGTTCCACGTCGGGGGAAATGAAGCGTACCAGCGAATGTTCAGTGAGATAAAATCAGGAGTGTTGACAATCAGCAGTCGGGGAGGTGAAGAAAAGGAGCATGTGGAAGATCACAAAGACAACTACAAATTACATTTGTATAGCGCCTTTCACGTCGGGAGGACGTCCAGCTTTCTTGGATATTTCCCACTGTCAATTTGGACCTAACTCCAGTAATAATAATATATAATAAAGTGCTGTATCAAATGCAAGGATTATTATTATCTTTGCATTTGATATCACACCTTCGAGACATCTCAAAGCGCTTCACAGAATACACTGTAAAGTGTGAGACTGTATATCTTGTGGGTGAAACACATCAGCCAATGTACTAGGGTACTGAAAAGCCATAACCCAGAGCGGTGCCTAACAATTCTCTCCTGGCTGCTAACCACAACCTGTGTGTGTAGCAACATGGCAAACTGGCTGTAAATACTATACCTAATGGAGGGATCAGGGAGGATTTTTACATATAGTTACAGAGCGACCCAACTAATCAACATAGTTAATGATTCTCAGTGTGTCTGTGAGTTAAAATAGCTTTAAAGTACTCCTACTAAATCAAAATTTTGTTCCCTTTTCCTCCCCCCACTTAACTAAAAGTAACCCCCTCCCCGCCCCCAAACAACAATCTAAAGGCCTCAATGTAACAATGGGGGAAAGATGCGGTGGTACCTTGATTCTTTGTGTAATTCATTAACTCGGACACTCGGCCCTGCAGACCTCGCCGAGTGGGCCGTGCTCGCCCACTGGTTGCTGCTCCTCCTCTGACCGGAGACTGCGATCGAGGCGAACTTCGTGGAGAGGGGGAGTATCTGTGCATACTGCGCTGTGCGAAGGCGTGATCATATTCATCTTCATCATCCAGACTGTAAGTGTCAAACTCCTGGTCACTGTAGGTACCCCTCCGCAGGGAGTTGAGGGAAGCACTGGAGCTACGACGGGAAGCGGATGCTGAACTGGAGGCATAATCCTGGCGAAGACCTTTTATGTATTAAAAAAAAATCACTAATAAATTCGTCAAGCGATCAAGATTTCCTTTCCTCTCCTCGTTACCCCTAGAGTCTCAACTTGGCTCCAAATCAACCTCTATATGCACTCCCATTCCTTCCCATTGGAATAAGATGACCTCAGGCAATTTGCCTTATATTACACAATGCTGACTGCAGAACCGTGTTTCTACTTACTCTCTTCCTGTAACCGAGCCATTATCTGAACATCTGTCAGGTCTTGCAGTTTATAGCCCATGGAGATGGAGTCATCGGAGGTGCTGAGCTCACTGTCAATGGATGACTGGGAACTCAGTGCTGAGTGCATGCTTGGATAACCTTCAAAACAGGAAAAAAAACAGAATAATGTCAACACAAAAAGCATGGATCATCCAGAAAAAGCAGACTTAGGAAACATGTCACGACCAGTCAAATTTACTGCTTGGGTATTAGACTCAAATGCTCGGTTTGCTGGGTCACATATGGAAGCTTTAGCTGTACTCCAGTTCTTACATTTTTTTTAATGTGTATTGCTCGGTTGTCGAATTTTATCCAGACCTTCGTGTCATTGCACACACACATTACTCTTTCTGCTTCATCAACAGTACAGCAACAATCAGGACATTTAAGATCAATGATTTTGCATTTACAGACAAACAAATTGCTCAAGCTCTCCATCTCCCATTCTGGTTTGTCTTTCAACCATTCATGATGTGCCGACAGCTAGCATTGGGAGCCAAACCATTCATTTTGTAAAGTTTGCATTACTTTTTTCGTGTGCACACAACAGATACAATTTTTCCTACTTACAAAATTCAGTCACTGCCCTTTACAGTCTATCCTGTGAAGTACTTTGAAGCGACTCAACGACGTGATAAGACACTATATCAAAATGCAAGGATTATTATTCTTATCATACGTAAGTGTTATTAGATACAATGGATCAAAGAAGCTATAAAAATCTGCACATTTATTGGGAGTTTAAAAAAACATTGCCACAACCTCTAAACAGTGTTTGTGTAAAAGCAGCAGCAGAGCAACTAAACAGAGCTAAGCCAACAACGAGGATCCATTGTAAAATCGAGGATATTGTACAGAATAAAGTGCAGTGTAGATTACCGACTAAATCGGATTTCTCCGACTCCTACGGCTTTCCTGCAAATCGGACTTTGAGTAAGTCATATTAAATGTACAGAATAGACTGTAAAGTGAATTGACTGTATAGTTTATGTATAAACAACTCTACAGTAGTTGTTAAAAGAAACAGAGGGGAGAAGTAGATAATTAGATAATAAGAGAGAAGTAGATAATTGTTTTGGGAGGACACGTTTGCAAGGCTATGGGGAGAGTGGGGGAGTGGGATTGAATTGGATAGCTCTTTTCAAAGAGCCAACACAGACACGACGGACAGAATGGCCTCCTTCTGTGCTGTATGATTCTACGAAACTTACATAAGTCCTAACAGGTCGGGACCACGACATTTAATATGACTTACTCAAAGTCCGATTTGCAGGAAAGCCTCAGGAGTTGGAGAAATCCAATTTAGTCAATAATTTACACTGCGCGTGTGTACTTTAATGCAGCCGGTAAGTGCGCATCCAGTGAGAAGTTAAGACTACATTTCCTGCTATTCAATCCATCTCAACACGTCACCACATGCACACGAATCGGCAAACTTGGAATCACATCTCAATTGTGGGAAATTAATTTCTTCTGCGCATGCATCGATGGATGAAGACTGCTTCTCCCACTTCATCCATCGATGCACGCGCAGATGAAATTCATAGGTAGTTCGGGACATTGAGACAAATTGGGACATATTTGGGAGTCCTGTAGCTGAGTGGTTAGAGCACTCGCCTCACAAGCGAGAGACCTGGGTTCGATTCCCAGCAGGGTGAAACCTTAGGCAAGTTTCCTTACTCCACAAGCCTGATAATAATCCTTTGAAAAAAAATTGGTCACTTCAATCCACGACTGTTCGTGGGACCCTGCTATGTGCAATTGGCTGCCGCGTTTCGCCCATAACTATACAGTCGATTCACTTTGCAGTCTATTTTGTGAAGCGCTTTGAGATGTCTAGAAGATGTGAAAAGGCGCTATATCAAATGCAAGGATTATTATTATCATGTACATGCGACCGTCAGGAAGGTAGCAGGTGAACTAGATGGACCTTGGTCTTTATTCGTCTAGCATTTCTTATGATTTTGTGGTCTTAAGTGTGCATGTGTTGAATGGTCAGGACGTAATTTCCCACAAATCAAGGTCTCTGGTAAGTGAGGGAGTAATGGAGGATAGGGGAGCGGAGTTATGAGCTAGGAGGCGAGTAAAACGATTAGTGTAAAATAATCAAAGCGGTTTTGATCGGAAACTGAATGGGACTTGGGTGAATGCGTGACTTAAGCCATTATACGATTTATTGAAGACTTATGTGAGTTTTACTGTTTTCTGCAATACTTATTAGATCTTGCAATAGGCATAAAACAGAAAAAGATTTTCCTTAAACCATTTCCATTCAATCAAAAACAGCCTTTTTTTAAAAAAAAAGTCATGCACTGGTTTGCAATATTTAAATGTGGATTTGCAGCACACTGTGAATAGAAAGCAGAAAATTGCATGTTGACTTACTTTAAACTGTCTGCCTCCTAAATAATCACCTTAAGCACTGTCTGCTGATTCATAACAGCTTATTAAATTCATGGGAGTTCATACACCACAGACCAGGCAAGACTGAATTTCTAATTCATTGTTCCTTTTAAAAAAACAAATGAATTCATAAAAGACTCACTACTGAGCACTGTCCAGCGAGGTAAGCAACCTTAGTCGTGTTTCGCGAGTATACCTGATGTCTAACATTTCCCATATGCCTGACTGTGGTTATAGGCCTGCTCTCTCACTCTCTGATCTTCACCCTAAAACATAAGTGGGTCTCCTTGGAGCTGAACTGGCTCCAAGGTGACATGTTTGGCAACAGAATGTCATAAAATCTCTGCGGTGGTCTTGGTAGTCCGGTTCCTGAGCCAAGCAGTTTTGCAGTATTCCAGGGCCCTGCTGATGACAGCACAGCCCAGCAAAAGGACATGGAAGGGCAGACCAGTTACTGGGGGCAGGAAGTCATCCCACTCAGCTCTTGTTAACCATGCAAGCCAAATCCCTAACGGGTAGGGTGGTCCCAGCTGAACAAGCAGCAGGAAAGCTTGCTGGACAGCAGTATCAATGGCAGGCTATGCGGTTTTAGTTGGTTAGACTCCATATGGACACATATTCGTAGCTTAGATCAGATCAGCTTATCACTAGATACAAGAAATGGAATAAAACCATCACTAGTGGAGAGCATTGAGTATCCAAGTCAACTTGGATTGCGATGGTTGAAATGGCACCAAACACATCACAAACAGATTATGTGAAGGTAGGATGGACAGATTCTTCATAGTCAGAGGGGTGTAAATAGACAAGGGAGACCTCAACAGTTGGGGAAATTTCTAAAGATAAAAGCTCTTAAAAGTTTTCAGTACATTTTCAGCTTTGCATTAAACTACAGTTAAATCTACTGCTGTACTCATAATTGAACATGGAGGCCACAATCCAACACCGCAGGAGCTAATATTAAGGAAATCACCACTTTGGGTACTTAATGGAACTGACATGGTCAATCCCAGACGTGCATCTTGTGATCAATACTGGAGCAAGTGGTTTAGGGCAACACTCGTGGTCTTGGAAAACAATGAAACAAGGTTAACGATGCTCTTACCATCGGACAATTCTTCAGTTGCTTCAAGTCACTTTGCTCCAGGTATTGTCTTCTTTGCTGGAGTGTGACAAGACATCCTTGGCATCCTGAATAGCACCATCACCAACGGGGGGGGTGGGAGAGAGGTGAGGGCAGTGCCATGACCCACATCCCAAATAGGTGCAATGAGCTTGTGAGACCCTCTCCCTCCACCAAACATTCTTGCTCTTCTCCTGAATTTAATAATAATCCTTGCATTTGACATAGCGTCTTGTCATGTCACGCCATTGAGACGTCTTAAAAGCACTTCACAGAATATATCGTAAAGTGGATTGACTGAGTATTTTGTAGGCAAAATGACACCGAACATTGTAACAAGGTACACTTATCTAGAATACCTCAAAGATTCTCACCACTGCTACAGGCCATTTTTCTACTGTTGACCATCTAACTCACTATATATTACTTAATGTTATATCTAATACATTTCCTAATTAGATGTATACTGAGCCATTTCCCATCAGCATTGGTTGCACAAACTAATTACATTTCTGGTGGTGCAATTTACAGCATCTGAGCAAGTGGCAGGCACAGCCTGGAGGGTGTGAGGCAGCAACACTTGGAAGGAAGAGAAGTATGGTAAAATAGGAATGTCAGGAACAGGGAGGCCTTGAACTTTTGGCCATGGATTAAAAATAATCTTCTAAAACAGGGAACCTGCCCAGCAAAATAAAACAACAGTCTACGAGTGCATCATTTTTAAATACACATGAAGCAAAGCAGTATCGATTTGGATTAACCACTGTATCCTAAGCTCCAAACATTTTAACAGCAGATATCATTATCCTTTGTGGAATCGATGGTCCAATCCCCAGAGGCATGTTTAACCCTGTTGTGGGGGGAAAGAGGCGTTTTGGAAGCCCTTCGGCCAACAGTTAAAAGTTCTCTGTTCACCACTCCCAATAGCAAATTTAACCCTGCAAATGAGAGATCATGCAGTGGTAATGCAGCAACTCCCAGCTCATTCAAAGTAAAGTTAGACTGAAGAACTTCATGAGCGTCATATTGAGAGAGTCGTCTTTCCAAAGAGAAAGGCGCCATATGTAAACTTGTATTGTAATACATGTGCTGCACGTCTTGGACCACAACATACCTCTAATTTCTGTTCTACAGACAAATCTTTAAGAGGTAACTGTCTCTGCCTCTCACTAGGTTGCTCTTACAAACTGAAAAAGTTTAACTGACGAGCGCTAAATTCCTGATAATTTTATCACATTGCTACCACTTTTAATATCAAGCCCTCTGAAGCCTTACCATGCAATGTTTGAGGATGGATTCAAACCGGTTCCACATTAAAAAAAAAACTTACTAATCTGATTGAACTACAAATCAACATCTACATGCAAATCTTTGGCTACAGTGCACTCAAATGTTCTGACAAAGGGCCAGAGAGCATTCAATAACATCCCAAAGAGCAAAAGTGAAAACAAAAGCTGGCGTAATTTACAGGCACATTTAGAACTAAATCCCAAGCATAAAGAAAGTCAAAGAATGAAACTGTGCCAGAACACAGACCTCAGTCAGTGTCAAGGTTATTGGGTTACAGTGATGTTCCCATAGTAAGTGCGTCCTTCTCCACTGTTTGGGATAGGTTTGTACAAAGCCACTCATTGATGAGCAGGGCCACCAGAGATGCCAAGAACAACAACTCTGAGCCAAGGCTCAGGGGGCAACATTTAGCTTGCAGCACAGCACCAAAGGATGACATTAAAAACATTCAGAAGCATTTCATATATGTTTGTTAGGGGCAAACCTCCTGTTAAACTGGTATGATGTTGATGGTAAAAGAATGTAACATGCGTCTTTAGAAATGAGTCAGTAAAATATCCTAGAGAGCATACATGGAATGACCGTTCTGTCTGGGATTCCTGGACTTGAGTATTGGTACACTGTGTGCTTTGGTTTCTCATTGCAAGGTTCAGCAGTAAGATTGCGCACTTGCTCCAAAATTAATAAGACTAGATTTTCACTAAAGCCATGCAAATCTCAAACAGCAAAAATGCATATCATGCATTTAGTTTTTAATGCCTTACACTGATAAAACCTGGATCAGCTCCAACAGTACATGCAGCAGTCTGTGTAAAGGGAAAATGCAAGGTTAACAGTTTGAAATGCTTTGTAAAGCTACACTTCATTAATGGGACAGACAGATGTACCATACCTGGGGTTAGTACTGGTTTAGTAGACGTTTTGAGGAAACCAGAAGAGCTTAAGACATTGCTACACGAAGTGACATCTGTGTTGCAGCTATAAGCACAGGCCGTGGAAAATGGAGTACAATAGAGGCTTCTCCATCTGTTGGCTAAAATGGAAGAGCAGAAACGCATGCACAGTCAATCACACATAAAACCAAGCATAAAGGTTGCATTTACATTGAACTGTTAAAATGAACCCACCCCTGGACCAGTGTCGAGGGAGCCACCCTGCCTTTGGAACGGTATTTTTCGACTCGTACTTCTTCCCCAGAGCATCACAGTATTGCTCTCTGACCTATAACTCACTTGATTAAATGAAATTGGAATTGAAACCTGACTGCAGTCAGATACTCTCATTCACGAGTGTGTTAAAATCCCATTCTAAGTCTTGCAAAATGAAGTAAAATTAATACAGTGACAATTTATGGCATTGAATTACAATCCTGCTATCATGAGCCATCTTTTGTATATGAATGAAGACGGTTGCTATATTAAATGAGCAACACTGATTTTGGCCAATTAAATCGGCCAAAAGAAAAGCATAAGTTAAAGTGTTAAAGGGACATTTTATAATAATAATAATCCTTGCATTTGATATAGCGCTTTTCACGTCGAGAGGACGTCCCAAAGCGCTTCACAGAATATACTGTAAAGTGAATTGACTGTATATTTGAGGGCGAACGCGGCAGCCAATTGCGCACAGCAATGTCCCACAAACAGTCGTAGATTGAAAATGACCAATTTATTATTGTTTTTGGTTTTTGGAGGGATTATTATTAGGCTCTGTGTGGAGTAAGGAAACTTGCCCAAGGTTTCGCCCTCTGCCTGGAATTGAACTCAGGTCTCTCGCTTGCAAAGCGAGTGCTCTAACCACTGAGCTACAGGACTCCACATTTTCTTAGACAGATTTGAAAGTTTCCAACAGACAAACTTACCCAACCTGAACGCAATCCCAATATTGATAGCAATTTGGTCAGGACTGAACTCAAACTACAAAGTTTAATTTATGCAGCCTGCCAAATCCTGCTGCAATCATTTGTGATCAAATTGGAAAGCAGCACAAGCAATACAGTGACAAAGGATTCCAGCAGGAATATTGTTAGAAGGTTATGCTAGAAGGCTTAGTTGAGGAAGGGTAGGAGGCTCATGTGGAGCATAAACATCGGCAGAGACTAGTTGGGCCGAATAGCCTCTTTCTGTGCTGCATATTCTAATGTATTCTAATGTTCCTCTCACTTACTTATTACTATATTTCACCTTGGTGAATAACTTATCAATATAGAGCATGTTAAACTCTTGTTAAAGAAATCACTTCAAGCAATGGCGGATAAATTACCCAATAAACAGCAACAACATTACATTTGTATAGTGCCTTTCACATCGGGAGGACGTCCCAAGGCGCTGGACAGTGTACAGCATTTCAGATCAAAACGAGTGTAAGCAGTGGATAAATGCTTCTTGCTGTTAGATACATCAACTCTGATCGTGTGAACTTAAGAGTGGAAATATTTTCCATTTTAAGTGCAGTTTGCTAAAGTTGATATACTTAGCAACTAGAGAAATATTCTAAGAGGAATATCCTGTCCCAAAATAATTAGTCAATTCAGTATATGACAGTCTGTGTATGATCAAATAGAATTACCTTTGCATACTATTTGAGAGTTTAGTACAATTTGCCATGTTGGTGGCAATAGGTATGTGAAAGTCTGTGAATTCGGGAGGGTGTGGGGGAGAATTAAAAAATTGCAATACCGCCATTGACAGAATTAAGTCAAAATCTTCAAGGAAATAAATGAAGCTGGAGCTCAGGTCAATACCACTACCAGACTGCCTGACACTTCTCAAACAGAAAGAGCAGGACAGTTACCTTTCAGCAACAGAACTACAACATAGTCTTTCTTCTAAGTATACATAATTGATAATCACCAGTTCTGTACATTGTCGCGTGGCATTGATTTAATGTGCAAAGGTACAACAGTTTCTTGGGATCTAAAATGGATCTCGTCTTAAACGGGCGGTCAAACTCTATTTTAAGAAGTAGGAGAAACTGTCTAATTTGCAATCCAGATAATCTATTTACAAATGTAAACTGCTACTACTATAGGTGAGTAATTAACAGCACTGGACTCCTCTGTGCACACTACAGTATAGTACAGATGCAATACATATATGATTTTGCAACAGCCATTAACCCTCCTCATATGGATACTGCAGAGTAGCAAATAATTTCAAACAGTAGAAAAAACTACTCATCCCCAAGAGCTTCAGATGATTAGATGGTCATTTCCTCAACTCAGGCAGCTAAACCACCATACGACAGGTTTCAGAGAATTAACAAGAGCCTGTGAATTGGATAACCTTATCTCTGGGAACCAAGTTTGATCACTTGAACTGCAGCAGGAAAGTTAGTCCATAAAACCACAAAGACCTTCCTGAAACACCCTGTTATCTTCATTAAAAATAAGCACAAGGGGATACTTCACTTGCAGCAGATGCAATGCCTGAATGTGGCCAGAATGTTATGGATGACAGTGAAGAATGGATCTTCGGGAAGCATGGGAGTCGTGGTCAAAAATGTTCGTTAGAACCCTCCCAACTGGTAAGGTTCAAGTGACCCTGTGGTAATTCAACACACAATGCACTTCATATATACCTCATGTACTTAATCTTCTGGGCAACGCCAGAACAATCATTTTGTAGTAAACACCACCTAAACCTTGGATATGATAGCCACATTTTAGGGACCTGAGCTCAGAACCAAACAAAAAATATTGGTCAGCATTTTAATATTGTGGCTTTTTTGGAGGGAGCGGGTGAGGGCACTGTTAATAATCATTAGTATAACATCCAAATTTCTGTCCAATTAATCTACTTGAGGGAATTGGTAATAGGATGGTGCTGTTGGCTTTACTGCCCTACTTGGAAAAGTATCAAACAAAGTAAAATGTTAACTCAAAAAGTGCCAAACTTTTTTTTTAAAAAAATCTATAAATCTGTAACTTTTCAGGTCTTAATATGGCAAAGCAAGCTCCTATTAATGATATGAAGCAGTAATCAGTCATTTTAAAACTAAGTCAGTAATCCAATGGTTACACTAGTTCAGGGGAAAACAGCTTTTCAAATCCTACTAAATTTCATATGGCTACAGAAAGCTAATTATATTAGTCCATTCACCCTGAGGAAATCATGAGTCTCGATTAATCCACAATTTCACACACACATAAATAACTGACATTCAAAGTTTCCACACACTCGTATGTGAGGCACGTATTCAGTTGTAAGTTTCGAAAGACTGTAACCCTTTCAGACAAAAAATGCATTCAGAATTGCCCAATACATATCCACCAGCTTATTTATAACCCAGGCATTCTCAACAAACAATGAGAAACAGTGAATAACCTCAGTTACCAGCAAAGAGAGTAACAAGGGCAGAGCCCCTTTAAGACTGGTCATGATCTAAACAAGAGCTGCACTATTCTAGTTTCTGCTCCACCCATGTTGCCCATGACTTACTTAATCTTGAAAAACAATAATTAAGAGTACAATTTTTTTCTGAATCCCAGCATCATCAGTCTCAAAAGTATTGATATAATTATTGTATCTTGCCATATGGACAGGTTTAATCTGTGCTCAGCTGGGCAGTCTCAACCTGGATGAGAAGACCCGGGCATCCTGCATTATTGTACAAGTGTGTAAAAGCAATTTGATTCTCCAAGAAAATTACTACTTGGAAACCATGTCCTGTTTCTGCACAAAAAAAAGTTGTGTTGCAAAAGCTGATGTCATAATCAAACTGGACATAATACAGAAACTCGTGTTCACTTAGAATTCAGGTGCCCTAAAGGAGGTGTCATTACTCCAAATGCTGAGGGTAACAGATGCAATAAAGTTGTGTAATGTGGACTGAGTCCTAAACTAATAGACTAGAAAATAAAAATAAGCTTGAAAGAATTGAGGTCAAAAGTGATAGACTTGTGGAAGAGACGCCCAGCTAAATTACTGTTCTGATGAGTTTGGATTAAAAAAAAGGAACGAACGAGTATCGGATTAGGAACAAGGCTGAAGGTCACACACTGATCAAGATACAGATTGAATACTATGAATACAACTCTGGAACTTTGCAACGTTGAATTGTTGTTCCAAGATAGACAACAAGTCAGTTATTTTTTAAAGTCAGCTGGATATCTGCTACCGACGTATGGAGAGCAATGGCCAGATCAAAGGCTTGGGACACCCCATAGTGTGCATTTTAGCCAGATATATCTGCATGGCTTGCCATTGAGAGCACCACCTGGTAAGCTTCCTTCTGTTTGCCCAGCTAGGATCACCCTTCCCTCCCCATTAGAGCTTTGGCTTGTAGGGTTAACAGGAGCTGAGCAGGATGAATCCTAACCCCCCCAATCAGGGATAACCTACATACATCATTCTCAATCCATGACTGTTTGTGGGACATTGCTGTGCGCAATTGGCTGCCGTGTTTTGCCCACAAATATACATTCAATTCCCTTTACAGTATATTCTGTGAAGCACTTTGAGACACCTAGAAGATGTGAAAAGCACTACATCAAATGCAAGGATTATTATTATCATTAAATAGATGTAGCTGAAGATCTGCCTGATTTATCTTTAGATTGAAAGAGAAACTAACTGAATCTTCCTGCAGATTAAATAGGTTGGATTGAGCTCATGAGAATGAATTGTACCCGATTGATACAAAGAATACATTTGATGAGCTGAATAGCTTCTTCTCATTACACATTTCATTATGTGCCCGAGCACAAAAGAAATTTAGTTAACTTATCCAATAATAAATCTCCCCAGATGAACTGATGGGTAAGAGAATAGCTCCAGGATATACAATCAGAAGGTAAAGCTCCCGCGAGCAAGATAATAAGCAGAATCAGCCAAAGCTCCCGCTCTGTGCTGATCCTCAACTGCCCTGCAACTTGACCATGTGAAACAATTTATATGACAGCCTGGAGAGGTGAAAAAAATAGGATATAGAGAGAAAAAGGAGGAGCTCAAAGGGAATTACTATTTAGAAAATTGTCAGGTGAGTAAAAATATTTCTTACACCACTCCCTCTTCACTAACTCCAGGGTTCTATCTGCAGTTATCATAACTAAAAGGCAGAAGCTCTCAGCTAAAAGTTGTCTGCTAAAAACTGATGGGATTAGAGACTTAAATGTCAGAGTCAGCACTCAGATGGAGACTCTTTGTTCTGTGAATAATTTTGTACATCTCACAAAAGGCTTTGAAAATAAGTACTGATACTAATCAGTTACCAGTGCAAAACACTTGATTGGGCTTTCTGCAAGACAGACACCTTAAAAGAAGCTTTCCCTCAACAGATGGAACTGTTTTTATTAAATGCAGAACTAGCCACAAAGCTGGCACCCAGAATTCACAATGCAAGTCAAGAACAGCTCAAAGGGATTTAGCCCTTGTGATTTTCTCAGATGACAATCTGAGCTTTATCTTGCACAAGTGTCCTGAATGAGAGGATAGTTGAGGAAAACGAAGCCACAGCTGTCTCCTTTCAGGAGGCAACACAGCAGATATGGGTTTTAACATCCCTTGGGAGACTGGTCTCCTTAGAAGTGACAGATCATCTACCAAATTCTACATTCACCTAGAATTAAACTGCAGATTAAATAGTGGCATTACGTGATGTTACTGTTTAGATGTCTTAGCAATTAACCAGACAGATTGCCATTAACCATACGCCTCTCCCCCCACCACTGTAAGCACACACGAAAAACAAAAAACAAAAAAAACTTACCTTGATCAAGTCTACATAGAAGACTGCGACAAGCAGCTTCTGTCTCAGGGCTAGGATGGTCAAGCACCTGCCTGCACCATTTCAGTGGGTTTTGGGCCTTCTGGTCGGCTGTCACCGTCTTCTTTGGCGAAACGTATAACCTTTGAAAAATTTAAAGCACAGAGAATCAATAAAACTGCTACCACTGGAGATAATTCACAGAAGAAAACTATCAATACAATAAGAGTTAAAAGCTAATCAAAGGATATAATTAGTTTACAAGCAGATCTGTTCTGGATAGCCGGTTTCCAAAAATAGTCTGATTTACACACAATATGTAAAGTACATCTTTACCTTCCCAGGTAATAGGATCAAGGTTTTTACTCCTATTCCAAATTACGTGTTCTATGACTCACCCAATTATATTAAAAGTGTTAGAGCTGATTGCTTAAGTCAAGATAAAGCCAATTCTTGATGCTAGTTTATACAGTGCTAGCTGTACCCGTTGCAGCTATGCTTGCAACCAAAGGATCCAATATGAACGTAGATTTCAGTGATACCACTCACATACCATCTAACATGCCATAAATACTGTGTACACCTTAAGCAAAACTGCCATATATGTGCAATGAGCTTGTTTGGGTCATAGCTCATGAAAAACAGAAGATCCTACCAAAGGGTCATAGCTCACGATAGAAGATCCTGTCAAAGCTACGCCAATGAAGGGGTTTGCCCTGTGATCCGGCAGGCCCTTGAGTTATTGAAATGCAGCTGTGCCGTTTTTTGTTCTTCAGTTTCATTTAATTGGCCTTTTTTTTGTCTGGCATTCTTATTTGTACTTGAAAGGCTCAATGTTCGCTTAGGCATCTTTATCTTGTTCCTGCTGCTTGGCTTCGTCTGAGTGCGTGCGTACTCTGTGACGGACGACGGGAGTCGGCACAGCCACCAGGTGTAACCGCAGCGCAAAACTGCCAAACGTGCGTGGTGAGCTTATTTAGGTCACATTTCATCAACGATAGGCGATCCCCGAAAAAAAAGGCCTTTCCGATGAGATATAAATCATATCTCTACGTCAATGGGTTATTGAGATCTTGGTTGACAGACAAACATTGCTCACAGTGCATTTATGACCAGGTTAGGTAGTAGTTAGCCATTTTAATTCAAGGTAACAATGTATGTAAACCAGACTATTTGGAGAAGGTAATGCCAAATATACCGAAGTAGAGCACGCCAGTATTCGTAAAAACATGGAGCATTAAATACTCCAGTTCAGTAATAATAATAATCCTTGCATTTGATATAGCACCTTAATACATCATTGAGACATCTCAAAGCGCTTCACAGAATATACTGTAAAGTGAATGGACTGTATGGAGTAAGGAAACTTCTCCCTGCCCGGGTCCTCTCGTTACTGGTTGAGCTCACAGACCAAATCTCGTAATACAGATCAGGAACATCTCAGGTTTGAGCTGAGCTATCAGATCTCAATTTGTAGAACACTGCAATTGGCTTGAGCACCCCAATTTAAGGAAGGGGAACCAACAGGAATTGGACACCTGTTTGTCCTGTTTCCTTCTTTCACCTGTTTCTAAATAACTGTAAGAGACGCCACAGGTTTACTGGAACTGGGAGTCACTTTGCCCTTCAATAAAAGTAGTAACCAGAAACAGATGGTGCATGCACAATTACTTGATCACCCATAGGTGTGGTAGTCTTGAAAAGATTGAAGTAAATATAATAAAATGTGTATAGCACATCAGATAATCATATAAAGTTACTGTTTCTTTTTTAATTTTTACTCGATTAAATCAATTTCCAGATATGACTAGATCAGAACAAGTATGTCAAAACCCACTGAAACATGTCAATGAACAAAAAGCACAAAATGCCTCCGCACTCTTTTTCGAGACCAAATTAATTTGGGAATATTTTACAAATGTAGAGCCTGTTGCAATTACAACTAATAGTGTCAGTTTTATTTTCAGCCTAAATTGTGCTTAGTCATACAAATGTAGCCACATAAACACATTAGAAAAACAGAATATTTCGACTGTTGGATCTTACAACTACTCTCCAATTAGAGTTATGAAACCGACTTGTAATTATCTATAAATACTATGCCAAGTTGGTGTATCTTTTTGTCCAAAGCTTTTTGCTGCCCAAATCACTAGTTATACTAGGGTTGCCATATACTTGCTTTGAAAATGCTGCCATCACAAATTGGCTGCCACGTTTGCCTACAAATAGTCAACAAAATGAATAAATTCCCTGTCAAGCACTGTGAGGTGTTTTGATGGTACTATTCCAAAAGCGATGCTAATTATCATTGGAAATGAATATGTTTTACTCCCAAATAGAAGAAATTTCATGCAGAATGTCATGGACCTTTAAAGGGAAAGGAGCCTGAGAATTTATCAAACAACATGTTTCTAAATTAACAACCTGTCATCCTATGGATCTAATATTTAAAACATTACAGGTCTTTGTAGAACTAAAAGTTCCAAGCGTTCCTTGAAATTCTATTTTTTCACCATCGTATCGGAACAAAACAAATGCACTATATTTGCCTGCCAGTTCGAATGGAAGTTATACAAAGCTTTGCCTTACAATTTCCTCCTCCCCTATTTGTCAGAAACCTGTCAGGTTGAGATTCTAATGATCAGATGGATTTATGTAACCTACACCCCCAAGTTCATTCTTAATCTTTACTTCTGGCCCCCACTCCAAAAAAAATTGAATGCTCCATGGAAACCAGGGTTGATGCGAGTTAACAACTCCCTGCTTGCTGTGCAGCATATCACACCAATCACCAGCCAAAAGGGAAGGGAGCCCATTGACTCGCATGTTTGTGGAATTCAGTTCAACCCAGGTGTTAGGAAGCATCCTTTCCATTTAAGCGTTTCATCCTTTCTTCTAAGTTTCTATTGATTGAATTCTAATGAAGCTTCACGTGGCTTTTCCACACCACCAAGAAAGCTGCCTGCATTTCCGCAAGAATCTCGGTAAGCACATCGTCACGAGTGAACGAAGTCAAAACTTTATGCAAGCTGAAAACATTTGCTGAATAGATTGTTTTCGCCGCGGTAATGCTGGTAATTCATTTGAAACCTCTCACCAACCAGTCAGTAAAACCATACTATAACCTTGACCGTCCAACTCCGTTGACGTAGAATGCATCCACCTTCGCTTCCCAATCTAAAAACAATCCTTACATTTGATATGCCTTTCAAATCTGGAAGACATCCCAAAGCACTTGTCAGGATTATACTGCGAAGTGATCGGAGGTGAACACAGCAGCCGATTTGCAGAGGAGCAATGTGCCAGTCAGTCAGCCAGGACCCCAGGAGGGTCTCCCTTCTCTTCTCCAACAATGCCACGGGATCCTTAAGCATCATAACAAGAGCGGGCAAGGAAGTCAATAGAAATCTCGGGTCCGGGAACTGAGCCCATACACCGCCCCCCAAAACCAAAAGAAAACGTGAATACCGCGCGGGACTCACCAAGTGTCCTCCTCCACAGTGCCACACTCCAGGTCCAGGACATCCTCCTCCAGCGCCGCCGTCACCGACAGCAGCTCCCCCTCCAAGAGAGAGCATCCAAACAGGAGGTCGGCAGCTCCCGCCGGGCCCCCCGCCAGCACCTGCGCCTCCCAGGTGCTGAGCAGCGTCTCGTACTCGCACAGGATGGGGTCTCCGGGGCTGAGGGACGGCGCTTTCCCCACGCACTCGGCTTGTGTGCTGTAGTCATTGTTCCCGCCTCCCCCCCCGCTGGAGCCGTGCTCGCTGCCGCCCGGGCCGCGGCCGCTCCTGCTCCGCAGCTGCTCGTTCTGCATCTCCAGCTTCTTCACCAGGTCCTGCAGCTTCTTCACCTCCATGTCGGCGTCGGGCAGCCCGGTCAGGTCGGGGGGCCCGGGGCTCGGGCCGGCGGCGGTTGCTGCTTCTCCCACGGCCCCGGCTCTGGGCTCGGGCTCGGCCGCGTTCGGCCCCACCATGTCCGGCGGCGGCGCAGCGGCGGCAGCAGCGGCCTGGCCGTGAGCGCTCTCCGAGTCGCCGCTCGCTCTCACCGTCCAAGCTTCCAGAACTCTCCCGCCGCCGGCGCCGCCGCCATCTTGAATAAAGGCGGCTTCTGACCTCCTACCTGTCATGCGCACTGCACTGCCCTCTCGCCGCCCGCGCAGCCGCACACGGTGTGCGGGCGGGAAGCGGCGAGCGGTTCAAATGCACAAGCGAACCCGGCGACGTCACAAACCGTCAGGCGAGTCACGTGGCAGGGCCGCTTCCCGCGGGACGCCCAGAGCCGCCGCCGCCATTATCGTCATCGCCGCCATCACCGACCGCACAGGGGGCCTCCCCTCCTGTTTACCGTGAGCGGGTAGATTGACAGGGCCCATCGCCACACGCAGGCACCTGTCGACAGCCAGAATCTGTCTGGATAGCACAATGGTCACCTTTATCTCTGCACAGTCTCTTCCCCCCAAAAAACAACAACAACAACAACTTCTTACATAGCGCCCTCCCCTCAGGGCAGGGTCTCGGAGCGCTTAACAGTGGCGCAGCCTGACTCCGACCCGGGGTGAGGGGGGGCAGTGGGGGAGGTGGCCGTAAGCACGGTCGAAGAAGAAAGTTTTCAGGCGGGACTTGAGAGAGGGGCCAAGGCGGAGGGATCGAGGGAGAGTGTGCCAGGGTTTTTGGGGCGTAGTGGCTGACCTCCATTGGTGGGGCGGAGGGTGCGAGGGGACCGCGCAGGAGTCCGGTGCCAGTGGAGCGGAGGCGCCGGGTGGTGGACTGGGGGAGTGAGGAGGTCCGAGGGGTAGGGAGGTGCCAGAGAGTGAAGGGGTTGGAATACGAGAGCGAGGATCTTGAAGTCGATATTATAGATCTCCCGATCAATGATGCAATGATCCTTGAGTGACCAATTTATAAAATATTCTATAACTACAACAACACTACAACAAAATTACATTTATAGAGCGCCTTTCACGTCGGGAGGACGTCCCAAAGCGCTGAACAGTCAGGTGTCGGTTGGGGGAGGGGTAGTGTAGGGGTGAGGGGAAGGCAAGAGAGGTGGGAGGGCGACCGAAGGCACGGCCGAAGAGAAGGGTCTTGAGACCGGCCTTGAAGGAGGCAAGAGAGGAAGCGAGGCGAAGTGACTGTGGGATGGAGTTCCAGAGTGTGGGGGCAGAGAGGCTGAAAGCCCGGCCACTGATGGTAGGGCGGGTCGGGCGGAAGACATGGAGCAGCCGGAGCCCACTGAACGGAGGGTTGGGCAGGTTGGTAGGGAGTCAGCAGGTCAGAGAGGTAGGAGGGGGCAAGGCCATGGATGGCCTTAAAGGTGAGGACAAGGATCTTGAACTCGATCCTCTGGGGGATGGGGAGCCAGTGGAGTCGGGCGAGGGTGGGAGTGATGGGGTCCCGGAGCCATAACCAAATACTATGGCTTGTTTTTGCTACGTCAGTGTATCTTTTTGTCCAAAGCTTTGTTCTGCCCAAATCACTGGTTAGACTAGGGTTACCAGACACTTGCAGCCCAATTGCCCACTCCTTCATTCGAGCCACTGCCGTTCAGGAATATATAGTAAGTTCCACCTTATGCAACAGAACTTCTGTTATGACTAAATCCAGCTTCCTATGCAAACCTTTTGCTCACCAGCCTGCTTTGTGTCCCCCCATCTGCCTCACCATCAGCTGGCAGTCTTTCTGCCCCTCCACTCTCTGGGTCTTCATTCTGACTCGCTCCCTCCATCAACTCGTTTACCGTCTGCTACCTTCATCTTTGACCATGCTTTTGATTGTCTTTTCCCTCCCTCACGGCCTCAAGACCTGAACCTCGGATTGCAATGAGGAGGAAGGCAGCCAATGACATTCTGCAGCAGTTTCTTGATTCTTCAAGGAGAAAGGTGTGTTTCAGTTTACCTCATTTCATGCTAGGTCTTCCATGCTGTCTCTGAAACACTTTGTGACATTATTCTATGTGAAAGGGAGTATACAAATGCGAGTTGTTGTGTTGTATATACAAATATAAGGTCAATTCACTTTACAGTATATTCTGTGAAGCGCTTTGAGACATCGAGAAGACGTGAAAAGCGCTATATCAAATGCAAGGATTATTATTATTATTGTACGAAGCCCTTTGAGATTCTCAAACCCTGCCAGTACTGCCGCTCACCAACCTGCTTCATGCCCCCCATCTGCCTCACCATTGACATGCAAGGTGCTGGATACTGTATATGTAAATTGTACTACTGTATTAGTTCATTACCAGGCTCCCCACAAAAACTCTATCTAGGACTCTTCAACTCTGCTGCAATTTCTTTCCTTCACATTACATATGAAAAGACTTGCAGCCCAAATGCCCACTCCTTCACAAGAACCAGACTAGTGCCTTCCAGTTATATTTAGTAAGTTGCACCTTGTGCAACAGAATTTCTGTTATGAGCAAATCCAACTCCAATATCTTACGGTAATCCCTGAAATCCAGTACAATTTAACTCTCTCAACAGCAGCTGTTTATTTAAAAAGAAACAGATCCCAACATTTCCTATCCTGAAATTGTTGCTGAAGGTATACATTTAATGATTCACATCACCCAATGGTCACACAGAAAGCTAATGATTAAACATGTTAAATTACATAATGACATAAGGTACTTAAACATGTTAACATTTATTGATAGGTTAGAACAGAAGATCATAGAAGACAAAGATAAAATGTAATACAGGCAGTCATTTTCTGTTGTTAGGGACGTATGTTATTATAATCTGTGTGTACGGTATTTGTAATCACAGCAAAATCTAATTCACATTCAAAGGATAACATTGTAAGTTGCAAAAGAAGAAAAAATTGCTTCATTCACAAAGTAGGACTATGGTTCCTTTCACAATTCAAAGTCCTCTTTGTTTATTCTGAAGTTGAATGAAGTTTAATCTGAAAGGGAAGTTAAATGAGTTTCTTTTAAATAGATCAAGCTAAATTGATTAAAATTTGCAATTCTAGGGAATTCTAGGCTCTGGGACAGCTGGTCTGTTTTGTTTAGCTCACAAACTTGCTGAAAATACATTAGTACCACAATACAATGCTACTGAGAAATCAAGAGCAACTTCAGTACTGTATTATTAATGTTTAATAAAATGTACCTTCAAAACAATTCTAAAGAAAAATGAAACCATTTTAAAAGCATTCAGTCTAACTCTACCTGACTTTTCTGCTCATTTTCTCTTCTACCTCATTTTCTTCTTTCTATATTTAATAATTTAACTCATTTTACATCATTTCTAAACTAAATTGAACATTATTTTTGATATTCATTTTAGATCTGGGTCCTAGATAAATAATATTCAGCCACGGCTTAGTTAAGCACAGTTTCCTATGACCTGTGATGTGAATTTCCCACTTCCTCGAAGTAATACTGCATTGTTTTGCAATTTTTTCCTTCCTCTCGTTGAAGTTCCTTTTTCATTCTACAAAAAACTGATGGTCCATGCGCAGAACTATTATTTGTGTGTGAGCTTTGATAATTAGTATTGGCAGGCCATTTGACCACAGGGGAACTGTCCTATCCTCACTCAACATTCACAGGCTCACATTTTGGCAGTGGGTCAATATTTATTAATAAGGAGCAGGAACCCTGGCAAAATATCCTAGGATCGCTAAGAATTATTGTTGAAATCAGCTAAATAAGCACAGACCAAGGATCTGTGCTGGGCCCTTCCTTGTCTGTATGATTCAACTAATCATCAATCAAACTTACTGAGCTGAGCCATCAAAAGTGTTCAGTAACAGACACTTAATTGAGTGTGATAATTTATTTGGATGGAATTCTAATTCATTGATCATGATAAGGACCCACCTTCTAGTAATTTATCATAGCATTCTTCACAGTGCACAATCCTGCTATGAATCCACAAGTTATCTCCAGCTTCCAAGTCTCCCAGGGGTGCACTGCATTTGCCACACTGCAGAAGTACACAAAAACAGAGCAGTTTAATTCTCACTCTTACTTTCCCATTGCACTCACCACTTTAGAAATTATTATTATTATAGAAATGTATTAATTAATCAGTGTTTAAACTCAATCAGTCGTGATGCAACATCAGAGCATTCAAAATACTTGCCAGACATACAGGTAGTTTTATGGGGTTGGAGTCCTGTCTTACTCTCCAGTCTATCAGTTAAGCGAGATGAGTGTCAATAATTCTCAATTCAGCACCATACTGGGTGATGAAAGATGTTAAGATATTGATGGTTTGGATACTTTTATCAGTTATGACATATATCATGTCAAACTTTGGTAGAGCAGTGCAAGCTGGCAGCACAGATCATACAGGAGAGCCAGCTGCTTTCGTCCTAAAAAGTACCCAGTGACTGGGAAAGGCTGAAAATGTCCTGTGCGAATATCAAAACTATGTTTACAACAAAAAGTGTTCTCAGTTTCCTGCAATTATGCAGCATTTACCTTAAAACAGGATGGGTGGCTACAGATGTTCAGATGTTCAATTATTATCTTGATGTCTTCCAGAGCCATTCCACAAAAGGTGCACTCCCTGTCCAAAACAGTTAAAACAATTGTAACTTGGTCATCTTTGCCAAGCTGTTCCTTATCCTGTGTGTTCCCATTATTTAGAGGAAATTAGCACAACTTCGTCTAAGTTACACTGAATGGCAAATCACTGTAGGAATGTAGATGCCAAAGGGGAAGAATATGAAGTGAAATTAATGTACAATATATAAGCAACCAGTTTTGATTGGTCTGTATGTTTAGTCCAGTCATAAATGCAAATATGTGAGAGAAACTGAGGATACTCATTTGTAAGTCACAGAAGCTATTGAATATGCAATGATTCAGGAGCTGAAAACTGTATTTTGTATGTACTTTTGGCAGTAAATACAGTATGTGGAAATGGTCATCTGATTTATGGTATAAAGTCTACATCCAATGACAGCACTTTGTATTCTCAGCCTTTATATCATATTTGTGTAGACAGATTTTATGAATCAGGCTAACTGAATCAGGCTACATGTATGCATTGGGGAAATGGCAGGAGAGTTCAGTATTCAGTGCCCTAGGACATCCTCCCAATGTGAAAGGTGCTTTACAATTTTGTTGTTGTTGAGAATGAGGTTGAACGGATAGCTCTTGGGACAAATGGCCTTCTTCTGTATAGTAAATTATGATTTATTTTGGGACATTTGATGACAATTTGGAGAATTAAAAAGAATGTTATTTGGTTTCTTGTAGAAATAGTTTGCCAGATTATTTCAGATAATACGCACAGTAAACAGGATTTACCTCTCTGGAGCCTGAAACAATTCAGGATCTACTTTTGCCATCAGTACGTTGTGAATTTCTTTTTTTATAACAATCACATTCCTGTTGTGGGAAATAATAGAAAATTGTTAAAAGCAGAATAGAATTTAATCTGATTTCACAGAAAACATAATGGAAGAAATTCCACTCAAAGGTAAAACAGATAAAAGAGGCAGAGAGAAAACGTAGACCACCAGTAGCCAAGTGAATAGAGATACAACACAGTGCAGTACTAGATTATATATTCCAGAAAGTCAGAACTTCAAATCCCACTTTGTGCTTAGTTTGTGGAACAATGGCAATTAGGACAAAGTAGCGGTGAGTGAGTTTGTAGACCTTAGAACTATATCCTAGACCTAGATGATGAAAAAAGATATCCAAGAGGACAAGAGAAAAAAAGGACAGAAAAAAGCGAGAAATAAACATGGAAAGCCATATGTATGGAATACAACAACTTGCATTTATGTAGACTTATGCATTAAAGAAAATTCAAAAACATTTAATGATTGACTGACGCTGAGCAAGAATGGGAAGAAATTTAGATGCATCTCAGCACTTGGTAAGATTGACAAGTTTTCCCTGTTTGTTTCTCCGTTTTACTGAATACCTTTGCCAAGTCGAAGAAAGTACTAAATGGGTAGATTTACCTCTGGTCCACAGATCCTGGAATTTCATCATTTCTATTACCAGTCTTAATGTCCGATAGCTCTCCAGAATCATCTCCAAAGGGAAGTAACTCAGATCTATTAAAACAAATACACTTAAGACAGTTAAAGAATTCTCTTGAACATTTTCACTCTCCCACCTCACTAAATCATTATTTTCTCTCTGTCCTGGAAAAGGATCTAGTTCTCCCCGATTCCCATTTATACTGTTTGCAGCAATGCCTTTTCCTTGTAAATTTATTATATCTATTACAGTTTTTTATGAAAATATTTTCCTAAAATTTCTAAGTACCTTATTTTTACATGATGTTCCCATCTATGTATCCCATCCCATTTAAGTGCTCTGAGACACTACCCTGGGTAGAGGGTATATATAAGTGCAACTTGTTGTATGTAGTATATAGCTGTAGGTCATAGACTTTCATGGGCACAGAGCTACTTCTGCTGACATTGGGCATCATTTCTTTCAGACTTACTTCTCTTGGTCATTGTAGAATTTGGGGCTGCTGTTCATTATCAGTTTCGAAGAAGCAACTACTTCCATTGACCCTTTTGACAAGTTCATTGGATTCACAGGACTGAAAATAAAACAACCTTAGAATATAGGAAATTACTGACCATGAGATAACAACATTCTCTAGATATTCATAGTTAAACTGTTATTTTACAATTTACAGTTAATTAGCATCCTTCACATTGGGAGGATGTCCCTAAGCAGTTGACAAAAGGGCTTATAAAAGAAGATCGCCATTAAATCAATTTCTATTTTAATAGACCAAGCAGGTTAATTAATATAAATTGTAATACCTGTCACTTAACTGGCATTCTGGTATAAATTTGACGTGACTGAAAAGCAGGGGAAGAAGTTGATAGGTGATTGTTCAGGGGAAATTACAAGGGCCTGTAACTATGTTAATTTCTTATTAATTAAATTAATGATTTGTTTCAGTTAATTAAATAAAGATTGCCAGCAATTCCCACTGTACATGCGCTTAAACGGTTTACACAATGAACATAATAAACCTATTGACTAGGTGCACTCTGGCATGCAAGACTGGATTAGATTGTTGACTAGTTGAATTCTGCTGGATTTTGAATTTAAAATTTTTCTCAATCTAGAAACAGGATTACAGAGTGCAATCTAAAGCACTCTTGCTGACATTGAAGATCAATCTTTGTTGATGCACAATTTCTGAGCTCAAAAATCCATAAAAATAAAAAAATGCAGTTGTGGTCTCTGATTGATTTGGAACAGAATTGTACAAAGCTTTTAGGTAAGTGTCATTGATATTGACAGTTTCAAGTAAGGTGGCGAACCTTCCAGAATCATTAGTTCTGTTTATTTTGGGGGACGGCTTTTGTAGTTACTGTAATGTAGACCTGTTTAAGAGTCAAGTGAAGTCAAAGAAATATGATCAGTACTGTGGTTTGAAATTCAAAAACCCCTTTCTCCAATTGGGGTGAAAATTGTGACCTGTGATGTGTTAGTTGTCATTGGTAATAATTTAACACTTGATATATCACATCCTTCATCCTAAATATCTAATATTTTGTTAAATGTCTCAATCAATCAATCAATCAATCAAATGACTGGGCCTTCATGAGTTGTTAATCGGGGGTGGCTGTTGAACGGATTTGGTTGGTTAAATACGTTTTACTGTACCTCAGCAGAAATGAACAGCAAATCACTATGGCAAAGTATATGAAAGAATGAGTGTGTGTATATTTCGAAATCTAACAATCCTGAAACATTATTCGCAAAAATAAACTCACCATATCCTTTTAATTCTATCCTATCATTTCTTACCTGGTGCTGCCATTACAGACCCGTGAAGAGGGGATGGTTTCCTCATTAACTATGACTCTTTGAAAGGAAAAATAGCTCAATTTACATGTGTAGAAAACAATGTGCAAATAGTTTTGAAAAATCTCCTCAAAATGCCATGGCAGCTATTTATAAAATGACAGAATCCTGCTTTAATACCAAAAATGATACATTTGTAAATTTGAATATATGATAATAACAAATGGAGTACATCCTGACATTCTTGTTAGAGAGAGGTAAATAAATATGAGAAGACATGGATATCATTCAAAGATATGATATGCACCAATTTAATAGTAGGGCATAGGAATGGCAGCTACATTGTTCTAATGAGCAAAACATAATAATCCTTAAAATTAATTTCAATATTTGATCAATTTCTAAACTGAGGCTCTTTTCTTGTTCATTTTATTATTATTACAGTAATAATAATGCTTGTATTTTAATCCTTGTACTCAGGTTCTTCAAATATTATTGTGTTTTACAATTAAATGATGTAGAAAGGCAATGTACATTCTCACCTTCTAGCAACAAATGTAGGAGATGGGAAGTTTGCCTGCGGAGTTGAAATTTTTTGGGAATTAGAGACCGGGCCAGTGTTAGTGTTAAGGCTGTAAGAGAGAGCAATTTGTAGGGATTACTGTGATTTGCAATTATTATCATTGCTATAAATTGACAGAGTACACTCTATAATTGAATACACTTGGTAAGACAAAGGCAACCCTCCCCAGATTCAAATCAAGTGGCTCTCAAGCAGAGAATCAACCTACTAGTATTATACTATGTCAACTTGGGTCAGTTGGTAGCACTTTTGTATATGAATCAGAAGGTAGTGGTGCAAGCTCCATGCTGGGACTTTGAACTCACTGGCCAGGCTATCTTCTCTAGTGCAGTACTAGAGGAGTGCTGGAATGTGGAAGCTGCTATTCTTTATATAAGATGTAAAACTAAGGCCCCATCTGCCTGTACAGGTAGACATTAAATATCTCATTGCACTTGAAAAGAGAAGGGAGTTTCTCCTGGTGTCTTGGACGACAATCCCTCAGATAAAACTGGTTATTGGCTAGGCTGTTTGTGAAACATTGCTGTGCACAAGAGTCAGTTCACCTACAAATAACATACTTACTACACTTAATAGTAAATCGTTTGAGTGTTTGTTAATATGCATTCCATTTACATTATACCCCAGGTAGTTAGAAATTATTATGACCTTCGGCATATTCTTTGGGTGAACATGATTCATCCTCAGAACTGTTCGTCTTGTTCAGTGAATTATTCAATGAATGTCTACAGCAAAGGTCTATAGGTTTGGATGAAAAAGATTGAATGCTGTGTTGAACGTGACGGTTTGGCATCAAAGGAATATTGTGAGATTATCCTCCATTCTTTACTAATTGTATAATGGTACAAAGAAGCAAAAATAATATCCTCACCTTCTCACTGCAAATGTTGGAGGTGAGGATTCTGTCACTGGAGCCGAAGAGTCTTTGCTGTCAGTATCATCATCAGCATAAGCATTCAGCCTGTGACAAAGGTAAAGCTCCAAGGTGTATTTAGGATTTCTCATAATGTATCATTGATACTATGATAAAGTAAGTCATACACTCAAATGTACAGTGAGCTGATCAACAGCTGACCAAATATCAGCACAAAACAAGCCCTACAGAATCAACTGCAAAGTGTGTTCACCTGAGTCGGGAAGAGTTGAAATGTGAAGGTTTTGAAAGGCGTTAAATAAAAAGGATTTGGTTGGAAATGCTCAAAGTAGCATCAACCCTTCTGGACAGTGATCATGATAAAGTATTCAGAAGCTCTAAGTTCTAGCAATGTGCATTGTCTTGAGTCAATTAAAACAATTGCCCCTCCGCTATAACTGATATAGTCTATTGCTACTGTGTCAGTGAAAGTCTTTTTTTAATCCCTCATCAATTTTCGCCCTCCTCTTCTGAAGAAGTTCAACTGTTTTTTTCCTTCAATTGGGATTCAGTTAAACACTCGAGCAATACGATTCAGTGTTGTAAAGTGACCGAAACCTCACCCGTTGATTGCTTGTACACTCTCAAGTTTCTTTTCTCTACTCAGGTTTGATGTCTCAGTTTTAGCTACCATTGAGAAGCATGAGCCAGGAGCAGACAAGAACGAAAAACAATGTGAGGACAGGAATAGTGGTAAATCAGAACAGACAACAACTATAATGATAATAACTTGCAATTATATAACGCTCCTCACGCAGGGTAGCGGCCCATAATAATAATAATAATCCTTGCATTTGATATAGCGCCTTATTAAGTCGTTGAGAAGCACATGACAGATTATACTGTAAAGTAGAATGACTATTTTGTGGGCAAAACGCAGCAGCCAGTTTGTACACAGAGGTGTCCCACTAACAGCCATGCAGTGAGTGATCAATTTTATCTGAATTTGATATTGTGCCTTTCACTTCGGAAAGACATCCCAAAGTGCCTCCGAGGTAAAGTGCAAAGGAAGTGATTGTAGTGTGTTTTATTACAATATACAATATATATACAATATATACTACAATATACATTCAGAAGGTTGGTGGAGCTAATGTTGCCCTTACTGTGGTATGCCGTCTTCCTCAAGCCCAACCTGATTGCTGTATATCCAGCTACTGTCATCCTTCAAAGGAATTCTCTTTAACATCTGGTTAATCACATGCTGTCTGTCCTCCTCCGCAGGAGACGTGAACTTCGGGGATCCAAAGTCTGAGGAAGATTAAAAAAGCGGGTGGAAAGCACTTTCTCACCGCAGACAAATATCTTGCCACCAAAACTGAGATATGTCTGGGTTACCCCAATGATGACAGAGACAACACTCTTGCTGGTGCGCAGATATGTTGACAAATTTAAGAGCTTAAAATTTAATTTTGTGCAGAATTGTGGAAAATTCCTTAAATTCAGCTTTAATTTGGTGGCTAGTGTTCTGTAGTTTTCTTAAAATCAACTGCCATACTGAATAAGAAGTAACTAACCCTATGATTGTCAGATTAACACAAACACAGACCTTGCAGGCTGTCAGAATCATAGGATTGTCAGGTTAGTGTAACCACAGGATAATTGAGTCTAATCAAAATGTTATACGACTCATAATTAGCACAAAAGGGCTTGCTTGATTTTGAAGTTGGTTGCATGGTTTAGTAGACAGGAGAGCGGCCTTACCTTTCTTGACCGTAACATAGTTGTTACTGCCGTTTGTTGTCATATTGAAAGATTTGTGGGTTCCGATGCTCAAGCCAGACCCCTGGTGAAAGATGTACAATCTTTACAAAACAAAGTTAATGGAGTAGGTGCATTACAACATCAAAATGTGTCTGAGCACACAGGCTATGAAGTACAGCTCAAAGAAAATGGATGCTGGAAGTCTGATATAACAACTAAATGTTAGAAACATGCAGTGGACTAATCATGCAAACAATACAGCACATAAAGGGTTATTCAACCCATTGTGTCTTTGCTGGTATGTGCCCCCTCCACTGGAGCTATCCACTCTAATCCCATTTCCCTGCTCTTTCTGCTTGCCTTTTATTATTTTTCCTCTAAATATTTATCCGTTTATATCAGCATCTAAAAGGGAGCGATAGGTTAACATTTTGAGTAAGACCCTTTGGAAGAAATGTAAAATTGTTCATTGATGCACACAGCAGAATGTAAACTTAGATTACCTGTATAACACAGGAGTCAAAGCACTAATCCGGTTACATTCAAGTACTGTTACCAGCAATTCTGAGGTCTGCCAATTGTAACATCATTCTCCCAGTACAACACTATGGAAATAAGTCATTTTCGATACCTGAGATCTTAATTGAAATATTCCTTTGTCAAGTGTTCAGTGAGTGTCACTGATTTACAGCTCTGATGTGTTTCCAATTAACCGATTAAATCCAATTCACTCTTCGCCAAAGAGGTGTCCCAGGGTACCTTTGAATTGAAGTTAATTTCTCACTGGGATGGTCAACTAGTTCAGCAACATTCCGCAAAGTTCTTTCATTTTTTCACAACGTATCACAAATGCATTTCACAATAAAAAGCCAATTCTAATCCGAAAAACTGTGGACAAGTACAACATTGGCTCATAAACATTTTACTTCTTATTACTGTAATAATAAGTAGCAATTGTTTCTACATTAGAAAAGTATTTGGAAGCTGATTTAATTTGTTTAGTTAGAATGCAACTGACTGTTTGATATATTCTCCTTTTACATCTTCAGGGAGTTAGCAGATGCTATGCAAGCCATTTGCCCCACTGCCTCTGGAAATTGGGCACTATCCACTATAGTGCAGCTTCAGTACTAAATGCCCATCACACCCACATACTTCCTCTCTCACATTTCCACAACGCATTTTTTGAATGTTTTTGGCTTTTTTTTGCCCTCCAATTGTTTATCCAAATACTGGAATTAATCTGCACTAGAAAAATCCTTCAGACAACAATGAGATAAATGACCAACACAGAGGGAAACACGGCAGCCGTTTCCACCCAGGAGTGTCCCACAAACAGTTATGTGTTTAAAGACTGATTAATTTAGATGGCTGTTGGTCAGCATACCAGGAGAAACTCCTTTTTTAGCAGCTCATCTTAAGGACAGCACCTCTGACAATACTGTGCTCCCTCCAATACTGCATTGGAATAACCGCGTAGATTATGCCCTTGTATGAGTAGCAATTGTTTTTTGTTAATTATAATTAGTCACCTCAATCGGAATAACAAAAACTGGATTCATAACTAATATAATTGGAGCAAATCCCATCTGTTTGTAGAGAATGCCAAAAGAATGATGAACATCATTTTCATATTTACGTGAAACTACAGTAGCTCACTTTCAAACCTGTTACTCTGGCTGCAGAATCTGGTAGAATTTCAGAGTAATGTGGAGGAGGATAACTAGTTTGGATAGTTGCAGTCAGGAGATTGATGATAAAGTCGGCCTGCTTGACCAACCATTCCAAGTTTATTTGCATTTTCTATGTAGTTTTTACAGTACATCATTGTGCCCTCCCCCCAGTGTGAAATACAATGCCCAGCTCAGTGTGCTCAAAGCTCCTTCGGACTCGCTGTTTATTTTGGTTGAAGGCAGCATTCCTGATTCCTGATCTCCAAAAATGTGGCTAGGAGTCCTATAGTATAGTGGTTAATGTGAGGACCCGGGTTCGATTCCCAGGCAGAGTGAAACCTTAGGCAAGTTTCCTTTCTCTGCCCGCCTCGGTTTACCTAGCGATAAGTAGGACTCCAGTTGTTAGTCGATTGGCGGGTTGTTTTCCAAGGGTAATAATCCGTCCACACTAAAAAATACATCACTCAATCCACTACTGTGCATAATTGGCTGCCACGTTTTGCCCACAAAATATGCAGTCAATCCACTTTACTGTATATTCTGTGAAGATATCTCAACGACAGGATAAGGCTCGATATCAAATTAAAAGATTATTATTATTATTAACCAGGTGATTAATGTCTTTGAATGGCAACAGACTTTTCTTTTTAGCACTATTTAAGTTTCTGGAATGGATCCAACCTCCCTTCTGGATAACCTCAGGCTGTGCTATGTTCCTTGAATGTTGATTATCCTGTACGGGGAGATTCCAGCCCCTCCTCTTGAGATGTCAATGTTATCTACCTCCAGCCCATTGATTGGAATGTAAGATGATAATTGAAGATATGAATCTCTTTGACTTTGTTCTGTCGATTGTTGCCTGTAAAACTTACAACCTGACTTTAAATTATTTTTGCATTCACTTATTAGAATGCACTTAGTAAAAGACAGTGAACATTACAGGGGATTATTCTATAATTGCCATTAAATTGACTAACGTTATTTGCTTGAGTTTATATGAGAAAGTTATATGTGCCCATTGCTGGATTAGTGAACTAGACAAAATAATCCTCCTTATTGCTCCATACTGAGTGCCAGCCATTGTCTATTCTATTGAGAAAGTGAGAATTAGGCGCAAGATCCATAGTACAATACATCACTAGGGTTAAACGATCAGAGAAGAAAATGATGTCAATGAAGAAGCAGGTGGCATTAAGCTTGGTCTTTAAATGCTTTTTGATTTAAAACCCAAGCAGTTAAATCTCTGGCGTGTGGGTTGGTAACCAGAGGATACAGATTTAAGATAATTGGCAAAAGAATTAGAGGGGAGCCAAGGATATTTTTTTTATCCAGAAAGTTGTTACAGTCTGGAATGCACTGCCGGAAAGGGCAGTGGAAGCAGATTCAAAAGTAACTTTCAAAAGGGAATTAGATATGTACTTGAAAAGGATGAATTTGCAGGGCAAAGGGGAAAGAGCAATGGGGTAGGACTAGTTGGTAGCTCTTTCAAAGAGCCAGCCGGCACTGGCACGATGGACCGAATTACCTCCTTGTGTTCTGTAAAATTCTATGATTAGAAAAGGAAGGGAAGAGTGAGAGAAAAGTGACGGAAGAAAGTAGTAGCATTGTCTAGGAATCTAAAAGAATGTTACTGACCTTCATTTCAACAACAAGATTACATTTGTATAGGGCCTTTCACGTTGGGAGGACATCCCTAGGCGCGGGACAGTGTACAGCATTTCAGACCCGAGCTGGGGTCAGGGAGGGAGAAGGAAAGGGAGGGGAAGGGGGGTGATCGATGGGTCGAAGAGAAGGGTGTAGAGCCGGGACTTGAAGGAGGCTAAGAAAGGGCGAGGCAGAGTGATTCAACTTCAATGCACTGAGGAAGATGATAGGAGCAAATGTGTAGCTTGTATATTGGTAGCAGAGTTTGTGAGAAACAAGAGAGGATAGTTTAAAGGAGCAATGACCATAACATGATCATTAAAATGAAACCAAGAAAGATTGTGACAGTTATTATAAACTCCCTTGAAATGTGTCACTACATTAAGAATAACACCAGTGTGTATGTTTTAAAACTAAGCGCTATAACTGGTAGCTGCCCTTTTCCCAGTGGTTTGGGAATATCAATAGAGCACCCAGCAAACTCTGGATATCCAAATTTTAGGACAAAAGTACTCAATTAAACATGTAATGAAAAAGGGGTAAATTGCCAGTCAACCTTTATCTTATTTTCAACTGTTCTTAATTCCCCGTTAACCAATGGTTTATAATTTTGAAAGGAAGAGTTACTTAGCACAGTTGCTCATGTTTGCAATTGTTTCCCCAACTTTTTAAATTTGGGTCTGCCAGGTAGGAGCTGCCGAGTTAGGGTTATTTCCTTACATCCGAAATCATAGTAGAACAAAAACCTGGGTACAAATGCTTACTCTTTTCTTGTCTTGAAGTCTAATATGACCCTAGATTCTGCATGCTGACTTTGTTTCTCATGGCCATAAGTTATGAATGCATGTCCTTATAATATTCTACCAGTATTTGAGTTACTTTAGGTATCTTTGTATACAATCTGTGTAGACAAGACATTGTAGAATGTGTAACTAATAGTGGAGCAAGTTGCAGAAATACCGTGCAAGCTTTATGGGTTACTTTGAATGTTTTATAATTGAAATATTACGTTAGAACACACACTTTTATAAAACATTCTTTTAAGTGGAATGACATTGTTTTGTAATTTCAGTTAGATCTTTTCAATTTAACACTGGAGACTTCCTTGTTAATCTGCCTGCTGCTGGAAAAGCGGACATGAACTCACCTGTACAGTAAAATAATTCAGTTGAACGTCAATGAGTCTCAGACTTCAGGCTCAGCTCTCCTCAAACAATGCTGTTCATTCAACAGTCATCAGATCAGATCAGATCTAGTAATTCAAGTGTTCCACAGCATGGAAAATAGTGAGTCTTAGTGCTGCCGGGCTGGTTATACCTACAGCCTCTCGTTTCTGGGTGGAGCTAAACATTTATCTTTAGGTTAAGTGGTGTGGAATAACATCTATTGGTTTCAGCTTTGTTTATGTGTAAATTCCTCACAACTCACATTGAATGTCAAAGTGCTATTGGAGATAAGTTTTTTTTCTTTTCGTGATAAGAACCTAAATCTATGGAATGCGTAGCTGAGAAGATCGTTCTCTGCCGCTTTCTAATCAGAATCAAATGTTGAAGTGCTACAATTGTATTTCTAAAATCCAGGTTTTTTCTGACACAACAGTCTCAGCAGATAGGATTGTCATTGATTTAAATAGATTTATATACACTGTACAGCACAGAAGCAGGCCATCTGGCACAACTAATCTGTGCTGGTGTTTCCTGGACAAGAATCTTTACATCCACTCCTTATTGCTTCCCATACCTTTCTATATATGGTAAAGTGAATTGACTGTATGTTTTGTGGGCAAAACGCGGCAGCCAATTGTGCACAGCGGTGTCCCACAAACAGTCGTGGTTTTAGTGACCTTTTTTTACCCCCGGAAAAGCAATCTGCCAATCGACTAACAACTGGTTTTCTACTTACTGCTAGGTAAACAGAGGCGTGTGGAGTAAAGAAACTAGTTCAATGTTTTGAACTGCCGGGAATCAATTCCAGATCCTCTTGCTTGCGAAGTGAGTGCTCTAACGACTAAGCTACAGGACTCCACAAATCCTTTACAATCTTGTAGTGTGCAACTGTTTGGTGAGCACAGGATGGGTCTTGATTATGATGTCGTACACTGGTGGAATAATAATAATAATCCTTGCATTTGATATAGCGCCTTATCACGTCTTTGAGACGTCTCAGTTTCCTTCTGCCTGGGCACATTTTCTGCCTAACATATGGCTTTCTGTACACCATTCTACCGATATGCTTATTGTGAAACCTTCTCCCCTGTGCTATCATTTCCATACTTACACCAACCATGATTCTCTTTAACAGAGCTAGGCTTGTACTGTATCTAATGGGAAGTGGGTTGAGATGGTAAACCAGTGGTAGCCAACCTTTTTGGTTTGCCAATAAAATGATCATAGAAATAACAAAATAGCATTGATTTGTCACAAATCAAGAAATATTCAACCAAGAAACATTTATTTTGTCACCATTGCGATATACTCACTTCACCTAGACCACAATTATTATAATAATTATTATTATTTACCAAAACTACTATGAAAACTAAAAAGACTTTCACTTTTGTATCTCTCCATCCCTCTATCCAACTCAGCATCCAGCAGTAAAAGGAAAGAGTTCTGACCCAATGCTCCACCCAGTGTCCAAGCTGAGGATTGTTTCGTAAAACTCAGAGATGGGTAAATAATCATAAACAAAAAATCAATGAATATTGAAAGTTTTATTATTATGTTCACTTCATGACAGTATTTGCTGCAAAACAAGCATTTAGGACAATAATAGCTTTGTGTTACATCCTACAAGGTCACATGAAAAATCAAAGCTTAGAGGAGGAAACTTTTGTTCCTAATACTCCCACTAGATATGGAAAAATAAGCATTGTTCCCACTCAGCAGTTTCCCTTCAACAAAGGATCACAGGCTTTAATATTGGACTTGGACTCTACTTCCTCCTGCACAAGCTGGCTCCAGTCATATATACAGTATAAGGGAGAAGGCAGCCACATCCCGGTGTGTTTAGTGCAGTTTGGCACTTTGCATTGGACTAGAAGCTAAGACACAACAGCCTTATCATGGGAAAGTTCCAATAATGGCTGTTTTTTCTGCTCTCAAATGCCTTCACAGCAGTACTTCATCAGTAAGGAATAACCAGAGAATTATCCCAGAAGAGCAACTGATCTTTAAACCATCAGTGGCTACAGGCTGTAGTATATAATGTACAGAAAACTGCACAACCACACAGCACCTTGAAAAGGAAAAAGAGTATCAACCCCTCTGGCCAGGAACATTTTGACAAGACATTGACAATTGTCTATTGGGACAATGAGTGGAATATCTTTTATCTTCACACCCTCATTTAAGACAGTGTGACCCTCTGGCTTTGGCTGTCAGTGCTATTAACCTTCAAGGCACAATTTTGCCTTTTTGCAAAGTTATAATTAGCCTGTTCCAACAGTGTTTTCAGCAGTGAAAGAAAAGAGGTTTGACCATATAGCTGAAACCCAGGGGAGCTAATTAATAAACGTGGGATTATTCTCACTTTTTTGGGGAAATTTTCCAAACCTTAGTGGTGTGAGATATAAATAGTAAAATTCCATATAGAAAATGCCAATCCATCTGCTTTCTAACTCCAGGAGGATGGTTCAAGGAAGCAAACTCTTTACGAGAAGACTTGACTCTTGTATGGGAACTTTACCTGAAAGTCAAATGTAAGCGAAAGAAAAATTGCATCAACTCAGCCTCCCAGCAGTGTGTCAGCATGTTTCTACTTTTGAATTACAACCTAAATATCTTCCCAAACCTAATACTGTACAAGTGCTGCTTTGCTTCGTATAAGGCTTTCCGGTTGTCTAAATTATTAGACTGTTTGTTTACAATGAACCTACAGGAAATGTTCTGCACTTTGCATTCCTCCCCCTCCCCACTTCCTGTCAGTGAAGTGCCCCAATCCTGAGATGTAACCCTCGATGTGAAGATTGAGAGTCCAGCAATCCAACACACACTGAACTCTCTTAATTATGTCGCTATCCTGATTGCCGAAGGTGTGTGAAACTTTGAACTGTGTTCTTGACCCCTTCGCTCAGACTGACCACAGGCTTGTACCCCAACTCCTTCTTTGCCCTCTCACAGCTATAATAATGGAATGTTCCAGCTAACGCCACTCGCATTGGGGTGAAAGTGGGTTTAATGGTCACAAATGGCTTTAGTATTAGCACCAGCAGTGAGAGCAAGAAAGCCAAATAATAAGCCAGCAGATAGGGTATATGGTACTTTGGGGCCTCGTAATTTAATCCAACCAACAGCTGAGATAGGAAGGTCCAAAAGGGAATGGGTTCGTCATTTGTAATGTGATAGGCCTAAGGAGGAAAGGAATTAAAAAAAAGTGAGTATTTTACAAATAATGAGGTTAGAATCTGAATCTAAAAGACATGACAGTGACAATTGTATTGATTTACAACCTGGAAGTTCATGTTAATATAAATCTTAAATGAACATTCAGCAAAAACTTTTGTGTGGACTAAACACCAGCAAGACTGGATGGGTTAAATGACTTGTTTCTGAGCTGTATCTTCTATGAATTGCTTCTATTGCAAATTTAAGACCAAATCTGTGTTTACACGGCAGCATTAGCATCAAATGACCAATGTTTCTGGCAGTGATTTGCTGGTAATCATGCAGTACAAACTGGGGCTCGAATGTCACACAAATCGTGTTGGAACCTTCCTGAGCAGTAATTTGCATTCATGCATTAAGTATAAACGTGGAGGGTGTCAATTGGGTTTGAAAAGAGGACAGGGTGGTCTAATAGGCACCCTCCATGCCAGGAATAGGAACTTTTAATGTTCAAATTTCCAATAATGTTAAAGAGATAATCAGGTTAACTGATAGTGGAATTAGCTCTTTGATACAATTTTTGTTTTTTTAACCGAATCAAAGTTATGTGGAGTGGCAAGTATAAATCAGGCTGTGCTTTCAGTACTATAAACAGTATTCTGTCTTTCAAGTTTGTACCAGCTATGCATCAGTGTACTTATACAATTACACAAACCATTCAATACCTTAGTTAAGGGGCACCCGGATCCAAAAGGACTTGCCTGATACAGGACAAGCATCAATTAACAATTAATAATAATAATAATAATCCTTGCAATTGATATAGCGCTTTTCACGTCGGGAGGACGTCCCAAAGCGCTTCACAGAATATACTGTAAAGTGAATTGACTGTATATTTGTGGGCGAACGCGGCAGCCAATTGCACACAGCAATGTCCCACAAACAGTCGTAGATTGAAAATGACCAATTTATTATTGTTTTTTGTTTTTGGAGGGATTATTATTAGGCTCTGTGTGGAGTAAGGAAACTTGCCCAAGGTTTCGCCCTCTGCCTGGAATTGAACTCAGGTCTCTCACTTGCAAAGCGAGTGCTCTAACCACTGAGCTACAGGACTCCACAAATAATATTAACTGACCTTTCTGTTAGCTCCTGGATGGTTTGGGTCAGGCTTGTGTGTGACTACTGTGCTACTGTTGTTTATTATGTGGAGAGTTACAACATGGATTGCTTTGCTCCAAATATGTATTGAGGCTGAGACAATAACATTTGAAAGAGAATTGGGTAAACATATTAAAAAAATCAAGAGCATTATTATTAATTAAATCATTACCTTTCCACAGATGGGGGAGTTAGGGTGTAGATTCTCTGCTGCCAGAATCAACCCGTGCACAACATTATCAACATAGGTGAAGTCTACCAGGTTCTTGCCGTCGCTGTAAAGTAAAAACACACTAGGTTAGAATCTACACCAGCAATATAGTCGTAATGTCAAACAGGCTTGAGGATTCAAGCCTCACACCAGCACGAGTTCAAAATTCAGGCTGATACACCATAGCAGTTCTGAGGGAGTCGTTCTTTCTGCAGCTGATTTGGCTTTGAGGAGACAACTGGTAAAACCAGGCAGGTCTACAGAAGTTGAAAGCAACTTTGACCAGTATGTGCGATATAGATGTGTCCTCAACTCTGAACCAAACTTTGCTGGTTGAATGCAGTGCTGTATAGTTGTCATCTAATGGGTGTCTATTAAGTGGGCAATGTGCATATATAGTACTGAGCAGCTATACCTACCCAATCATGAATTTCATCTTGCCACTTTTAGCAGCTTGTACAAGGACAGGCACCAAATGGGGATCTTGGGGTCCAAAAATGCCATGAGGACGAATTGCAACCGTCATGAAGTTCTCATCTGGATTATTAGCTCGAAGAACTTCCTGTAATAAAATAAGTACAATTTAAGACAGATGCTTTAAATAGATCTGGCCTGAGTGTTGATACCAAGCTGCCTGACCAAGGTATATTCAACACCAGCTGGATATTCAAGGTTACTGTAGTAATAACATCCTTGCATTTGGTGTAATAATAATAATAATCCTTGCATTTGATATAGCGCTTTTCACGTCGGGAGGACGTCCCAAAGCGCTTCACAGAACATACTGTAAAGTGAATTGACTGTATATTTGTGGGCGAACGCGGCAGCCAATTGCGCACAGCAATGTCCCACAAACAGTCGTAGATTGAAAATGACCAATTTATTATTGTTTTTTGTTTTGGAGGGATTATTATTAGGCTCTGTGTGGAGTAAGGAAACTTGCCCAAGGTTTCGCCCTCTGCCTGGAATTGAACTCCGGTCTCTCACTTGCAAAGCGAGTGCTCTAACCACTGAGCTACAGGAACTCCACACATTGTTGCCTTATCACATTGTTGAGATACCTCAAAGCGCTTCACAGAATATATTGTAAAGTGAATTGACTGCATTTTGTGGGCGAAAGCGCAGCAGCCAATTGTGCACAGCATTGTGTCACAAATATTATTATTTATAATTATACATGATTATCACTGTAAAGTGACAATGAGACCATGAAAATGCCCATACCTTCTCCTGCAAAATTTTGGTTTGTGAATAGTAATCAATGGGTTTTTCGGCATAAGGCAAGTCTTCAGAGCCATTTTTGAGGTCAGTCCCTTCGAATACTACACTAGCGCTGCTGGTCAGCACTAGTTTCTGGTACACAAGAAGAAAAACAGTGAGTTGAAGTTGGGAGAGAGAACAAAAACAAAGATTAAAATGGCACAACAGAGTTTCCTACCTGCACTCCAGCCTCTTTACAAGCTTCAATGATAGTTTTGGTCCCTGTGTAGTTCACCTTGTAAAAAAGTTCTCGGTTGTCACTGGAAGGTGCTGGAGAAGCACAGTGAAATACAACGCTCACATCCTGAAACGCTGGTAGCACATCCTAAATAAAAGGTGAAAGAGGTTTCTACTCTGAGGTAGTTGGGAAGGTAACCCTGTACATGTAGCACTTAAAAAGTAATCTGTAGTTAATCACCTTTTGGTTGATTATATTATATGAAATATTCGGAAAATGTTCCTCACGTATTACAAAATAAGGATATCCTTGTAAATGACCAGAGAAAACTCAATTTCTAACGTGTAGTACTGCATATCAATTCTACTTTATTTGACCAGGAATGCTAAATCTTTCAGTATGTACTGTTAGAGCTACAGTGAATATTTCACACTGACCTCTTTACTGCACAGGTCTGCAGTGAAGAACTGGACCCCTTGCTTGTCAAATGTTTTTCGGACATCCAAGATATTGACTGTGAATCCTTTCTCCAGCAACTTCTGTACTAGATGTTGGCCCAAAAACCCTGAACCTCCAATAACGGTGCATTTCTTGTGCTATGGGACAAAAAGAAAACAGTGAAACTTTTAGTCAGAATGAACTGCGCCCCTTCATTTCTGTCCTGAAACTGCTTATGACACCCGTCCGGAATGCATTGCCTGACAGGGCGGTGGAAGCCGATTCGGTAACAACTTTTAAGAGAGAAATAGATCATTATTTGGGGAGGACAAGTTTGCAGGGCTGTGGGGAGAGAGCGGGGGAGTGGGGTTGAATTGGGTAGCTCTCTTTGAAGAGCCGGCACAGACACGATGGGCCGAATGGCCTCCTTTTTGCGCTCTATTGATTCCACGATACTTGCTCCGCGGTGCAGTTCTGTGGGAAACGGTTGCTTTCCAATACCGCGTCATCCAGCGTCCGTTCGTCTTCACGCGTTGCTGGTGAGCACTCGACCGCTGGGAGGCACCACGGCCGTCCCGGATCACTATCCTAACACCAGATCAACCGTCGAGAATTTTGCTTCCAGTCGGGAAACACCTGATATTGTTTCATTCCGATCTATTTGTTCCCGGCGCCAGCACTACTCCGACCATGTTTATGAGTCGGGAGTGGAGGCTGCGCTGATTCACCTCAGGGCTCCCTCAGCCCCAGAGCCACTGCGGTGGTTTGCACTGACCCCTGTGCTGTCGCTCCCACAGATCAGAGGCCAGAGACCAAACCGCTGACCTCCCGAGCAGGACTGGCTGCTCGGATGGATGGACGGACGGACGGACGGCGCGGGAGCCACAGCAGCGCTGCTGAGCGCGTTAGGGACTTTGCAGGGAACGTGGCCGCGGAGGGTCTCGTCCCCGGGAACCCCGCGGCGAGAGATACACAGCCGTAAAGTCACTCACCGCCCGAGATCGCGTCGCCATCTCCGCGCGGTTCGCAGCGATCTGTGCGGTGTGTGTGTGTGTGTGTCTGTCCCCCCCCGTCACTGAGACCACAGTAGCCCCGCCCCCCGCGGCTTGTCGGCTGCTTCCAATTGGTGCACGGGGCAGCATGCGGTCCAGCATTGCCCCGGCAACGGCCGCAACGGCCAATCCGATCGCGAGCTGATCATGGGCTGGTGATGACGCGGGGGAAGCAGTGGCCAATCGCGACACGGTGATTCGTCGCTCCGCCTCCGCGCACGTGACCGCTCCGCGGCGCTTCATTCATAAATACGCACTTGGCGCGGGTAGGGGGGTGGGTTCGTTAACCGGCTCTGTTACTGCAGCAGCTGATCAGTGCTGCCTCAGTACTGCAACATCAGTGTAACAGAGCGGGAGGTGTTGTGTGGGGGGGGTTTACATGGGAGAACATGTACTTGGTGTTGTTTATGAATTAATTACCTGTTGTACCAAATGCCGTATCGAGAAGACGCGAAAAAGTGCTATTATCAAATGCAACGATTATTATTATTATTATTATTATTATTATTATTTACCAATCTATATATATATACGCGAAAAAATCACCGCATCGCCGGCAGCGCTCCCCGCGTGAAGGGCACCGTGCAAATGCAAGTTGTTGTTGTTGTGCATTGCAAGATGACTATATTCCTCTCACCCGAGCAATCTAGAAATTACTTTTTTTTATATCGTATAAATATAAAATATAATTAGATATTTTATAATTTTACTTTTTTCACCCACAACACAAACACACACACACACATATATATATATATGATCGATCCACTCTACAGTATATTCTGTGAAGCGCTCAAGAGACATCTCAACAATGTTATAAAGCGCAATATCAAATGCAAGGAGTATTCTTGTTATTTTTAATATTGTTTATAATAGTAATCCTTACATTTAGTATTGTGCCTTTCACACCGGGAGGACATCTCAAAGAATTTTACAGGATTTACTGTAAAGTGTAGTGACTGTGGCTTTTGTGGGTCACTATTGTCCAACCACGGTGAGCTAAGTTCTTTATTCACTTCATGGCTGCTTGTGGAACCTTTCTGTGGGCAAATTGACTACTGCATTTGTTTACAAATTCACCTGATACCCATTAAATGTTTTGAGACATTTGAATATTATAAGTGCTACACCAAATGCAAGAATTATTTATTATTATGTTATTCATTCAGCTATAATTACAGTATTGAGAACGGTCTATACTAGGTTGGACTATCAAGATTATAGTTTATTATACAATAAGGAAAGTAATAAATATCGAACTATTGTACTAGTAAAGCTATAATAATTTCGTATTTGATATAGCGCCTTATGTTGTCGAATTCTTCATAGGATATATGTGTAGTGATTGTGTATTTTGTGGGCGAATGTTAGATATACACTTACATACATTACTGGTAGTTTGGAAATATTACTGTAGCAATGTTCAGATTAATACTCTCTGCAATAAAATTATTCATGTACTGTTAATGTCATACTAATGTTAATAAGCATAGCAAACTGTAGCAATACTCGTAATTAAAGAGTTAGAGAATGGTGTGGAGAAAGTGGTATAATTTAGCTACAAGAATACTGCCAACATGTATTGTACATTGAATGATCTCTCATTCAAATCTCCAATTTGTAATTAGTATAAATTGGAGACTCAGTTCTGACTTTGCAGTTGAAAGTAGTGTCAGAAATTGACAGATTCCTAGATTTTGTCAATTTTCTCTGTGAGGGTGGGGTCTGTGACCCCAACACACCCACCCTCACCCGGCTCCACTGGCTCCCCATCTCTCAGGGATCAAGTTCAAAATTCTCGTCCTCACCTTCAAAGCCTCTATGGCCTTGCCCCCTTCTTCCTCTCCGAGTTGCCAACCCCCTTATTAACCTGTCCGCACCCTCTGCTCAGCAGGCTCCAGCTTGCTCCATGTTCCCCGCCCGTCCCGTCCCACCATCAGCAGTCGAGCCTTCAGCCTCTCCGTCCCACCTGTTGAACTCCATCCCACATTCCTTTCGCCTTGCGTCCTCCTTTGCCTCCTTCAAGGCACATCTCAAGACCCTCCACGTCGACTGTGCCTTCGGCCATCTTCCGAGCCTCCCTGATCCCGTCCCCCCCCCCCCCCCCCCATTCAGGTCCTGATCCCAGACTGTTTAGCGCCTTGGGATGTCCTCCCGACATGAGAGGCGTTTTACAAATGTAATTTTGTGTTGCATTGTACGTAAGTTTCAAAATGGATGGTGGGACCATGTTATATGGGGAGCAAGAAGGTCGCCAGGCGACTTTGTTAGAAATATAAAGTTAAGTCCTGTAGCTCAGTGGTTAGAGCACTCGCTTTGCAAGTGAGAGACCTGAGTTCAATTCCAGGCAGAGGGCGAAACCTTGGGCAAGTTTCCTTACTCCACACAGAGCCTAATAATAATCCCTCCAAAACCAAAAACAATAATAAATTGGTCATTTTCAATCTACGACTGTTTGTGGGACATTGCTGTGCGCAATTGGCTGCCGCATTCGCCCACAAATATACAGTCAATACACTTTACAGTATATTCTGTGAAGCGCTTTGGGACGTCCTCCCGACGTGAAAAGCGCTATATCAAATGCAAGGATTATTATTATTATTATTAATATTTTTAAAAACACAGTGCATGGAAAGGAGAAACGAGAAGGAAAATAGGAACGTCAGGACGAGCACAGGTATTTAATTCAGCAAAACTATATCAGGAAACCAGTTGAATGTAAGACACCTAAATCACCCTTAAACACCTAAATCACCCTTAAACACCTAAATCACCCCGGTTTATCAGTGCATATCAGGGAATCAAAGTTATTTTAACGTTTGAACGGTTTTATGATTGGGAAACGATGAGGAGAACGTCTCTGGGGGAAGAAGCGCAGAACCAGAGACTCCCCACAGAGCTGCCGACAGTCCCGGGGCTCAGGTTTATTCTGTAAGTTATGATGCGCCGTTCGCCCTCGGGGGGTTGTTACAGTGCCTCGGGACGTCCCCCCGACGTGAAAGGCGCTCTGTAAGTGGAATCTTGTTGTTGTTGTGGGTGTTGTTGCAGATCCCCAGTGGCACTGCGCACTCCGCAATGCACCGCATCGCACATTTATGTTTCACTCTCACACTAAAAGGTACTCACAAACGCACTGTCTCTGCGCCAACAACAACAACAACAACAACAACAACAAGAAGTTTCCATTTATAGAGCGCCTGTCAGGTCGGGAGGACGTCCCGAGGCGCTGTACGGCGGCGGCTCCGGGGCTGCGTTTAATTGTACGTATAATTTTGGGTGGAATTCAGCAAAGATCGGGAACCCGCGCGGAGGGGAAAAAAACACCGACTCTTTCACATTGATTCCTCTTTTAAGGAAACATCTGTCCCCCCGAATACCATGGGACGGGGGACGGGGGACGGGGGGGGGGCGGGGGGCCGGGGGGGGCGGGGGACCGGGGGGCGGGGGGGGCGGGGACCTGGGGGCGGGGCCGGGGGCGGGGCCGGAGTGACGGGCAGAGCCGCCGCGCGGGGACTTACACCGGGTATTTATTTATTTATTTATTTATTTGTCGGTTGATTGGCTGATCACATCGCAGTGAAGCCGAGCAATGGCTGCGGTGGTGAGTAGAGCTTTCTGCAGCCCTGGATGGGGGGAGAGGTGGAGGGAGGGATGGTGAGAGAGATGGAGGGAGAGGTGGTGAGAGAGAGATGGAGAGGTGGTGGGAGAGAGATGGAGGGAGAGGTGGAGGGGATGAAGGGAGAGCTGGAGGGAGAGGTGGTGGGAGAGATGGAGGGAGGGATGGTGAGAGAGATGGAGGGAGAGCTGGAGGGAGGGAGGGAGGGAGGGATGGTGAGAGAGATGGAGGGAGAGCTGGAGGGAGGGATGGAGGGAGAGATGGAGGGAGGGATGGAGGGAGAGATGGATGGAGGGATGGTGAGAGAGATGGAGGGAGAGATGGAGGGAGAGATGGAGGAGGAGATGGAGGGAGAGAGAGAGATGGAGGGAGAGATGGAGGGAGAGATGGATGGAGGGAGGGAGAGAAGGATGGAGGGAGGGAGGGAGGGAGGGAGAGATGGATGGAGGGAGGGAGGGAGGGAGGGAGGGATGGAGAGATGGAGGGAGGGAGGGAGGGAGAGATGGAGGGATGGAGGGAGGAGGAGGGAGGGATGGAGAGATGGAGGGAGGGAGAGATGGAGGAGGGAGGGAGGGAGGGAGGGAGGGAGGGAGGGAGGGAGGGATGGTGTGTGAGAAGAGGAAATAACAGAATCCAGAATAGGATGAATGGCATTTTGCGAACGTGTATTTACAACGCAATGATGGGGAGCGGATGGAGGAGATGAAAGAGGGATGAGATCATTCGGGGCGGATAAAGGTTATAGGGCAAAACATGGGAGGATGCAACCCAGTCATTATCAGCAGAGATCTGAGGAGATACACTGCAAGAGGGGGAGATGATGTGAAACCATAATATACAGAGAAATAGTGATTAAAAGCAATAACATGTCAGAAGAGGGGTTTGGGATGAGGATTAATAAATACACAGCTCGTGTTGGTGCGTTCGAAATAGTGAAAAAAATGTTTTATTGGGGATGACAATAACACAGGATATTGCATTAGTGATGGCACTGTTGCTACCAAATAATGTTGCATTGGTGGAAGATAATGTAGAATGCTGTAGGCGTAACAGTAAGTAATGGAGGAGAATGTATAGTATTGGTGAAGAATCATTAATGATGCAGTATCCAATGTCATTGTTTGAGGTGCACTTAAGCAGATTAACAAATTAAGGCATGTTGTGCCTGCGAGGAAAATATTCTTGTCCTTGTGGTTAATCACGGGTTATAAAAACTGTCTGGAGGCGATGTAGATGGAAACTCCTCTCATCGAACCCCACTTTGGGATTTTGAGCTCACAGTCGAGGCTGACACTCCAGTGAAGTTCTGGGGGATGTCGCCCCGAATCTTGGGAACTCCTTGCCTCAACGCCTCCGCCTTGCCCGCTCCTTGCCCAGCTTCAAATCACACCTGAAGACTTTCCTCTTCGACCGTGAATTTGGTCGTCCTCCCAACATGAAGGGCGCTATACAATTGTAATTTGTTGATGTTCCTGTTGGTCACCTCCCCTCTCTTTGCAGCTTGGTATCAAACCACCCTGAGACGCTACCCACATGAAGGGCGCTTTGTAAATTAAAGTTGTCGTTAGATCATATTCGGTATGGAACTGAATCTTATTTACTCTTGCCTCCACCTCATGAGAAGGTGCAGCAAATATTCCCAAACTGCTTTTTAAAAACTTTGATGGATGTTGCAAAATGCCGACAGAAATTAACCGTATTTCCATTGTTCTAGGCTTCCATCTACAGAAAGCCATCATCCATGTGTGCAACAGTACAGAGGAAGAAATCCGGACCAAAGCCAGACATTAATGAAGAACAAAAGCAAGAAATAAGAGAGGCCTTTGATCTGTTTGATGCAGATGGCACCGGAAATATTGATGTCAAAGAATTAAAGGTACAGGCTACTGATCATTTCAGAAGTCTTTACTCAAACCTACTTAAAAGATTTGAAAGTTCTGGTTGTTGTAACCAGAATAGTATGTCTGTAGTTAGCTATTAAAACTCTTTTGTTCCAATATTACTTTTGAATTCTGGCAATCAATAGTTTTTTTTTGCCTATGCAATAATAATCCTTGTATTTGATATAGTGCCTTATCATGTCATTGAAATGTCTCAAAGCACTTCACAGAATATATTGTAAAGTGGATTGACTGTTTTTTGTGGGCGAAACGCGACAGCCAATTGCGCACAGCAGTAACAACAACAACTTGGATTTATTTAGCTCCCTCCACGGCAGACGGCGTCTCAGAGCGCTTCACAGTAACGGATCCCGGGGCTGAGCCAGGGGGAGGGGGAGGAAAGTGACCAAAGGCGCGGTCGAAAAGAAAGGTCTTCAGCCGAGACCTGAAAATAGGAAGAGAAGGTGCGAGGCAAAGGGAGTGAGGAAGGGAGTTCCAGAGCCTCGGGGCGTAGTGACTGAAAGTACGGAGAACTCGGGGGACAAGGAGGAGACCAGACCCGTGGAGTGAAGGGAACAGGCACTGTTGTGAGGAGAGAGGAGGTCAGAGAGGTCGGGGAGTGCAGAGCAGTGGAGGGATTTGAAGACAAGGGTGAAGATCTTGAAGTCGATCATCTCTGGGATAGGCAGCCAGTGCAGTCTGGCCAGGACTGGGGTAATCGGGGAGAAGAGTTTGGTGTGGGTAAGAATGCAGGCGGCTGAGTTTTGGATGACCTGGATTTTGTGAATGGCAATAGAGGGGAGACCGGCGAGGAGGGCGTTTGAATAGTCCAGCCGAGAGGTGACAAAGGCATGGACCAGGGTTTCAGCAGCTTTTGGAGTGAGGTATTGGGAAAGGCAGGCGATGCGTCAGAGGTGGAAGAAAGCGGTGCTGGTGATGGACCGGATTTGGGGGAGGAAGGATAATTGGAGGTCGAACCTGATGCCTAGGTTGCATAAGTGTCCCAAAACAGTCTTGTAATAATACTAAGGTCATCCTTAACTAGACAGGTTCAGGGAAATTCCAGGCTTTCATAGAAGTTTTCAGATCCACTGTTGGTGAAACAAATGTTAGCAAGAAATCTATTCAAACATTATAATAATAACCATACAATATGAAAATGAACACATTATAGGTAGAGATACAAAATATAAACCCTTTACATGTTGTTGCTTTTTTACTCTAATTCTAGTGTCTCTTAATACTAACCATTCAGACCCCCAACCCCCCTCTCCACACCCCCATTAGCCAATCTTTCTGCAGTGGTCATTGACCGTAAACTAAACAATCAGTTTTCCATTTCGCTCTCTCTCCAGGTTGCAATGAGAGCTTTGGGATTTGAACCCAAGAAAGAAGAGATAAAGAAGATGATTGCAGAAATCGATAAGGAGGGCACTGGGAAGATTGGCTTCAATGACTTTATGGTTGCAATTACCCAAAAGATGGTAATTTTTTTTGCTGTCGTTAGCTCTGTGATTCATATAAAAGCATCTGTTGCCTAACAAACCTTCACTGCACTCAAAAGCGCATTTTGAGACCTTTCGATGTGAAACGGTGCTATGTAAGTATTATTTTTAAGGTGATGGGAAACCCTACATATGGCTCTTGACCCCTCTCTTTTATACAACCACAGAAGAGCCACAATTCCAGTGGAGCAGGAGAATTTACCCATCGCTGCACAACTTCCTATACCAAAGTGGCAGTCATATATGTTCTTTGTTATTAAAGAAGAAATAGCATCTTATCACACTGAAATAGCTCAAAAGCTCTGTAGCGTGACTGACAGAAGGCATTCTGATTAACTCTGCAAGTCAAAGCTCTGATGCTCATTACCCGTGTGTCTGTTTGTGCCAGGCTGAGAAAGATTCAAAGGAAGAAATTCTGAAAGCCTTTCGGTTGTTTGATGATGATGAAACTGGGAAAATCTCATTCAAAAACCTGAAGCGTGTGGCAAAGGAGCTCGGGGAAAACCTGACAGATGAAGAGCTGCAGGTTGGTTCTCTTTGCTGTGTTTCAGTGTTTTAAGTTTGACCCTTTTTATGGAATTACTTTTAGCTTCAGAAATCTCGCCACCAGGAGCTTATTTGCTGAAGCCACTGCTTGACAGAAACAAAGCTGATCTCAAACGGGATAGTAGTGGGGAAGTAGAAAAAACAAAAATAATTCCCATTCTGATCGCTATCCAGTTGATTATTTTGGTGACACTCTCAAGGCTCAAATCTGAATGATTGCTTGAGAGAGGTACCAGAGGGCGATCATGAATTAACCAATTTCGCAGTAGAAAGTAGTATAGTGCAATAAAACTCATATCAATATCGTAGCAGTCGTGACCATAACATTTAATATGACTTACGCGAAGTCCGAGTTGCAGGCAAACTCTATGAGGGTTTTACTATATATTTACAGCCCGAAAGAAGGCCGTAAAGTCATGTCACTCAGCTCAAAGCAGCCAAAATTGAAGGTCAATCTGGCTGAGATAAGTTAACTAAGCATAGATCGGTGATTAATTCTTTGATCAGCTACTTACTACATAAACTCATCGAGGTTTCAGAGACCTAGGTTTTATTTTATGATGTGAAGAGTTCCACCTAATATCTAATTGCTGCTAAGGTTGGTTTAACTGCGGTAGATAGTTAAAGATAGTTGAAGTGCCTGCCCTAATATAGGAGAATGTGGTTTCTTTGCAAAATTTCTTCTTTTACTATTAATAGAAAATTTATGCTTACTATTAATTTACCATTAACTTACGCAATTAACAGCATAAGCACAACCTAGCATCAATAATGGTTTTAGTTAGTTTATTGTCGACTGCACTAAATTAAGACTATGGAGATCATAAACCATTATTGTTGGATTCCACAGTTGTTCCAGCGTAATTGTTTGTGAAGATCGAACAAGTGAGACTTTAATAGCAGTAATGTTAACCATATGACAAGGTTACCAATATCTATGCTAATTCTTTTCAGGGAATCATGTCAGACTTCTCCTCCCTGCTCTCCTCGCTCAACCTCTCCCTCCACATCAACTCCGCCACTCACAGTCACGGCCACCCACTCGATTTGGTGATCACCCGGGGCCTCAGTGTCTCGGATGTCACCATTACCGACAAGGCCGACTCCGATCACCACTTCATCTCCTTCACCACCTCAACCCCCCTCCCCACCTCCACCAGACCGACCACCATCATCTTCTACCCCCACAATCCCTAACCGCTGCCTTGGAGTCCTCTGAACTCCTCTCCCTCTGGCCTTTAACCCTTACTGACCCCTCTTCTCCTCTCACCCTCCTCCACAACACCCTCTCCTCCACACTCGACACTCTTGCCCCCATCACCTCCCGTACTGTCTCCTACTCTCGTTCCTCCCCCTGGTTCACCATCCACCTCCGCTCACTGAAGAGCCAGTTGCGGGCCGCTGAACGCACCTGCCTCAAATCTGGCCTAACGGTCCACCGACAAATCTGGCTGGACCTCCTCAAAATCTACCGCTTCACTCTAGCCTCGGCCAAGTCGTCCTTCTTCTCCAGGATAATCCTGGAGGCGAAGAACATCCCCAGGCTTCTGCTCTCTACCACATCCCGACTCCTACCCATCCTCCCCTACACACTTTCGTACCCGTTTCCCCACCCTCTGTCACCAAACTCATCCTGTCCCTGAAACCCACCACCTGCTCCTTTGACCCCATCCCCACTCCACTCCTTATCTCTCAGCTCCACCTCCTTGCCCCACATATCACAGACATCATCAACCTGTCCCTCTCCTCTGGCTCTGTTCCCATTCCCTAAAAACTGCCACCATCACTCCCACCTTGAAAAAACCCTCCCTTGATGCGTCGCAGCTATCAAGCTACCGGCCCATCTCCAACCTCCCCTTCCTGTCCAAGGTCCTTGAAAGAGTTGTCGCCTCCCAGCTGCGCTCTTTCCTCTCCACCCATTCATTATTCGAACCCCTTCAGTCGGGTTTCCGTGCTGCCCATAGCACAGAAACTGCCCTGGTCAAGGTCACCAATGACATCTTGACCATCTGCGACCAGGGCTCCCTCTGCCTCCTCGTCCTCCTCGACCTATCGGCAGCATTCGATATGGTCGACCACGCTATCCTCCTCCACCGCTTGTCCTCCCACCTCAACCTTCAAGGCCCTGTCCTTGAGTGGTTTAGGTCGTACCTCTCCCACCGTCTTCATTTTGTTTCCACAAACGGCTTTTCCTCCAGCCCCCGCACTGTCCTTGGTCCCCTCCTCTTCACCCTCTATATGCTCCCCCTTTGGTGACATCATCCGCAGACATGGGGTTAACTTCCACATGTATGCGGATGACACCCAACTCTACCTTTCCTCCTCTACCCTCAACTCCACGACCACCGATGTCCTGACAGCTGCCTGTCCGACATCGAGTCCTGGACGAGAGACAACTTTCTTCAGCTCAACGTGCGTAAAACTGAGGCCCTCCTGATTGGCTCACGTCAGCGCCTCCGCACCTCAGGCGCTGACAGCATCAGCATCCAAGGCTGCACTCTCCACCTCTCAAAGCAATCAGGAACCTCGGCGTTCTGTTCGACCCTGAGCTGTCCTTTCTTCCTCATATCTGCGCCACAACTGGCACCGCCTTCCATCACCTCCGAAACATCGCCAGACTACGGCACTACCTCACCCCTCACGCTGCTGAAACTCTGGTCCACACCTTTATCACCTCAAGGCTGGACTATGGGAACTCTCTCCTCGCCGGCCTTCCCGGCACCTCCCTCCACACTGCAGGTCATTCAGAACTCTGCAGCTCGTGTACTGTCCCGCACCAGGCTTCTGACCACATCACTCCCACCCTCGCTCGCCTCCACTGGCTCCCCATCCCCCAGAGGATCGAATTCAAGATCCTCATCCTCACCTACAAGGCCATTCACGGCCTTGCTCCCTCCTACCTCTCCGACCTACTATTCCCCCTACTTACCTGCCCGTACCCTCCGTTCCTGTGGCTCCGGTCTGCTCCACATCCCCCGCCCCAACCGCCCTACCATCGGTGACCTCTCAGCCCCGAGGCTCTGGAACTCTATCCCCCAGTGCCTTCGCCGCTTCCTCCCTTTCCTCCTTCAAGGCCGGTCTCAAGACCTTTCTCTTTGACTGTGCCTTCAGCTCCCCTCTCAACTCTCCACCCGCTCCTCGCTCCCTTCCTTCCCTCCCCTCACCCTGACCATTTCCCCCCTCTTCGCTCCCTCCCATCCCTCCCCTCACCCTGACCATTTCCCCCCTGCTTGGGTCCTGACCCAACTGTCCAGCGCTTTGGGACGTCCTCCCGACGTGAAAGGCGCTCTATAAATGGAATCTTGTTGTTGTTGTTTCTGCAGACTTTCCCTGGAGAGTTCAGCTTCAATCACGGGGTCTTTATTTCCTCTGGTGACTTACATGATGTGTGCTTGCTGTCTTTGTACAGGAGATGATCGATGAAGCAGATCGCGATGGAGATGGTGAAGTGAACGAGCAAGAGTTCCTTCGAATCATGAAGAAGACAAGTTTGTATTAATGTGCTGTTTCATGCTTGTCAGGTTGTGTTTCACTGTTCTGCTCTGAGATGCCCTCAAACAGTGATGAACGGAGTAGTAATAACGTTGCATGAGAGAGGCTTGCCATGGGGCAGGAGGAATAGGAATGAATATCTCGAATCACTTACGTACATCCCACTCACAAGTGGGATGAATTCAATATTTAATGACTTACTCTTGAGGATTCTGTTCATAGAAGTGGGACGCAAAAGTGAGATTGGAAGAAAATGTAAATTTATTAGCAATTTGTTTTATTTGGAGCTTTTATAAACTTGGCACTTAGGTACGTATTCCCATTACATTTCCAGCTCCATAATTCATATATATATTTATTTCTGAATATCAGAATAAAAATTGGAACCAGATCAGGAAGGTGGAATTAAGCTGTAAAATACCTTGCTCCGAGGAGGCTAATTATGTCAAACGACCTGGATCTTACCAATGTTTTTTTTGATAAGAGTGAAAGGCACATCCTTTACAATTCAATTGGGAGCTATTGAGACTGAGACATTGAGCCTAACGGTAAGAGAAGAGAATAGTTTTCCAAAGAAACCCTGGAAAAATTAACCAGGCATTTCATTTTTCTTACATACCTTTTATAGGTGGAATCCCTAGGAGAGTGATTCCATTACTGAACTGAATTAGGTCTCAGCCTGTTCTAGTAAAATGTACTTTTATCAGTATGGGGCACCTGGGAGCATGTTGCTGCTCAGATACTAATTCATCCATTTCTTGTGTACTAAACTCACTCTCTTTCCTTCCAACGTTACTATAACTGGATTTTGAAAATGTCTTAAAAACACAAGTTGAATGCTATACATTTCTGGCTCCCCCTCCAAATCCCTTCAGCACCAACCCCTCTTAGGTGCCAAAGCAGTAATATTAAGCGCCTTGGGACATCCTTCTGAGCTGAACAGTGATGTATATATGTAAATTTGCATTGTGCTGCATGAATTGCTATCGGGGCAACCTAGATTTTCAAGTAGTTTATTTTTTCCCAGTGGGTAATCTTGTTTTGCTGATCTAGAACCCCAGAACCTCTCCTAATCTGAGGAGGCAGTACCTCATCCACTTAAAGTCAACAGGAGCAAAGCTTTATTACATAATAATAATCCTTGCATTTGATATAGCACCTTATCACACCTTCGAGACACTCAAGTGCGCTTCACAGAATATAAAGTGAATTGACTGTATATTTTGTGGGCAAAACGCAGCAGCCAATTACATAAATGTAACAAGGAATTGGAAGATATTTAGCACAGGTACATCCTGAAGCTTTGGTGTATCTGGGGCTGATGAGACAACCCTCTTAGTGTAGTTAATATAAGCCAATTAATAAGGGAATGGATCTTAAGTTTGAAGGCACTATTACTGTCTCTCCAGGGGTCAAACCATATGTTGATGAACAATAATTTTGATCCTGATGCTTCCATTAACAATCCCCATCACAATAGTTAGATAAAATCCCCAAACTGTTTCCTTTCAGCCAACACTAAACATTTGCTCTATTGGTAGTAAGTGAAAAAGTTAACCCAGATCAACACTTGACATAGCAGAACAAGAGGACTTAGGTCTAGAGTTGTAAAGGGCAATTTAGGTCAGATGCCACGTCTTGTTTCTTTACCTGAGGGCAATCAATGACTAACAGATTGCCAGGCAGAGTGGCAGAGGCCAGGACATGAGACTCATTTAAAAAGCATCTGGTACAGTGATGAAGGGGTAGGTGTTCTGGAGGTTCTTCTACCAGACCAATCTTGTGATTTTTCAGATGTAGCTACAAAATTAATGGATTGGGAATTGAATGCAATGCTACAAGTATGAGGCATTCCCATTAATTTCTTTAGATGGGAGGACCAAAATTATTAGATAGTGATGATTTTTCTGGTAAATAAAACTTTAACCAAATTGGTTCATGATGTGCTTTGCAAACTTAAAAGTGGTGTACAGTATTCTAACATTGAAAGACAGTAAGTTTTGCTTCTGGATTATACAAAAATAAGGAAAATATCAGATTAGTAAATAGAACAAAGATTGGCATTTTGTTGATATCTACAGCACTTTAGCTTTCTCTATCGATGTACCAAAGCATATAAGCTAGAGTAAGATGTGTGCTACTCTCCGTGATCTGACTGCTCAGACTGAGAAGCATGTTGATTCAGTACAACTGTCCTCCAATTCTAGTCGCAATACTTTGGTCTTCTAAGACCCACCTCTACTTCCTATTTTCATATATCTCCATTTGTGTCTGGCGATAGAACAATGAGGAAAATTGTTACATCATCCTAAATTGATGCGTTTTTCTTGACTTGAATATAGTGAATCCTCCACATTCAAGTTTCCCTCCCCATCTTCCCCTTGGTTTTCTACCTGTCCTTGTGCTGCCTCAGACTGTTAATTGTGCCTCACCTCTTATGCTTGAGCCTTGCCGTTGTCTCCTCTGGTCAAAGACTAAGCATGTAGTGCAGATTGGGTGGGGCATTATAGTCCATGCAGCAAGAGAACATTTAATACAGATGGTTATGCAATGCCTTAAATGTTCTTAAAAATTATAGCACCCGAGGCTTTTGCTCCAAACTGATTGAAGGCAAATCCTTCTTGTAAGTGGATGCTGAACAACCTTCAAAGGAAACGACCACGTGTGTTTCAGTCGTTTAATTCATCTCACTAATTGTGTTGCATTTATTATTGCTGGCTTGAACTTCTGCTGATCTGAACTCAAATAATATAGGGAAGTATATTAGCATCCTGCTTGCTTTGTTTATTACTGCCTCAATTGTTTGGCAAAGGTGAGCTATGAATAAAATAACATCTCTGACTCTCTTTCAACTATAGATAGACTTCATACCTTATGCATGATATATTCATGTACACTGTATTTTGTTGGATCTAATTGATTGTAATTGTTTCCCATTTAAGGATGTTGATATTCTCAATACTTCAGCACATTTTGCCAAAATATTTCCTGTTGTCTGATCTGAAAAATGAATCAGAATTTATTTGTAAAATCTGCTGAATTTTCAGAATTTATATTGAAAAATATTTAATCTCTGGCACAGCCTTTTTTAATTTTATTGTACTCGGTGTTAATTAATATTTAATGATGCTTTTTATTCCCTCTCCTGATAAGATGCAAATTAACATCCAATAAAACGACAAGTATTGTAGTTGTGTTAGGCCTTTGAGTGTGTTTTGAAATGAGATATTAAAACATCTCCAAGATATTAAAACATACAGCAGCTGTTTGATTTCCTTGGGAAATTTGGATCGCCTTCAGCTAAGTTTTAATGTACTCTTATTGCATTTTAACTGCAGATGTAAGATGGTGTCCTGGGATATCCTGTTATAAAATCATCATGAACATATTACTTTTTTTGTAATCAGTCTAAGATCAACCCTGGTGAAAATAGTGATTAGTGACATGTTTCAATAAAAATGCTGTCAGGGCAGCTATTTTACAAAATAGCCAATTCAGGTTGCTATTTAGATAACAAGGCAATCCCTGCAGTTATTTAAACCATAAACCTTAATCTGAAAAATCCTAGTTCAGCAAGTTGTTCCTCTTGCTCAACCCTACCACCATTTGGGATCAGTCTTGTTGCTTGTTTTGCACTGCCTCTTGAGTCTGGCATACCCTTTACTGTCACAGCGAACAGAAATAAACTAAACTGCAGCCTGATCATAATCATAAATAAATCATAAACTGATGATAAATGCCATGCTTGTCGGCCTTCCCAACTCCTCCCTTCACAGACTGCAGATAATCCAGAACACTGCAGCCCGTATCCTCTACCGCACCAAACTCCGTGACCCCATCTCCCCCACTCTCGCCCGACTTCATTGGCTCCCTATCCTTCAGAGGATCCAGTTCAAGATCTTGATCCTCACCTGCAAAGCCCTCCATAGCCTCACCCCACCCTACCTCTGTGACCTCCTACCAACCCGCCCACTCCCTCCGTTCTTCATCTAAGCTTGGGTCTGAAATGCTCTCCACTGTCCAGCGCCTCCCGACATGAAAGACGCTTATACAAATGTAATCTTGTTGTTGTTATTGATCGCAGCATTGTAAATCCAGTAATCTGAATTCAAATAACATGGCATAGAGCCTAACATCTTGCTGGCTTTATTATTGAAGCCTCAATCTGTTTGGCAAAAAAAACTGAAAGAATTGGTCACTCAATCCATGACTGTTTGTGGGACACTGCTGTGTGCAATTGGCTGCTGCGTTTTGCCCATAAAATGTACAGTGGATTCAGTTTTCAGGCGCTGACAGCATCAGCATCCAAGGCTGCACTCTCCACCTCTCAAAGACAGTCAGGAACCTCGGGGTTCTGTTCGACCCTGAGCTGTCCTTTCTTCCTCATATCCGCGCCACAACTGGCACCGCCTTCCATCACCTCCGAAACATCGCCAGACTACGGCACTACCTCACCCCTCACGCGGCTGAAACACTGGTCCATGCCTTTATCACCTCAAGGCTGGACTATGGGAACTCTCTCCTCGCCGGCCTTCCCGGCACCTCCCTCCACAAGCTGCAGGTCATTCAGAACTCTGCAGCTCATGTACTGTCCCGCACCAGGCTTCGCGACCACATCACTCCCACCCTCGCTCGCCTCCACTGGCTCCCCATCCCCCAGAGGATTGATTTCAAGATCCTCATCCTCACCTACAAGGCCATTCACGGCCTCGCTCCCTCCTACCTCTCTGACCTACTATCCCCCCACGTACCTGCCCGTACCCTCCGTTCCTCTGGCTCCGGTCTGCTCCACATCCCCCACCCCAACCACCCTACCATCGGTGGCCGGGCCTTCAGCCTCGAAGCTCTGGAACTCCATCCCCAGTGTCTTCGCCGCTTCCTCCCTTTCCTCCTTCAAGGCCGGTCTCAAGACCTTTCTCTTCAACCGTACCTTCAGCTCCCCTCTCGACTCTCTACCCCCTCCTCGCTCCCTCCCTTCCCTCACCCCGACCATTTCCCCCCTCCTCGCTCCCTCCCTGTCCTCCCCTCACCCTGACCATTTCCCCCCTGCTTGGGTCCTGACCCAACTGTCCAGCGCCTTGGGACGTCCTCCCGACGTGAAAGGCGCTCTATAAATGGAATCTTGTTGTTGTTGTTTACAGTATATTCTGAGAAGTGCTTTGAGATGTCTTGAAGACATAAGGCACTGTTTCAAACCCTTTATTATATAATTATTATAAGATGAATGATGATTAAACTGACACCCCAAGTTCTCTTTCAACTTTCCCCCTTGGACAAATTCTACCTCATTAATGGGTGTACCACATGTACCTTTCTACAACTGACTTTGCTGTGTCTGACTGCCTGCATCATGCCAGTGTACCTTAAGGATGACTCCAGTTCTCAAAGATAACGTAATTACTCCAGTGAGAGCAGGTTATCTCACAAGACAGATTCAGATGAAGAAGGTGCTTCACCTCATCCTCCCAGCACAGCCTCCCTACAATTCTATACTCCTGGATATAGATGGCATTCGGGCAAGTCAGTTCCTTAACTTTTTTTTNAAACACACATTCCTGAACTTTCAAATGAAAAATCCAATACTCCAGATATAGAAAAATTCCAATACTCCAAGGGAAAGCTTCAAATGGCAAAGAAACAGTTTCTCGCTCACCCTCAAATTAAGCAATATTGAGCTAACTGACCTGTGGGAACCCCAAATGGTTCCCCCGGTGAAAGGCACTGTATGTAATGAAGCTCAGTCATTCAGACCTGGTTTGAACCAAGCTGGCAGTTCTCAGCAGAGCAGCAGTAATAACATTTCACACGACCTCAGTGTCCCTGAGCTGGCAGGGGCAAATTGGCCAGTTCCTCTACATGATCGATATCAGTGATCCCTGCTGGAAAGTGTACGTGCCAAGACATCAGGTGAGAACATGATGATGTTTACCTCTCAAAGTCAAATAACTTGCTTACACTCACTCACTACCCTTCAAAGTTAAAGTGCAAGCTTCTATTCACCCAGTCAATCTACCAATATAAACCCTAAATCACTATAAATACATTTAGAGCCTGGATGCTTGTGCAGCAGTGAGTTTAGTGATGGGACTGTATTGATTCAGGCCATCAAGCCTGCCAAACAAGTTATTTCTGGCATATATTTTCATCCCAATGAGCCATCCTCAATACT